AGTATCGTACAGTTGGTCGAGGAGGGTAGCATGCACGCCGAAACCTCGATAGAGCTCATGCATTATCTCGAAGCTCGTCGTCTGAGGAGATACATACATTGATCATCGAAGAACATCTGGGGCTGCGCCAAGTGCTGTCAGAACTTGCAACGTCTTAACAAGGAAGAGCAGCGGCGGAGATCATGATTGAAACACGGCGCAGATCCTGAGAGTTGAGGCTTGTTGGCTCTGTCGAGGTAAAAGACGATGGGGAGAGAGCTGGCTGTTGTTGCAAGGTGTAGTACCTAGCTATTCTGTCGGCCATCCAGCCCGATCGGGCATAGCTACCCTGGCCTATGAAACATTGGTGCTGCCAGTCGCCAATTGGGCGGAGACTGTTCAGGGTAAAGAGCAGCATTAGAAGAGAGGCTAGCGGAGGATCCTTGCCCTTCCTTGCCCAGCACAAATGTAGCAGAAGGCTTCGCCTCTTTTTCTGGCGGAGGAAGTGCTGCTTTGAGCGGAGTCCTCTCGTCTGGAATAGTAAGCAGTAGACTACGCTGGCCCGAGTAGCTCGGCAAAGGCGGCAGGGCTAGACTGCAAGCGTGTGTAGCTCTGTCTAGTGCCTAGCTGAGATGAGAAGCGAGTCTTCGTACTTTGTGTGGAGTAACTAGGTGTCAGCCAAGCTGGTAAAGCCTGCCCACAAGCCCCATGTTGGTGAGTCGTCTAGATAGTTGCGACACCATCTCAACCTTGCCCTGAACTAACGGCAACAAGTCACATTTTCTTGGACCAGGCCGGCAGTCCTGCCTCGCGACAAGCAATTGCACATGCGCTGCGGCTCGAGATCCAACATGTTCTTACTTACACATGGGGCAGACACTAAAAATGCTTGTCGTCATCGAACCCTGTTCCTAGCTCGAAAGCCTAATATCGGGGAATAGTGAGATTGTGGGCACTCGTGGAACTAGAGGATGATCGTGCCAGGAACCACGAAGACACTCGTTCCGTTCTCGATCACGTAGAGGGGTATTGTCGCAGCGAGATGGAGCACCGTAGCAGCCAACATGGGTTTGGACGGTATTCGATGTGGCTGGCTTATTTGATACCACCGCTGATAATCAGTGACATCGCTGCCAATACCGGCCCAATCTGTTACGTGATAATCTCTTGCCGCTGCGACGATGGAATAGACACTTTTTTTTGCAACAATTTGTAAAGGGGAAGAAAAGAGTCTAGGGAGAGTTGTGCAATGGGGTATCCTGGACGGGGTTGCAATCTGAGAGTGCCGGAGAACTTTCATCTCGTCTCATCACTGCTCTAGGGGAGGCTTCCGGTATTGTTTCTCACCCCACATGGTCTTATAGCTCTATTAATGTTCATGGATTGAGGTGATTGGGTCGTGTAACCAGGCAAGCAACGCCTGCAGCCAGCCAGCTCTTGGGCAACGGATGGTTCTACGTTCAATGGTACTATTCAACCTGGCGATGACGGCGGTCTCTGGTCCCGCTTCTGAGCAGAAAACCCTCCCGTCACCCAGCCTTGCATGTTTGTTTCTGACGGGGATCAACTACCCCTCACCTGATTTCTGTCCCCCCTTCTCCTCTGCTTGCCAGAACTCTGTCATTCTTGCATGCGACACAACTTAGTTGTGCGTGCAGGGAACGGGATGCAGGTGGTGGATGGTGGGTGGTGACCAAGTACCTACACCCTACTGCAGCAGTAGCGGCAGCAGCAATCTTGGTGCATATAGATTTTTATTTCCCGCTGGTCGCGCGTCAACCATAATTGCTTGCAGCCCGCTCGACTGTGTGGGTGTTGTGCGTGTGCGTGCAATGATCACCGACTGCCACTTGCCGTGCGTGCTCGTTGATGTGATGCATTTGAGAGAGTGACCTGCTTTTCCTCCGACTCGCAGGTCCACACACTATCGCTCACCCCCGTATAGTCTCAACGTTGTACTATGCAGGATCTGACAGGTACGAATCGACGAGTCAGGCTGGTCCCTCTCTGGTCCTCCTCCAGCTGGGATTTCTCCCCCAGCTCCAAATGTGACCAGAACCTACCCGCACGCGGCTCACGCTATGGCAAATTGAGTGGTTACGTGGGGATAAGCCTCGAATAGTCTGTATAATCTACGGCGGCCGAGAAACATTGAACCATTGTGTGCGTACCGGAAGTCGATGCTATCGGCCCAGCCGGTCTATTCAAACGTAATCCTCTCCAGGACGACGGCCACGGCTGGAGCAGAAACTTCACACCGCAAGCCACGCCTGCTGATACCAGAAACCTACCTGCGTCCCGGGGCCTGATTAGCGATTGCCACTCTACGGTACCTATGTACCCAGGGTGCGCTACCACGTCGACCCACCCAGCTAGCGGGTGCCATGCCCGCCCCACAGAGCAGCAGTGGACGACGCCGAAGGCTCCAAGTACCTACCGCGGTACTAGGCGTAGTACCTGCACCCTTCGACTAAGGTACCTAGGTGGGCAGGAAGGGGCCTCCATGCAACTCGAACCCCCCGGCCTCTCCCCTCGCTCGCGTTGCATCCTTGCTCGTCCATCCCCATGTCCGCCGCTTTTCTTATACTACATAGTACCGTTATCATTTAGAATTGCGGTACACTCGGTACCTGGTTGTTTCCAGGAGCCGGGGGGTCCTGCGGCCTAGTCCAACAATGTAACCGGTTCGAGAAGTAGACGCCCTGGAAGGGGGAATTAGCCATAAAGACAAACGGCACAAGAAACAGAAACACTCCCTCTGCTACTGTACGACGTGTACGTGCTCCCATCTGCTTTCCCCCCGGAGAGCACCGCTTGCTCAACCTGCGACTCGACAGTCCGGCAGCCCATGCCCCAGGAACCACGCCAGCAGCCGTTGGAACTTTGCTTCTTCCTAGGAGCCTGCGGCACGCAGGTGAGTAAAGTACCGATATGTTGTCTTACCTTTCCGCTTGCTTCCGTAGCTAGGTCGTCTAGTTGACGCGATCGCCAGCCGGCTTGCGGCAACCCTGGCGCTTGGCCGTTTCCTGCGCGGGACTACCTCGACACCAGCTCAGGAACCCACGGACGTCGAACCCTATGCCTGCTAGGCACAGCAGACCCATCTGGACGAGAGGGGCGCCCATTTGACTTCCCATTTTCTGTATTTATCTGGACACTAGGCCAGATTGATCTCCTCTGCGTCTGCCACGTTCTGACCAGGGACCGCCCCAGTATTCGTGAGGAGATCGCCGTCGCTCCACGCCTCTCCTTGTTGTGCAGGTCCCCTGGGATCTAGTCACTTCCTGTTCCACACCCCGAGCCACGAGCTCAAGGCGCTCAGGCAGTCTCTTTTCTTTCCTTTTCCTGCTCTTCGGGACTCCACAATCCCCTGCTCTGGTTATATCGACAGAAACGGGGAAGTCACTCAGTACAACCCGTAAGGTACTACTGAGCTCAACGAGTGATATACCCGTCTTGCGATATAGACCCTCACCGGAGAGTGCATACAGGTGACGGACGGGTCCCTGTATATGCACCCCCGATTATCATATTCGGCAACGTCACCCTACTTAACTCTGACAAACGCCACCTCTTGTGCTCCCATCTCAAGTTACCCTTCTCCGTCAACATATAGTCAAGTCACCTTCGTCTATCCTTGGGTTGGGGCTGCTTGTTGAGTTCTCTGCTCCCGCACGCAGTCGCCCGCGGTTGTCCTGTCTCGTCTCTTCTTGGTACCACAGATCCGACTTTGAGGTTGACTTGTCAGACGACCCAGGAACCTCACCAACACTCACCATTGCGATTAGCTGAGAGACACCACTCGGATCTCCCAGGATCTCTTTTTATCAGCTTAAAAGGCCGTGTCGACTTTGCCGTACGCCCCAAGTGGACCGCGATCTTGGAGAAAGTTCTGTGCACCTCATCGGACAACCCAACGCGTAGGCGAGGCACCAGGCTTTCCAAGTGAGACATAACTGCTGCTTACCTTCCTTCCCATCATACTTCGCACCAAGGAACGGCTTAGACTTGTTGGATCTTCGTACTCAACGTCTCTTGGTATCTGAGCGCTCTCACGTCCGACGGTCCGTCCTTACTGCGTCTGGTTGGCCCAACTTTGCTCACAGGTTTCGAAACCTAATACACGCCGGTCTTTTGGATACTCGAAGTTCGAAACAAGAGGCCACGCCTTAGTCCTCCACAGCTCGCAAGCCTCTGCATCCTTGGGCACTGGGGACTCCGTGGTTCCTGCAGGAAATACATCAGCCGGCACTCGCCCATTTGTTGGCCGATCCAGTCCGTTCGCAACGTTATTCCCAGGCCGGCTACTAATTTACGACCTCGACGAACCCTGTGTTTTAGTGCTCGTGCACAGGAGACCTTCGTTTCTCACTGTAAGTTGCAGTTATAATCCCCACTACCTCGATCACCAATCATTGCTTGGTCCTGTCCACATCAGCAAGCTCCCTCCGATATATATCGGACTGCCCCCTCGCCGCTCAGAATACGGGTTGATTCTCAGGCCATCCCTCACCTCGACCTTCTCTGTATAATACTCGAGTAGTCGCTCGTCTCTCGTCTTGTCGTTTTATTATTACTCATCTATCATCTTGTCGTTGCATCTGTTCTTCTGGAACCTAATAATATTCAGCATCATTATCTCAGAGGAAAAAAAACACTGCCACCGCGCTGGACGCTTACATTGTGTCTTGACTTTGCCGGTCTGTGGCGTCGAAAACTCATTGGTTGAGGCGAAGTCCCTCAGGAAACGCATAGATTCGTCTGTCAACGTCGCATTGATCGAGCCCGGCTCTAGTACGGTTCCGAACCAGGGTGTCCATTCGATACCTTGCCCGCCCCGAGCAACCCACAGTACCCTTGCATCCTCCTCCTCCCGGTCAACGACCCCCTGTCTGGTTTCTGAAGTAGACCTGGGCCCCTCGACTACCCTGTCTCCTCCCATACGAGACTTATAAAGTAGTACCACCCACACATACTCCCAAGACCTGATCTAGGAACTCGGTATCAGGAACACCACAGAGATGGAATTAATGGAATTGGTCGAGAATGAGCCTACGGCTCGCCCTTTCCAGTGTGATTGGCAATCATGCAACAAGGTAAGTGTTGATAGGGTTGCTCTTCGCCGTCGCTCCCGTCTCTCATGTCGTCGTCGCCCCAAGTCACTGACCCAAAACCAGAGCTTTAACCGCAAGTCGGACTTGCAAAGACATTACCGCATACACACGAACGAGAGACCTTATTCTTGCGCAACACCTGGATGTGGCAAGAGCTTCATCCAGCGTAGTGCTCTGACAGTCCACATTCGCACTCATACTGGAGAGAAACCGCACCAGTGTCAACACATTGGGTGCGGCAAGCGTTTCTCGGATGTAAGTCGCAATCCACATACCTCATCACTAGACGTATTCGTACTAAACGTGATCCAGTCGTCGAGTCTGGCCCGTCATAGACGTATCCATACCGGGAAACGTCCGTACAAGTGCGCCCACGACGGGTGCCTGAAGAGCTTCTGCCGCAAGACAACCATGGTCAAGCATCAAAGGCGCTCCCACCAGCGCGGCATCCACTCGTCAGAACTGGATGATACCTCCGACTCCGAGAGCGGCGAGTCCCCTTCGACACCAAGAATGTCTGCCATTCCATGGCCTCAAGTCAACATGGGCGGTCATCCCGGCATCCATGGTCACAGCATCCAGCGTGCTGCCTCCTTCGCCGATTTTGGGCAGCACATGAATGGGTTTCCTGTCCAACAGCCATACGGACATCGTCACAGTGTCTCAACAGGCGCTGCACACGAGTTCCACGGACAGCCGGTACAAGAGCAGCCCCAACACCCAGGCGCACACATGCTTCACCGGACTGCAAGCATGCCGCAACACTCGTTCTATGTTACCGAACACAGCAACCCCGGCGTGGCAACAATGAACACCAACCCGATGCCAACGTACCAAGTCCCGAGACAACAGGTCGAGAGGCCTCTGATCGAGATACCCTACAGCGCGGCCGCACTGACAGGCTCTATCCAGAGCAGCCCTGGCACCTTCTCACCAGCTTCAGGTCGCAGTCCTTCCGTTCACCAGGATGGCTTTTACACCCACCAACCGGCGCAAAACGCGACCTTTGCTCTGCACAACACGTCTCCTATCGAGGCTCAGACTCAACCCATGGTCCAATACGCCCAACAGATGCAGCAGCCAGTACAAGCACCCCAAGCACCTCCGGCCCAGCCAGTCCACCAGGTTCACGAGCAGTACCAGCAACCACAGCCGCAGCAGGAAGAGCAATGGTATAATGGCATCCCGTATCAGCCACCGGTTGAGGTTGCCACCATTGGCCAGCTGCCATCCTACGGCTCGGGTGGTGTGTACGACCCTTGGGCTATCAAGCCGGACTTTGAGGACCCATCTATGCAACTCCCAAGTGCTAGGCTCGAAAGCATGTAATCGACCGCGACCAGAGACCAAGTAAATGTCACCTCGCATTCCGCGATGGCTACAATTGCAGTGTCGCCTGCCGGCGCCGCAGCCTATGCCTTTAGGCGACGATGGTTCGTGTACCAGCAAAGCCATAATTGCGGACTGTTGCGCCACATATACCCTCGGGACCACAGAACCAAGGTTCGATCGCGCTCGATCTCGCCTTCTCCGCTGTTCATTTGCCGTATCACTGTGCATACGATTGCCCTCCCCTTCACCCATACCATCTACCGTCTTTTTAACCCCATTTTGCAAAGCAAGTGGCGTGTCGTCACGTTATTTCTTCCTCTGTTCGATACTCATTGGCGGCGCTTTGCATCATCATCGTCCTTGTTTTGTGTCGCTTGATTCGACTCTTTTTTCCAGCACCAATTCATTGAACCGTGTTTCTGACGCGGCTGGGCGGCATCCTGTTGTTTTTTGATTTTTGGGGTTCACACTTAATTTATACCCGGGTGAACCATTTTCGGAGTGGGATAGGAATGGGAGGGGGCCGGCAATGACGAGAACCACGATCACCGTCCAATTTAATGAAGTCCACGATATCAACTCAAGGGCGGAAGGGTGCATGTACCGGGCATATAACATGGAGGTACGAGGTTTCGGGTGATGGGCCGGGGCTGTCGAGAGGGAAGCATCAAAAATCGATCGAGGCGCTGTGGTTGTTTTCCATGTTGCTCGCACATATTTCCTTGTATCGTCGCGACCTGGGCTTTCTCTGTTGTCATTCACCGGGTGGTCTGCTGGATTGATGTTTGTTTTGATTCCAAGACTTAATATGAGACTCTCGAGAGACAATAGGGAACGGTTGAGAAGGAGGAAGCCCCAAGGCCGCGGGGCCTGGTCCCTCACTACAGCTCGGCGGCGCAAGCGACGATGTGGTGAGATCTGGGGAGGAGTTTGGGGCGGCGGAGAGCCTGGCGGAACGAAAAGCAAGGGCCTCGGAAGGCCTTTGCTGTTTTCGCCTCCTCCGCCATGCAGTTGTACTATATTTGCGCGCAGATGGTTCCAAAAGAAAAAAGCGCGAGAGTCCGGTTTGGGTTGTCGATAGTCCTGGAGTATATATCTGTACCAGTAGTAGTTTAGCCCGTCCGAATATGAATTCTTCCTCCTTGGGATCAAGCCGTAGTGATCTTGTGCAACACCCCGACTGTTGTCTTTCGCGAGCTGTGGGATTCAAACTGACCATTCCGGTGAGAAAAGGTCGTTTCTGGCCTGGCAGGAACATCGATTGAAGGGAGAGATGGATGTGCCGTGTTTTCAGTCTCAGAAGGCAGAAAGGAGGAGAGACTGAGGCGGCAACTGTCGCTGAGTCCTGAAGACACATGTCGTCGAAATAAGCGTCGGACAATACCCTCCAATGAGATGTACTGCACCACTCCTTATAGGCAGCAGAGCGTTCTCGCCGGAAAAGAGCCCATCCCCGTGCTCCTCCTGCATATACAGCTCATATACTGTCTCATGCCTGGACCCACCTCCTTCGACGGCTGTCGTGTTCCAAGTGCCGATGTTTGCTCCCACCAGTCGGTGGGACCAGGTAAGTTTCCATCCACACGACATGTGCGTGTGTATCATGAAAAGGGGGAACATGTGTGGGCGTTGGGGTGTCACGAGCTCGCGGGCTTGCCGCTGTTGGCTCGTTCCGGTTGGGTGGGTGCGGGCAGGACCTGGAGACGTGGGCGCCGTCTCCTTGGTGGATGAGAATTTCTTCTTCGTTGGACGGTGGTGCACACATGCTATTTGTTGGTTGTATGTGTAAGTCGTCAAGGCCCCCAGTTTGGGGGTGGGTAAGGGACGATGGCGCCTAGACTGACAGACAGACAGCCATCCAGCCAGAGGAGAGAGTATTATTAAGTGAGGGGGCTTCCTAAGGGGGAAGGCGACATGAGGTAGCGGACTCCCGACACCTAAAAAAACACACACCCAAAACCAAACGGGGTTGAAAGAGTTCGGACGATTTGCAGCATTTCAATTAAATGATAAGAAGGACATCATGTGAAGAAGAATAAATCAAAGACTAACTCGTGAAAAATGAGATCACGGGATAAAAGAGAAAGACAGAAATGAGGGGCCACGAGAACACGAGAGAGAGAGACTATGCATCATACATCGCAGAAACGTGAAGGAGCCTGTAGGATCCCGAAGGGGTGGCGAGCGGCTCTGGCGAAATCCCTCTGCATGCGAACTCCCGCCAATGCCATGTGGCGATCCTGTCTTATCTGTCTTATGTGCATGCTCCCATGGGTGGCACCCTCCGGTTTCTCTGGCCCCCTTTCTTTCCCCTTCCTGCTGTCATCGTCGTGGGTCCTTCAGCCTGTGATGGGCTGCAGCTGTAGTGGGAGCGAATGCTGGTAAGCAATTGGAACTCAGGCTGGGCTGAGCGGTGGTGCCGGTAGGATTCGGGGGGAGGGTTGCATTGGGAATTGACAGCTGAACAAGACGGACGCACCCAGGCACGCAGGGACGCAAGCGAGGAATGAAATATGACAAAAGGGAATGCGAGAGTATCCTAGCCGAGTAAACATGTAGGGACTGCATCGAGATAAGGTCGCTGGCGCTTCGATGTTCGCCAGTAACACATGCAGCATTAGCGGGCTGAGGTTCCGACTGTTTTTTCGGGCTGCGCGGCTTCGACCAGTTTTGGCCGTTCTCAAAGACTGGTTGCATACCGTATGGGAAATGCTCGTTGAGAGTTCGGCGGAGGGAGCAAAAGGGAGAGGCAAGTTGCCTATATACATGGATGATCCCGTGGCAGTGGTTGGACTTTATTAAGTGCTCCCGGAAACCTTGTAGGGTATTAGACGTGGCGGGCGTAATGGATTGATCTTTGGCAATGGGCTAAGGCTGGACGAGGGCCAAAGACCGATTTCGCTTTCATAAAAAGTACAGACGACGCATGAACATCGTCAATTAAACCGAAATGAACAGCCGGGCACATCGCATAGTTGGTGAGGACGGCCGGTCATACGGAGCGTCGTGCACATACAGCCTGATATGCAGCTAGTCTCGGGGTCTCCTACTGCTGGGCTTTAGACAATGAAAACAGCGTCATCGAGGCGTAAATTATGCAGATGCGTTGTACCGATTGACATTTGAATCTAGAATTACCCATTGCCTTCATCCACATGTCAAGTGCAATCTGTAGCTGGACAGTGGTCGGCCCGCTTTCACGTGTTGTCTTCGAGGATTGTTGGCATGTTAGAGGAACAAATGAACTATGTTTACATCGAGAGCTGTCTAACTGGGCGCCGCGAATGACTGGGATGAAGATCCTCGTATCATACAGCTGGTCCCAGTGCTTCTCTCAGAATAACCCACTGAACACGGGACGTCAGGCCCTCTTCTTCATGCATCAGATTGAAACATCCCAAAGGCTGGCATCTGTTCCGTAGAAGCCACCAATGCAAGATCCGCAGTAAACGCCGCGCTCCGAAGTCCGCCCCGATGCTGGTCTTCGCCTTCTTTTTATTTGCCCTCATTCAGGGGTGCTTTTTTTGGTGAGAGGTGAAGGGTGGACTGATAATGATTTTCAATACCATAAAACACTCAAGACTTGTCTTGCGATTGACTCGCCTGGTCCCGGGACGGAATACCCCCGGCTGGCGGAGCAGCCGGCGGGGCAGGAGGGGGTGGTCTTGGACTGCCGTCACCTGGAATTGAGACTCCGGGGGTGGGTGGTGCATCCGGGATAGGCACTCTCATTGGACCTTTAGGTACTGATATGCGATCCAGCTTCTCGCCCCGGATGACCTTTTCGACTTCGGCCTTGTCCAGGGTCTCATATTCGACCAAGGCCTGAGCGAGAAGGTCAAGCTCTTTCCGGTGATCGGTGAGGAGCTTCCTGCATCGCTCGTATGATTCACCGAGCAGGCGCTGCACTTCAGCCTCGATCCTCGCTCGGGTTTCGCTGCTGAGAGACTCATACCGGGTGGCATACTCCATATGTCCCAGCTTATCAGAGAAACCCATGGCGGCGACCATCTGGTAGGCAGTAGAGGTTGCCATCTTGAGGTCCTGTATTGAGCTGTTAGTAAAGGTAGTTGTGAAAATCGAGGATGGTCAACTTACAGAACTTGCGCCGCTGGTGACTTTGTCCACACCGTAAACAATTTCTTCCGCAAGCTTGCCTCCCATCGCAGTGTCGATCCTAGCCAAGTAGTTCTGCATCGAGTACGAGTACTTGTCCATCTCAGGGAGCCATGCAGTGTGACCGAGCGTTGGCCCACGGGCGAGAACGGTCACTTTGTAAAGAGAAGCAGCAGCATTCTTGACGTAGAGTTGAACCAGTGCATGGCCTGCCTCGTGATAGGCAGTCATTTCCTTTTCTTCGGGAGTGATAACCATCGTTTTCCGCTCAGCACCCATGATGACTCGGTCCTTGGCCCAATCGAAGTCCTTCAGTCCGACGAATTGAGACTTGTTACGACTGGCATGAACGGCGGCCTGGTTGACAATGTTCTCGAGCTCGGCACCAGAAAGTCCGGTGGTCGTCATAGCAATAGCCTGCAAGTCCACGTCCTTAGCAGCCTTGATCTTCTTGGCGTGATGCTGAAGGATGGCAAGACGACCGCGAACATCAGGCAGCTCGACATTGACGTGTCGATCAAATCGGCCAGGCCGAGTAAGAGCCTTGTCTAGCAGTTCCGGGAAGTTGGTGGCACCCATGATAATCACACCGCTATTCTGCTCGAAACCATCCAGCTCTGTGAGGAGCTGGTTCAGAGTCTGCTTGACGTAGGCAGCGTCACGGGCGTTACGGCGACCGCCGATGGCATCAAGTTCATCGATGAAGATGATAGCAGGCGACTTGGACTTTGCAGCGGTAAACAGCTCTCGGACTCGCTTGGCACCAACTCCAACGTAGACTTCGTCGAATTCGCTGCCAGACATGTAGAAGAAGGGTACACCAGCCTCACCAGCGACGGCCCGGGCCAGAAGGGTCTTTCCGGTACCAGGCGGACCAACGAGCAGAACACCCTTGGGAAGCTTGCCGCCCAAGTTGGAGAATTTGTCAGGATTCCGAAGGAAATCCACCATCTCCTGCAGTTCCTCCTTGGCATCATCGCAACCGTGGACGTCGGAGAAGCGAGTCTTCTGGTTTTCGGCCTTGACCTCGCTGTCGACTTTGCCGCCAGGGCGTTTGAAGACGCTCAGGCTCTCGACGACCATGGTGATAATGACCAGACTGAGGTAGGTGAAGAGGCAGAACCAAAGGATGAACTTGACCCATCGGAACAAGGAGCTGCCCAAGGTCTCGTCGACGACGACGTGCAGCGGGCCGCCCTTAGAGGCCGACGACTCCTTCGTGACAGCAATGTTTCCACCTCGCGACCGAGCAGCAAGCGCCTGCTTCACGGCCTGAAGCTGGGTTTCAGTCAAGTCGGAGGGCAGATTGTCTTCGTAGTGGCCTGGTTGCTGGGCCGAGACGGGGTTGAGAAGGTTGACAGCTTTCTGGTAGGCCTCGTCGCAGGCGGGGTTAGTGGCGAAGCGGCCAGCCCGATACCTCTCGATGACGATGGCGGGCATGTTGGCCTTCAGCAAAGCCTGGTAGAAGGCATTCTGGGCGGTTGCGCTGCCCGGGTTCCTGTTTGCAGACTCCTCCATATGCGCGAGCAGGTTTCTAGATAGCCCGCCACTTTGGTACGACCTTTGTTGCGCAAAAGCCATCCTCGTGAGAGGGGTGAAAGCGGGCGATGTACGGGATTGCGTCAGAGTGAAGAGCGACCGTGAGACTGAACGTTGAGAGTGTAACCGGCGCACGACAGGATTCGAAGCAAGCAAGGCGCCACCCGACATGCTCGAGATGCTGGTGCGGATATTGAAGGGTGTGGCGATCCGCCTCGCGGCGGACGAGAAAGGCGAAGCCATTGCTGCATCCACCTGAGCGTCACGAAGGAATTCGGGCAGGTCGAGACTGGCGCGCTGCAGGCCGGACCTGGGCTGCGACCGAACCGTCGATTCCGCTGCCGCTGTGCTGGAGGCGCGAGCTGAAGCTGCGTTCGGGCTGCGCGGCGCTGCTGGCGGAGCTCGGAAGGGCATCAGCAGAGTATTGGCCATCGACGGCCAGAGGTCCGTCGTGACGGCGGCGACGCTCGGGAGGGCAGACGCCTGAAGGGCCATGATGGCTGGGGTTGTGCGGTGGTGCACCTCAGGACTCGGTTCGATGTGGACTCGGATGGACGACGGATGAGGTGATCAATCTGTTGGGGAAGAGCCGGAGTCGGCCGAGCTGTGCATGAGAGGGAGGTTGTGGGAGGGCGGCGGAGAGGAGAAATGGTTGTCGACAGCCCTGCCAGCTACCTGTCGCAGACGAGGAAAGTAGGTCTCGACTGAAGGGGTCTGGTCACGACATTGAAAGCCGATGCTGGGCGTGGGCGTGGGCGTGGTCGTGGAGGATGACGGCGGCGCGCTTCCTACAGACACAGGCAGGACATGACTTCGGCCGGGGCGACTACGGGACGGTGGACGTTTCTAGGCGCACGACTGCGGGCTGGGGGCCTGGGTCTCGAACTGGGGGCGAAAGCTCTGAGGGTTCTGGTTGACGTTGATGAGTCGCCGGCCGCTGGCTGCAGCTGCCGGGATTCGGCGCAAGTGAAAGTGCCGACCCGACCCGACCCCAGCCCGCTAGGCCCGTCTGGGCTCTAGTTGCCCTTCAAGCTTGTCTTGATACTCGCGATATATGCTTTATGCACCGTTGCGCACCTTATTTTGGCCCGTGCAATCTATGTCTCTCAGCTCGTCATGCAACTCGGATCAATCGACCGCATGAATCAGAAGTGGTGGAACCTCTCTACTTTGACTTGCTCCAACTGCACGGACTTCACGGACTTCTCTTGTTCGTAAGCATATCGGGATTCTCTACTGCTTCCTGAGCAGACTCCGCTCTTACTCGTATCACATCATACATCACGTTGCACCGCTGCACACACCTGCCTGTGGAGAGACGACGACCGCCAAGTGAAATTCATTCCTCTGAAAAGCTACTACTGTGTTGAGCCAGGCAGCATACTCTGTTATAGTCTATCCTTCTAAGCGACAGTGCCGCTTGGAGTGCCGTTAGTTTTCAGTACCGCGTCAGCCCCATTCTGAGCTCCGTTGTGTATGGGCAACGTCTTCTCCTGGGCCGCCGTCAACCCCTTGCGGATTGCAAGGACGTTGTCTACAATCACCGCGTCTATACCCTCGTTGACTTGCCGCTGCAATGTGAGTGGTTAGCAAGATCCAGAATACGTCCGGGAAGTGAGTTCTCTTACCTGTACCAACTTTGGGTCATTATTTTGTGCGCCGTAACTGACGCAGACCAGACCGCTCTGCTTCACCACCCTGACAAGCCGGGGGCTGTTGACAAACGGCTGAGAAGTGCTCACAATGCCGAGCAGATTCCAGCGGCTGGCGAAGCGGATGGCCTCCTGTAGACTGCTGGCCCGAATGTCACCAACAGGACTCGTACCAGCATCCGACAGGAACATGATCGGAATACTGGGCTGCTTGAAGCTGAGGCAGAGGCAGATATCCGGGTTGAAGCTGCTGAAGATGATGTTGCGATCCTTGGTCAGGTCGTAGACCTTGGACAGAATCGTGTCGCAGAACGAGTTGATCTCGACCGTATACGTGTCCATTCCCTGCTCCTCCGTCTCATGCAACATGGGATACTTCAACTCTATGTTGAAGCCAATGTCTTCTCTCAGATTCTTGAAGAGATCCTCCAGCGTGGCAAAGGGCGCCTGGATAAAGTTGCCTCGCGAGTTGGCCTTGAAGCCCTTGGCCTTGTAATCTCTCGTGTGCTTCATGCGTTCCTCCAGGCTGTTAAGACCGTCGCCCGCAAAGCCCATAGATTGAGACCTCTGGCGCGACCCAGGTTGGTTGTTACGAACAACATCTAGATCATGTCTGATCACCTCCGGTGCATGCTCCGAGCGCTCGGGGTTGATGTGCAGGAACTGCTCTAAAGTGAGGGTGTGCACGGGCGCATCTATACCCGTCTCACTGACCAAGAAGTCGTGGTAGATCACAGGTACATGATCCTTGGTGAGCTGGACATCGAACTCAACGTAGTTGGCGCCCAGGTTGGCAGCGGCAATGAAAGACGGAACTGTGTTCTCTCCGAGCTGCAAGGACTTGTTCGTCACCAGATTTTTGCCTAGACCGCGGTGGCCAATAACCATAGTCTCGGAAGACATCTTCTTCCAATACGTCTGCTTGGAGTTGATCCCCATTCTAGGATGAGAGAAGGGAGTGATGATCAGGAAGTTGAAGTTGACTGTCCCGATGACCTCCAGGCTTGCGTTCATGATAGGAACGCACACGTCACCTTGGAGGTTCATTCGATTGGTTCCGAGGGAAGGCTTGATTGACGAAAGCAGGGCAACTGCACGGCCGACCTTGTTCTTCTCGTTTCCAGAGTAAGTGGGTACAATGTCGAACATCAGCTTGACCTTGGCAATGTCTGTCGTGTTGAAGAGAATGGGCTCCGTGGCAATGTTGTCATGCACTGGAAGGTCGACGATTGTGGGTTCGCCCTGTGCCCCTTGAGCAGATACCACGATAGACAACGCAGTATCAAGCTGGTTTGTGTGTGCCTCGGCCAAGGGGACACGATCCAGCGTCACGGCGCTGATGTTCTTCCGCATGTCCATAGATCCCAAGCTGACCAAGACCAAGCTGGAATCCCTGAGGTACCGATGGCCGAACGATTTGACTGGGTCAGGGACGCGTGTGCTTCCCGTAGACGTTCTGTCTTCAAGTGAACAAGTTTCTGGGGGCGTAGGACTGGCCCTAGCAGTCTCTTCATCGTCGGAGTTGGAGGCTTGCTCTTCCTCCTTGGTGTACTGCAACAACAGGTTGGCGATGTCGATGTGTCCTCTAAGAGCAGCATGCTCTTTAGCAGTCCAACCGAACGCATCCATCCTATTAGCCTCGGCTCCTGCTTCCACAAGGATCTTCGCCACAGGGAGTTGACCGTCGACAGCAGCAATATGCAGTGGCGTCCAAGAGAACGACTTTTCAACTAGTTCCATATTGGCTCTGTGGTCAGAGAAGCCATCAAGGAGGATCTTAGCGCACTCCAGATGACCAAAGCGGGCGGCGATATGAAGCGCTGTTTCACCGGTCTCGTCCTGCCAGTTGATATCGACGCCTGCTTTGACAAGCATCTTGACAATGGCCGTGTAATTTGATCTGACGGCAATCGCCAAAACAACACTGGACTTGGATACAGCGCCACGTCCATCAAAAACAGCGTCAGCTTCTCCACGCCAGTTCTCACCTCGGAGCAGCGCTTGAGTCGTAAGGGGATGACCGCCAAACACAGCAAGATGAAGAGGTGCGCTGCCTTCGTTATCCTGCCAATCGGGACCATCAATACCACTCCCAACGTGGAATTGATCCCACTGCTGCATCTTGGCCATGATGACTTCGCACACGACCACAAAACCGAACTGAGCAGCGTAGTGCAGAGGCCAGCGGCCTAATGAGTCTCGTTTGACGAGAGCCGGGCGCTGTTCGGGCTGTAGGCAATCCAGAAGGTATGACAAGACTTGCACAGCTTCATCGTCTTTGCTAAGAAGCGTTGTAGCACCTCCGTTCTGCGACGGTATGGCGGGCTGATTGGGAGTCGCATAGTGGCTATTGTAATGCGAACTCACAGGAAAGGGCACGGCATTTGGCTCCAAATCTCCAGCATTCGCGGACTTTGTCCGTCCAATATGAATGACAAGACGGTGGATGCAGTTGCGCTCGTTCAGATCATCCGCTTCGTCAAGTGACCTGATCTGTTGGAGCAGATACGCAATGCAGGCCTTGGAACGAGATGAGATTGATCGCTGGAGCAGGTTGAGCAGCATTTGCTGAGAAGACTGGTCTAGCGACACCAGGTTGCCTTCCAAGAGGCTGGTCTGAAGTTTCGCTACGTCATCGCTCCTAACAGCCTGCTCGAGTGTGTCGAAAACTGATTGTGGCACACTCAGCATCGCTTTCGCGGATGCTCTTCCAAGTGACCGCGCAGACCGCGCAGATCTATCAGACTTGGCATCATCGATGTTCTGGTTGTCACCGAGCACCGACAGCCACTTGTTGATCTCGTTGACCAGCCGAGCGATCGTAGTGTCTTTCGCAAACGGCCTGGGGTCTACCTTGGTTGTGATATACCGATGTTGGGTAGTTGTATCTGGAATCTTCTTATCCAGCTTCTTCGTGATCTTGACGAAACCTCTGCGGTTGATTTCGCCGAACCACTGGAGATTTCTGAGCTGATTCCGCAACTCAAGGAGTGCTCCCATAAGCTCTTCCACCTCGTCATCGTCGAGGTCGGACACCACTTCGGGGCTCCTGCCATAGCGATCCTGGAGAAGCTTGAGTCTTCGGTGCGACTCGCCAAATTTCTTGTTGTAGAAGGAATCGACGTCTTCCAGATTACGGTCCAGGGCGTAGAAGAATTCTGTTGGGGAGGGTTAGGGGATAGACACGACCTCGGTCGAAACCCGAGGAGGGTGGCCCACCTGCTAGATCCGCCTTCTTGCCCGTCTGCGCACCCTTTTCGGCCGCTGCCTTGATCAATTTCTTCAGACCCTTGTAGTCGATATACGAGGATGCCCACTCGGGGACTTGGTTACGAGGGAGACTGGGACATGATGTGAGCAGGCTGGAGGCAGCCACCCCAGCAATGGCAGGTCCTCACTTTCTACCAAACTTCATTTTCGCGAAGTCAAACTGGGTGTTCTACTGCAATAGGTCGTGTATGTCTAGGTATCGTGCTTGCCGCGATTGGGGACAAGCGGTGTGTCTAGGTTCGAGGGCGGCGGAAAAGCACAATTGCCTTTGACTTGATGATTGTCGCAACAACGAGAAAACAAGAAAAAGTGATGGAGAGAGGTTCGGTCGTGTCTGCTCGGCTTTGGTCAGACTACACGTCAAAGGTTTGGAGCTCAACGTCACTGCAGTACCTCAATCCACTTGGAAAATGCCCGGGTCCCGTTTCTGTTACGTCTGGCAAGTGGGTAAGGGATGTGGTCAAGAGAAGCCTTTGGGCTTGATATTGTGTACAGCGTTAACAAAGAGACATGAATCAGACGCCATTGAAGTTTTGGTTTTGTTGGTGATGGCAGCAGGTTGGAGGGCGCTGTTCGAGGACAGCAGAGGTCTGGAAGGGAGTCCAAGCTGGGAGGAGTGCCAACTACCCCGGGTTTGCTTCAAGAGTGCAGGTTCGGTGATGCAGGGCAAGATACGAAGAATCTTCAAAGCTCACCTTGGAATTGAAGACGTTCGAGCTCGTGGATCGGACATGGGCCGTGACTGGTCGATCTCGTTGCAGCGGCCTCCACCATTGCCCGGTTCATTGGCTGACAGAAGCTTTCGGCGGGCCGGAGGCTACCCGCAACATGCCCCCCAGTGGCACCAGGCCCTTGGCGATTGACCTGATAGAGTCATGCATGAGGCCTCTAGAGGCAAACGGGCGGGATGTAGATTGCAGGCCAGGGGGCTTGTCGTCGACAAAGCAAGTAGCGGGCTTACGCAGCTACAATTTCGACGGTGAATCAATCGCGATCACACGACGGCGATAGCTCGTAGTTGTCGCTCAGCTGACGACCCCGGACCCAGGCGAAGGGGGCTTCCGTGGTTCAATGAGTTACACCGACTCGTTTTCAGGTGCGCCATCGCCGCCGACTGCGGTCAGCTTGCTCAAGCCCGAGTTACGTCCAGGAACCTTGAAACTGGAACGGGTTTACTCTACTGGGGCGAATTCGGACAATCTCGTGTCATCCTAGTCAGTCAAGCCTTCAAGAGACTCGACTTGTGACGCGGAATAGATGGCAACGATGGGGTGGAGAGTTGTGCAGATTTCCCAAGCCCCGCGCCTCGGCACTGGCCTGCTGGCCACCCCTGAGATTGTCCCGTCATCTATCACATTCTATGTCAAGACAAATTGCACCTCTACAGGTGAGCAGTCTCGCGATCTGCAACCCGCCAATTTGGACATGAAAACTGCCCAGATCCCAGCGGGGTTCCATAAGCTTGTCAAGAAGGATCTTCACCTTCTAGCTGCATAAAGAGCCAACAAACACGGTAGTCACTGTACCTTACCTCTCTGGATACGTACTAAGCAAGCGCACTCGACCTGGTGGGGTTCACCCGGGTCAAGGCCAATGGTGGAGTCTAGTTCACAACGTGGGCCTGGAATCTCGGGGCACGTCCAGTTGTTGCTCTGTACAGTCTGCATAGGTAGGTATACATCGAATTATGTGTTTCTTTATACAGATGGACATTTGCCTGTCCAAGTCTATCTTGTATACAATCGTCGCACTTGGTCACACCCATGACTTCCTCTGATCGTGAGATTCAAATCGTCAGGATGCGAAAGCAGCCTGTCGTGGCGGCGTGGCCACTGGTTCCTCTAATAATACTTCCGGTCTTGGATCAGACAAGACGCTTCTGGCCGATTTCGCACCAGTTGTTGATGTATCTACATATCCAGGGGGCGGTGAGTTCTCGTAGACCCCGGATGGCGCAGCCGGGGTTGTAGCTGCTAGAACGCAGTCTTCCACAGCAGACGCCTCGTTCTCGCCCTTCATCTCGGGGTCATACAAGTCCCCCAGGGGCATTTCGTACCAGTTCCGGTAAGCCTGTCTCAGTGTATCCTGTCGGGCCTTCGGAAGCTGGCAGAACAACATAGCTTTTGTAACCTCCTCCGCTGCGACATCAGCCACCGGGACCTCACAATCCGCTGTGCTGGAGCTTGAGGCCGTGGTCTGCGGTGCCGCGAACATATTTTGTCCACGGTGATAGAACCCAATCAGTGAGTCTATGCTCAGGTTTTCCCATTGAGCAAATCTCAGGAACTTCTCGGCCAGGTTTTGGTCGGGCATTCCGTGCAATAACTGTGCTCGTACATCGTGCAATGTCATGTCTCGACTGACAACTACCGACTGCAAGGCATGAAATACAGCAGGATATGCCTTGTCCTCTTTGTGCCAATCAATAGGAGGTAGCCAAGCTTCGTGGTCGAGGTCGTGCCCAGTTCTGATCGTCAGAGCCAGATTTTTTGCATGGGCATCTATTCTCGCCATTCTCGCCTCTAGTGTTTGCCACTTTTTGTACAGCCCAGCTATCTTGAACAGCGCCCGAAAGTCACCTGAAGCCTGAGATTTCTGGACCTCCTTGGCGTGAACTTTTCTGTTTGAAACTTTTCTCGAATTGTAACTTGGGGTGCGACTTGCCCTCTTCGTAGTGACGCTTTCCCCAGGCTCGCTCTGGAGAATTTGCAGCTGTTCAGTCAGCGTCGTGACTTGCTCGGTGAATGCTTGACCGCCGAACGCTTGACCGCACAGATCAAGGAGATGGCAGAACATGTCGGCTATCTTCCTTACCACTGGGGCGGACGCCTGGATAACAATTTGATTCATCAATGCCTCGCATTGCTCGTAGTGGTTCATCAGCCCCTTGAGAATTGCACGTGCGGCACTCCTATCAAGAGTAGCGAGGCAAGATTCCAAAAGCTGGTATGTCACGTTGAGGGAAACAGTTCTTCCTTCGCGAAGGCACGCAATGAAGGCCGCGCTAGCATGAGTGAGCTTGCCAAGCTGCAGCCAGCTACGGATGAGAGTATTAAATACTGGGTCATCACGGTACGCCCTCTGCACATACGTATGTTTGCGAGGGGTAGCTCTCGCACGAGCCCACTCAGCCCTAGATGGGGTGAATATTGCCGGTTTGCTGAGTAAGCGGTAGTGCAACCCATCCTCACCTGCACCTCTCATGCGACGCACGATGTGGCGAAAGAAACGATGGTCACCAGCGTCTGCTGTGTGTTGTAGAAGGCAACATATGGTCTGCCGGGTTGCAGGCCACGTGGTATCTTCGAGGTATGACTTGACCACGACTTCTGCCAGATCAGGCCGTTGAATGCGGTTGAAACCAGCAATGAGGGTGTTGTAGTTGTGGATGTTGGGGGCAGATTCCGAAATCAATATGTTGCAACATATCTTGCCAACTGCCTCCTTGATGTCTGCAGGGCCATCCAGAATCTGGCGAAACGTCCTGCTCAAAAGATTTCGGCCAGATGAAGACGACGCCGGGTCCGCATTCGGGTTCTCATACATTGGGTACGTCCGTAGAAGGTCTTCAGCTTCGCTAAGAACCCGATCTCCTGATGAAGTTTGGCCAGAATGGTCCGCTCGCACGCGCCATATGAGGCTTTGCACCAACGCCTCCATAGTTGCTGTCGTCCTTTTCATTTGATCTGGATCTTTGGGGTGTCGCATAGGGAAATAAAGAGCCTTCTCCTCCGTTGCAATGGCCGCTTCGACCTGAACCCAGTCTACTCGGTATCGTGGCCAGGGCTGATGAGCGCCGGGACGTAATGCTGCGCCGGCCATCTGTTCCAATTCATCCATGAGAGAGGCCGTGCTCTTTGTTCCGGATGTTCTCCTGTTGGATTCGTAACCGCCGCGTTCGTTCGCGCCATCTTGAGGTAAGTCCGAGTTGGTGTCGTCCAAACCACTCGGTGCCTGCTGTATCGCCAAAGCGCTCAACGACGCTCGAGCTTTGTCCAGCTTCGCGTCCAGCTCCTTTCTCCGCACTTCCTTCTGCCTCGTGTCGACTACCACCGCAGTGCCCAGGATTGTCGTGTAGCAGGCCGTGAAGAGGTCGGCAGCAGTCACTCTTCGACGCGAAGCTGCGGTGGTCGACCGCCGAGCTACGGCATTGGTCGAATGGAGGCACAACCTGCAGCGACAGGCTGATTGCGCCTGCGCAGCGCGGGACCACAAGGTCTGCATAGCGCAGGCATGTCGGTCCGGGTCAATTGAGTGCTAGGATGACTCTCACGGCTGGGACTACACGCGAAACATTTGATCGGTATGCACAGATTCGAAGGAGCTCCTGGCCATCTGATGTTGTCGAGGGCCGCAAGCTAGCGCGGATCAAAATTGAGCCTGGGCCCGGGGTGCTGGTTCTGGTTGTTACTGTTTACAGGCATATGCGGGCATGCATAAACGGATTCACGCATAGCTTGCCTGCATTCTCGACGAAAGCTTCATCACCATCACCTCCTCTTGATCTTATCCGCGGGCACAGCTCTCGAGTTCCTCTGTCACTATGTACGCGCTCACTTTGACGGCGGAATTATCCGGGTACGTGTGCCAATCCTCTGTACGGATCTATACGGCCGGGTAGCTTACGGATTGGCCATCAGGGTTACCAACCTGCGACCCCAGGACACAGAGGATAGTCCGTTCTGGTATACTTTCACGGTCCAGTGCACATCATGCCGCGAGACACATCCAAACACCGTCGCCGTCAGCAGATTTGTGAGCCTAGGATCCTAGTTCTTCGCCTCCTTTAGAGCAGAGCTCACACATAATCCGAACTTAGGAGAACAATGAGATGAGCGGCAGCAGGGGCGAGGCCAACTTTGTTTGGAAGTGCAAGAACTGCAAGGTCAGTCTCATCGTACCAAAATCTGTATAGTGAGTCAAGCGCTAAATTACATCTAGCGAGAGTCGACTGCCACCATCAAGACTACGCCAAAACCGTACGAGCAAGGAGAGCCGGCAAAGGCGCAGCCCATCATCGAGTTTGATTGCCGGGGCCTGGAATTCACAGCTTTTCACCCGGAGGTGAGTCGACTTTGAATTGGACTTTGACACGGTGTGCTAATGAAGCTGGATGGTCAGGGCAACTGGCTCGCGGAGGGTGCGGACTCGGGCACCAAGTTCACCGAGATTGACACTCTGGCGGACGGAGAGTGGTTTGACTATGATGAGAAATCCGGCGAGGAGGTTAGCATCAAGGATCTCACCTGGGATATCAAGCGTGCGTAGGAGATATTTGGTACATGCTAGGATTCGAAGACAAGGAACCTGGGCCTGGTGAGTGCCCAACGAAGGAATGGCTTTGCCGACACCAATGGGATTTTCACCTCACCCAAATATGCCCAGACAGGCCTGGCGTGTCACATTGAAAGCCCGCCAATTTCCACACATTTCTAAGTGACTAAACCTATGGGAACATAGTTTTGTGTAAAAAGTCCACGAAGCCTTCCACTCAACGCACCAACACCAAGCGCTGCCGGGTATATGCATGTAGCGGGGCCTCAATTGTCTCGGTTTCTGCCTGCCCCACCACCGATAACCCCAAGCTCTGCAGCGTATCACCCATCTCGAAATCGCCCTACGCGAAAGCTTCCAACCACGAAAGACATAGCAGAGCGCCGAGGCAATACCAGACCCAAGCCGCCCACCATGAGTGTAAGCCGCGCCGACTTTCTCCCCATGGCCTCCCGGGATTCTCGAGCTGACCTTATGGCTTCTAGTTCATGCCCTACAACCCGCGGTCTATGCTGCAAGACCTGTGAGTCTCCGTCCCGGCCTCGTCCCGTTCCTAGTCGTTCGCGTCTCGCCAGGAAGGCAGACCCTCCCGCAGGCCAGAACTGAGAAAACTAACGCATCCGTGGCTCTACAGCGTCAATAAGGACATCGTCGTGCGCCTGAAGTGGGGCCAGACCGAGTACAAGGGCCGCCTGGTGTCGACCGACAGCTACATGAACATCCAGCTCACCAACGCCCAGGAGTTCATCGACCAGAAGTTCACGAGCGACCTCGGCCAGATCCTGATCCGCTGCAACAACGTGCTGTGGGTCAAGGGCGCCGACCAGGGCGAGAGCGGCGACGTTAAGATGGAGGGATGATGTAACGGTTGTTGGTGCTTGTTGCTGCTTGGGGAAAGCTTTGCGGTGAACCCAGAGCTCGCAGTTTTTTGGGCGAGCAGGCTGGGCCTGGTGCAGGCCGGCGCGTACAGGGGATCACGACCAAGTCAATCTGTAGCGGACGAGAGTGTGCAGGGCCCATATACCCAGGCTGGAGGGTGAGACAGCGCGCTCCGGCTGGCACAGAGGTCATACGAAAAGAGTCCAGCTTCTCACTGAGGACGCCGGATTGCCATGGCATCCGGGCCGTGGAAATTTGGGAATAGCAAAAGGCGTTCGGTCATTTGACAAAAAAAAAGAAAGACAAAAGGAATTTATGACCTTCAATGTCTAAGAAAAGGTCCACACCCACCCACACACCATACGGCGCATATATATGTTGCCCCTGTGTTTAAGCCTCCTCGCTCTTCCGTCTCCCCTTTTCGTGACGTCTACTACATCAGGCATGCTACTTGACGGCTGCTGCACATTTCAGATGCGCCGACCTTGACCCTCTGCGCCTCACTAACCCACATGAAAGCCTCGACCGTCCACTCATACCAGACCTTGGTATCGTCCGTCTGCCTCCACATGCTGACTTCTAGCTCACTGTCCGGGGGAAAGTAAAGAGGTTGCTATTAGACTGTCAGCGTGATCCAACGCAAGTGCGAGATCTATAGGCAAAATTCCGCTACATACCTTCAGGGGGAAGAAAATGGGGAACCAGGAGATCATGTCCTTGCTCTTCTTGTCAATCGCATCCGGCAGGGTGCTTAGCTCCACCAGTTCCTTGTTGCTAGCGTGCGGGCGGTAGAGGACCGACTCAAAATACCCAGCAAGGCCGTGGATGACGCCGCGGTCCCTGCAGACAAAGGTCAGGTGGCAATGTCGTGAGTTGTGATCATTGGCGCCAACACCTCCGGCCATGGAGCCGCCGCCTCCACCAACTACGCCTCCAGACCTCCTGGCCTCGATTCTGTCCATGGTGGACTGTGGCAGGGGGTGCACGAACTCCCACGCCTGCTGGAAACGCTCGTGGCTCGGTACACGTTGGGCGACGAAGTCAAGCTGGAACAGGCGGACGACCCACGGCGTCTCGAAAGCATTCGGATCCATCGGTGAGCGCCGGCTGATGTCGGCGTGGAGGCGGGGAGTAGAAATAGGGGAGAGATGGGCCGTGTAGGACTCTGGGATAGAGATGCCGTGGGGCTTGGCAAGCACGTGTTGGATACCATCAAGACACTCTGGGGAGAGCTCGTTGTCACCGAACGATCCAAGCAATTCCGAAACCAAGATATCGACTTGCCCGTGCTCCGGCTGATCCGCTGTCCCGCCTACGATGGGTCCCTTCCAGGCTCGCATGTCCGTCTTGACGACGGTGACACGGCCTCCCCAGACCATCTGGTTCTGGCGGAGCAGATAGACATAGGCGTTCGGGTTCTTCTCCACCGCCCAAACCTGCACCGGAACTCCAGTGTTCTCGCTTGCCCGCAGGGCCCGCGTCACTAGTGGCCCGCGGCCTGAGCCTGCGACGGCAATGACCACTGCTCCCGTGGGCGATGAAGTCGGCTTGCGTTGATGTGACCAGTCGGCAAGGGCCTTTCCAATCGCAAGCTCGTATTGGTTGTACTTGACAGGATCGCCCTCGAAGACCTCGTACGTGACAGACTCTAGGTTGTCTGAAAGTGGTTGCAGAGGAGACTGTAGCCAGTCTTGGAAGTTGGTCAAAGTACCTTGCTCAAGAGCCGACACTGGCTGTTGCTGACTTTCGACGTATCGCAGGTACGAAGCATAACGGTTCAGCTCGATCGTCTTGTGATTATGCTTCTTGGGTTTCTGCGCCGCTTGTGAGAGGGTTGGGAACTCTTCAGCGGCCAGTTGCTCAATCTGCTCTTCGATGGCTTTGACTTCGGGTCCAACATCGTACAGCATGAAGTACGGGGCGATCTTGAGCCTCATGTAGGTCATGATCATATCCTGGTGGCGCTTGGTCAAAGATGGATAACCCGCCTTGTTCGTCTGAAAGGACTTTGGCCCGAAAGTCAGGTATTGCACTGGCTCTGAGAACCATCTGGTCTGGACTTCGTTGCCGGGTAACATCCTAGGCATTCTTACAGCTAAAAGCCCGAGTCAGTCTCTTGATGCATAGTCTAGAAAGCCCAGTCTACTTACCAGCGAAGAGCCTCGAGTCGTATTCGCAGACTGAACGAATCGTGTGCCAGGTGTCCCAAGAGCTGAAGATGTCGATTTCTTCCCCTTGAGGCTGCGACCGATCGCCATTTTCACCTAGGACGGTGGTCGACAGGACATCGGTCTGTTCTTCCAGTCCGGGCTCTCGGTACATGGGAAGGTGAATGACGAAATTAAGGCGGGTGCCAATGACCAGTGCCTCTTGGATGGCCCGCGCATACTGTGCGACACCTTGGTGGTTTCCGGCCTTGATGGAGTCTTGCCTCGGTCCCGGGATCACGATGGTGCGCACACCGCAGAAGTTGGCATACGCGATTTCCAGATTCAGAACCTGCCTCGAGATGCTGGACACGGCAGCGTTTCCAGAGCAGAGGTCCAACCAGGGGCTTGAGTAGGCTATCAGTCCGCCTGTAGTTGGGCTAGGAAAGAGTGAAGTATCCTCAGTTGTCAATGGCGGCACGATGGGATCTGGGTGACAACTGGGAATTTCTGACTTGTCGAGTTCGCTGATGCTTCTAGACGCCAGCTCTGTCACTCTTTGGCGGAAATGTTCATTCGTGACAGGTGTGGTCACGAAGCTGAACTAGAATCTGTTTAGACGTTGAAGCTAAGCGAGGTCCAAGTCACTTACACCAGCGTTGAGCACCTGTCCGTACTGAAGGTCGCTCAGTGTCTCGGATCTCGCAGAGTCATGCTGGCCGATGTAGAAATAGGGACGGATGTCTTCATTGGCGTCGTCGCCATGCTCATACGTGTTCTGCGCCATGATTCGGGTCGGGCGCTTTTCAGCGAGGGCTGTGGTCTTTGCGCCTCAGGGTTGGGTGAGGTGGAAAAGTGTGTGAAAATTTCGAAATGGCTCTTGTAGGAAAGATGATCACGACTCCATTTTGAGTCTATCTTATAAAAGGCAAACGTGATCTGCGTCAAATTTTCGAGACACGATAGGTCTGCTCAAGATATTGTGACGAAATCCCTTTCAGTTGGGCAGGTTGATGAAGCATGAGAAAACGAGAAACCTAAGGCGCCTTTCTTTAGCCGACTACTTTGTGTGCGCTCCAGTGGGAAGCACCGCGCTGGGCGCTGTCTATATCACGAGACGTCGGTACTACGAACCAAACACTGCGCAATGTTGGAGGGGGGATAGGCCCGAAATATCTCAACTACTGAAGTGTTTCTACACATTACTTCTCAAACAAGACTTGATAAATTGACCTGTTAATAATGCACTGGGTATTGCAAACTGCCAGACCCTGAAGATCAACGAAGGAGCTTGACGCAGCCTGATAGACGATTGGCTAGCCCTTGCGCGACGCCATACCCCACCTCTGCTAACGGCCCAAAGCAATCCATGGTGGGGAGCAATTTTGTAGTCTCCCAAACCCCCCCGACAGCGGCACCGGTGTGCATACAACACGTACAAGGCGCACTCTGTACCGGCAAAGCAGCACAATGAATCGGCGCATGGTAAGTACCGCCGGCCGTCGCATCCATGGACCGGATGACCGGACTAGCTCTAACCTGAACGTTTCCACAGCTGTCCAAGGACGAGGAGGGCGCGGGCGATGAGGTCGAGGTGCGCCGCGAGGACCAGGACAAGATCAACAAGTTTAGTCGTCTGCACCAGAAGGAGCTGAAGCTCGAGGAAGATCTCAAGACGAAGAACGTGAGTCAGTTAATCGGCGGCGATACGGGCGCATTTGGCTGACCACTGCTACGCCACCGCAGAAGGAGAAAGAGGAGCTCGACGATGTCACGACCGAACTAGAACTCGCCGACGAGGACGAGACGGTGCCGTAAGTCGGCCGCCGGCGCCAGGCGCCTCAGTAGCGACTGTGCGACTGTATACATCCAGCATGGGTAGCTAATAGCTTACTACACAGGTATAAGATTGGCGACGCCTTCTTTCACGTCTCGTTAGAGCAGGCGCAGGAGATGCTATCCACATCCAGCTCGAACATTGAGGATGAGATTTCAGCGTTGGAAGAGAACCTGAACACGGTGAAGGAAGACATGACCCAGCTGAAGGTGGAACTATACGCGCGATTCGGCCGCAGCATCAACCTGGAAACCTGAGCCTGAGCGATAGCAAGCACAGGACAGGGCGGTCGAGGCCCGATATTGGTCAAGCCTACAGCACTCCACGTCCGTTCAAGAGGTGATTGGGGAGGTGGTGGACGGCAGCCAGCCCTCTCCTTCAGCCAGTGCAGCGATGCAGCATGTGGTGTGGTGTGGTGTGGGTTCCAGGCGAAGTGATCCCTGAATCCATACGTACTTGGACAGGAAAGCCGGGGAGGGGGAGCTGTTCCAAGGATTCTATGTAATAGACGAATGGACTCGGACAGCAGGGGCCAAGGCCAACAACAAATCCAACTTGCGAGTTACCCCTTGCCTTACTTTGCCTTGCCTTGCTTGCCCTGCCTTGCCCTGCAAATTGCTTGTCTGAGCTGGCGGCGGGCTGCGTTTTAGGCGGGCTGAGGCTGGAAGGTGCCTCGCCGGGCCTCGGGACCGCCCTGGCTTAGCGCCGTTTCAGTGCGGCTCCAGTTGCAGCCCACTGCAGCCCGCTGCAGCCCACGGCCAACAGATGATGTCATTTGTGTATTTCCCAGGCACAGGTGCAGCCGGTGGGCTAGCAGAAATCATGGCAGAGCCCTGGCGCGTTCTCAAATAGACGAAATCAAAACCAGCCTTCTCTCCGCGTTGCTAGGCGTGTGGTTGCATCCAGGCTCACTTCATAACCAGTGCATATCTCCAGGCACGCGCCAGACTGCCCTCCCTCGTTGTTCGAGTTCTTCGGCCCTCGACGGTGTCACTGCAGCTGCCCATCTCCGCAGTAACTTGCAAAGAGTCTTCCGTATCGTAGGATCGTGTGGCCTTGTAGCTCTGCCTAAACCTCACGAGACCAATTCGTCCTGGTCTAGTCGCCATGGCTACTCTCCGTACAGTATTGCCCGTATGGGCGTTGGCAGCCATCGCCGCAGCTGTGCCAGCCCCCGAACCCGTACCGCACCCGATGATCACGCCTGCCCCGGAACGCCGAGCCTTGGATCCCGGCTCCTATATCAACAGCGTGATCAGTAACATCGGGAGCGGCGTGTCGTCTTATGTTGCTTCAGGTGTCCCGCAGTTCTTCCAAGACTTCCCAACGGGCGACGCCGTCGAGAGTTCTCTGGGCATCAACAATGACGACCTAAAAGCGACACCAACGCAGGTTCTGAATATACCGTAAGCAGGACAATCACGCGGCCAAGCATCCCCTAAGCGCACAGCTGATACTGATTTCCCAGGGGCTACGGTAACTGGACAAATGACGGCTGGAATGTGCGAGTTCACGGCAACGTCTTCAAGCAGCCAAACATCTCGCAGGACGATGTGGACGACCTCGCCAACAAGTTCCTCATCGGCACCGATATCCAAGATCTGCCGGAAGACCAGCAGAACCAAGCCAGGAATCTGACGCGATCTATTTTCGTAGTGCAACAGGAGGACCTCAATGTCACCATCAACTTCGAGAACGACGTGTCCGTTGAGCCTGACGCAAGCGGCGGTGTGATCAACGCCGAGGGAGGAGCGCAGACTATACAACTACCGTATAAGACGACCGACCAAGGAGATTTCGATACTTTCGTAGTCCTTGCTAACACGACTGGGCCCAACGGCGGTCACTTGATAGCCGGCAATGCCACCAGCAGCATTCAATCATTGAACATGTACGCCAACGGAACTAATACCGGCAACGCCACGGCTTACTTGGTGCCCCCCGAAGGCCTGACGATTATTTCTGATATTGACGACATCTTGAGAATCACCAAGATCTATGACCCAAAGGAGGGATTGCTTAATTCTTTCGCAAGAGCCTTCACGCCGTGGGAGAACATGCCCGAGATATATGCCAATTGGTCGGCCTCGATCCCTGACTTCCACTTCCACTACTTGACCACCACGCCCGAGCAGGTCACAAGAAACTATATGGAGTAGGTTTTCTCTAACCTTTGCTGCTCCCAAAGGACTATCCCAGCTAACCTCTTGCCCAGATTTATCTACAAGACATATCCCCTCGGTTCATTCGATACACGACCACTCAACTTTTCCGACGTATCGGCAACGCTCTCGATCCGACGCTTTCTCTTGGACAAGATCTTCCAGACCTTCCCCCAGCGAAAGTTTGTCCTCATGGGTGACACCACGAACTCGGACGTAATGGTTAGTTTTCCTTGATCCACTCCACAAAGTTCGGAGGAAGCTGTGAACACTCCTAACAAGAAAACAGAAAGCGTACCCTGCTCTAGCCAAGGATTATCCTGGCCAAGTCCAGTGCATATTCCTTCGCAATACCTCTGCAACAGATAGCACGGATTTGTTCCCCTACGATACATCCGGCTTCGAGGGTCTCGATCAGAAGCAATACATGGTAAGCCCCCAGACCGAGAGAAATGTAACGTGCAAATAATTCAAATGCTCATACACCCTTCCAGTTCTTCATCCACGCAAATGACCTTACCAACCTCGACGTTGTTGGTGGCAACTGCTACAACGCAACCATTCCGCAAAACGTTACATTTGGTTACCAAGGTTATGGATTCGGAAACTCCGCTTCGTCCAGAGCCTTTGGAGGCAGTTCGGCCACTGCTCTCATCATTGCATGGTTCTCCCTGGCCGTGCTGCTCTTTTAAAGGAAGAGGAATCGGCATAACAGCTACGGTTAGCAATGCAACACATGGACGTGTGGATGAAATGAATTCAGTGTATGAAGTCAACGTTTCCCAGGTGGTTTACGATAACATAGGGTTTGGTCAGTTTAGGTCAGGAAGTCCGTCAGTAGGCGTTCAGGGCATAGCCAGTTGGTGGTTTCTGGGAATTGGAGCTCATGATTACTACAAGTATAGGTGCTCTAACTATTTGGTGCATTTTGAGATAGTCCAAAAATGTCTCTGTCTCCATTTCATTTTAGTATTCTTGAGTATATATCAAAAATCCATCAGATCAAGGAACCCGATAGATACCAACTAGCAGGGTCAAAGCACCATTTCACCATTCTCCATCAAGTATAGTTGGCTCTCTCAAAGTACGAGTTTTCAAGATCGGCCGGCGGAAGTACCATAAATTGGGATTGCCTTCATACGTCATGACTTGAATAGCAACGGAGCTAAGAGGTACTGTAAGCCTTGTACTACAATAGCAACATCTATACCCGCAGCAACCTCCCATAGTCTGAACATCGATCTTGCACTTTTGCCGCCTCTTATAATAAGCCCCTGACGCAAGCAGGAAAAGACCTCTGGAATCGACACGCCGATCCCGCAGATCAGCATGGCGTCCCAGCTCCGCGCCCTGCCGGCCTACGTGCTGGTCGTCGAGTACTTCCTGGGCGGGATCCCGCGCCTCTCGCCGGTCCCGCTGCGCGCGCTGCACGAGCGGATCCGCGACAAGTCGCGGCGGACGGCGCCGCACCTGCGCCCCGTGTTCCCGTTCCCGCCCCGGGGCGGAAGCGACGCTGACGTCAGGCACCAGATGCGGTGCATCGGCGCCCTCATGGTCGCGACCGGCCTGCTCCTGGCGCTGCCCGCCACCAGGGGCAGCCCCGTCACCCTCGCCCTCGAGTGCTTCCTCACCGGCGCCGGCGCCTGGAGCCAGATGCGCGCCGGCCTGGTCTACTGGCTGCCATGCGTCAACTTCGTGCTGGCGTGGGTGGTGTGGGCGATGGAGAGGCGATAGAGACCAGGTGTTGTTTTATGTGCTACGGAAGTAGTCAACTTTAGTGTTGAAGCACGGTAAACTATGTGGGTTTGAGTTGGTCCAGCTGGGTTTGTTGCTATTATAACAGCCGCTTGGTCTACTAGATATACTGACGTGTTGAACAGCGTTTCAGATACGTGAATTAGTAACCACCATTACATTGTTCAGAGTCTCCTCAGCCTAGGCACACCTAGGGTTGTCCTTTGTCGTTCGTTGGATCATCCCGAATAAGCAAGTCGGAACGATCGCCCCGTCCTCCATGACTACCAATACGATCGGAAACTACTGTGGTAGACCGGCACTCCATCTTAGCATGACTATTCAGGGGTGCGTAGAGAGGTTCAAGATATGTGGAAAGCCCCTGGATGTTGTACTATCACTCCACCTGTTCTGGTTCATTGTTGCGTAATCCGGAATGGATGATATTCATACGCTTACTGTATTCCACAGGAGAAGTAAAACCAACCGCAGTATCATCCTTTGGCTCGAGAGCGATTGCTGCCTTCGACAAATGGAGCAATTCCCACATATGGGCTCGGAGGCAGGGATGTCATCCTCGCCAGTCATCATTAGGCTTAAAGAAATTTCAAGATAATACTGACTCAACAGAAATGGTCTGCATCGGCAATGCAACATCATCGTTGTGGTTTCATTTGGCCGTGCAAACGATTGCCTGTGGCCATTCCAGGTTGTCGACGTATACTACAACCATGCATGCAAGAAATGTAACTAGGGACTGCGCCCTTTTCGGAAATCTGGACCCGGAAACCAGAACCGGCAGATTGGGACTCCGGGGAAGCCGACCTGTTCCATACGCTCGGGAGGGCTGAACAGCGTCTCGAAGTGCCAGAGCGACGGCGCGGGTGAGCATGACCCAAGCTCGTCTGATTGGCGTGTCGGGCGATGATACACTGAGGATTTCGACCGGTGAAGCTCCCCAGACGACGTGTACCGGGCCTGCCGATGTGACATGTTCATCGCAGTCTGGGACGCCCACGCAGACGGTCGTCGTGTGCGCTGCGATATGTGGTTTACGCAGTTGCGCAGCGCAACATTGGGCCCGAGTCCCTGGCTCCTATCTTCGCTTCCCTGTCACGCAGGGGCAATAGCCCCGTCCCAATGGTCTAGAAAAGGTCAATTGGCCTGCCTCGGATCCCGAGAAGAATGCGGAGCTGAAGCTGTTGTACATTTCGCGGATTCCCTCAGGTCAGCACATGCTTTTCAGAAGACATATGATCCCTGACCTGGGAGGCGTACCATAGCAACCTCGTCTGCCACGACACGGTGGCACGGGGATCCACTCGCGATGGCACTTCCACCCGCGATCCCGCAAAGGGCCGATCTTTTTCTGGGACCCCAAATACTTTTCTTGTGTGGTCCTGCGAAAGAAAGGTGACGTGAATCTCTCCCAGCCCACATGAGCTCGTTGTGAGGAACGTCCTCTGGGTATGCTGGATTGCTTTATGCATCGATCTTGGGCAAGCAATGGCAGCAGGCTGCTTCCTGGGCCCATCGCTGAACCTGGGCCGTAATAACACCACTCGGAGCAGTTGCCGGTCGCGGACTCCGCCAGGTCGTGCCCTGTTCAGTACCATGGGATAGGGATACATAGTCCCGTAGTACAATGCAGGAATAGCGTAATACCGTCCTTTTCCGCCCGCCCACTGCACGATCGCGGCACAGGGTCTGGGTCCCTACTTGCTCCTTCGGATGGTTCATGATTCTCGGTCCTTCCAAGCCCCCGGCAGCTTAGTTATGCCGGAGTGGGCGCTGACTGCGTTCAGGTTCGGAGCCATGGATTCGGTGCATGTCAGATCTATTGACAGAGCCCCTGGGTCCCCCTTGGGATTGAGAATCCTTGAAGGGCTGCCAAGAACGTCTTCTGTATCGGGGAGAACCATCGAAGTTAATATTCATGTCTGTAACCGAAAAGTGAAGTTACCGTCACATTCTCAACCCGACGACCCGCCGGACACGCTAACATTAGCGACTCAGGTGGTTCCTGGTGTGGGGAAAGCGTGGATGCAGTATAGTCTGGACTGAGCAGAAAGCCAAAAACCGACAGAGCTAGACGGTTGAAGCATAGTTGCGGCTTAGGCCCATTGGGTTTCGGGGCTCATCTAGGAAAACTTGCGGGCAATCCCACTTGAAACGGACCTGGTATTCGGCAAAAGGAAGCATGGATCGTCGATGCTGTTGGCCCATAACCCATAAAAGGACCCAGTCCGAGGCGCCAGCTGCCGACTGACGGAGAGGCTCTGATATCACGACTGGCCTGGAACCAATGGGATACCGATCCAGACGACCCTAGATTTCGGTTCTCTTATGTAGCTGCGGAGATAAAAAAGACAGATTGGCGGTTCATATCATGCTCTTGATGCGGCATCTGCCGCATCTGTATGAAAGGGAAAGGGAGCCAGATGTTATACCCGACGCGAATGAGCTGTGTTGCGCTTGCGGTGCATTGAACTCGGGCCGCATGACCTCTGATAGCTGCGGCCTGAAATGCGCCTATGCATATGGATTGTCGCTCGAAAAAGTCGTTCATCCCATCAAGCAGCCGTGAAACAAGCGAGCTTGGTTCCCCGAGACCGGGGATCCTTACCCTGATCCTTGTCAATTTCGTAGGCTATTCATGATACGCAGCAGCGTATGCGGCAGAGTACTGATCCAGACATGGCCCGTTTCCTCTCTGTGCGCTCACAATACTGGGCCCGAGGTCTGTCGGTTTATGGCTGTGGCCGACCGGCCGGTAGTTGTCGTGGCCCAATGCCTCTCAGAGCCTCCCGGCCAGACCAGAGCGACAGAGTCAAGGCCAGGAATTGTGGTACTATAACTCTGTAATTAATTATGGAATCGACCTACGCCAGGCTACTACAATGCTGATAGCCCAGCTACACCATTTTGTTGAACCATGCCATTCTGATAGGTTAAGCAGATGGCATCCTATTCCGGATCCCACTCCAAATATCTCCATCCAGTGCTTCCAGGTAGCCGAGGCGCGCCCTTGGTCCCAGCAAGCGTTCCGTGGATGGCACTCTTTCCGAATCGATAAGACGTGAACCGCGATCCGTCACATGCTCCTTGACAAGACCGGGGGCCCGGGTGTGGCACTCGTGACGACTGTCGATACCGGGTCTTGATTCGCCTTGTACCTCAGCGTCCAGTCACTGCTCGCCTCGTCCATGTTCACCATCTCCATCAGCGTATAGTACAGCTCGCCATCGGCGGCACGTGGAACGAAAATGTCGCGAGAGGAGTTTCGTGAGGGGCCTGGAGGAATTTCCATATCTCGTCCTTCTGCCTGTTCTTCGGCGTTAGTACACCAGGAGACAATGGGGCGCCCGTGGCTAAGGGGGAAGGCTTACACAGCAGGAGGAGCAGGCCGAATTATTCACGTACACCCAATTAGGGCAATTGTGAGTATAAAAGTACTTGCAACGGTACTTGTAGAAGCCTCCGCCACCTCCGCTGCTCATCTTGTCCGTGGGTTGTAAGGTAAGGTAAAGGTGGAACGAGGAAATTAAAGGTATTAAGACAGATGGGAATTCTAGCTCTTTGTTGGTATTGATACAGGGAAAGGACTGCCCGCTGGCAGTGAAGCGACTTGGATCGGCTGGAGAATGAAGAGACTCCAACAACGAGAGAAGTTGAACGTCTTTATCCTGATCGTACAGAATTCCGTGGGCAAGCTCACCCTGGCCAGTCTCGGGAAAAGCAAGAGATCTACTCAGGGTAGAGGGTAGTTATTTATCACCAGGCACCCTGGCAGGGTATCCAGCAGGACCCAATACCCAAGAATCGCTGACATCCATGGCTTTGCTTTGCAGATGCAGAAGGATGCATGTGGTGTAGCCACTCGACTCAAGGGGTCGAGCTCGCTGCCGCAGCCGATTCTTATTAGGAAGACGCTTGCTCACGCCACTTGGGTTGACCCTTGCCGCAGTAGCTCTAGGGAACAATCGTAACCGAGTGACAAGGGTTAAGTTAGCAGTTAGTTAGTGGCTACGACAGGACCCTGCCATCCATGGATGCAACCTGCAACCTGCGGGCTCCGGCCAGCTGCACGAACCGAGAAGGCGCCTGTAAGCAGAACGACGTCTCGTCTGCCTGATACGTACGGTTCGAGATGGCCTGGATCCGCCAGCCTGCTGATGATTGACTGCAATGATCGAGGTTGGAATCGATAGTTTGTTCCGTCTGCGAACGGGTCCTGGTGCGGCACTGGTTTGGCCCAAGTTCCGGGGGCCCTCGAGGTACAAAGAAGGTAATAAGCTAAACTCCGACTGGGAACACGTCTTGATAATGCCACTCGACAGATCTCAACGTTTGCCGATTGGTAGAACCTGCAATTGGCTCGCCGTGGAGACTGTGCTGTCTACCGCGGGACGGAAGTTGATTTCTGACGAATGCGATAGTCCTCAGCTGGTTATGCAAGGCGAGGGTCTGCATTCCTTCGATGACGCCACATGGAGGAGAGTATCAAAAGGACCTTTTCCTGTATGGCGCACGCGCCGAAATGCAGTCATGCTTGGCAAACGTCCATATCCACGTTTGCTTTGAATAAGTGCTGATCAATCATACATTTCGAAAGGCTATACGGAGCAGATGCGCGAGCAGGACCATCGCAACTTACAGCCTTGCAGACGGGAAATACTGAGCGTCATTGTGCTCCGATGGCTTGCGTTGGTGGCTGGTGGTGACAGTCAACCTGCGGGAGTCGCGCAGGGATCCTGTGTCGCCCGTTGATGGGGCCGCTTGATGACAGGCATTAGAGAAGGAAGTGAGAAGTCCAGAGACGCCCATCGCCATTGTTGATGAAGCACCTTGGTAGGAGAACATCGAACTCCGACTGCAGGGAGCTTGAGTGGTTACCGCCGTTGAGGGTCCTTTACGCTAAATTCTCCGGCGACTAGGGGGAGGGTGACCCTTGACACCCTATGCGCGCCAACCTACAGTTATATCCCACACGCACGAGATCAACCTCTACAACGCTGGCCTTCTCTAACCCGTATCGTCCAGTCGGGTGCTCGAGGCGCTGCCCGCGTGTGCAGCGAGCATATTTCTCCCGCGCAGCCGACCTTTGCGCCGAAATTTGTGCTTTTGGCGCACACCCCTCCAGGATCGCAATCTCGATATCTCTCGATCAGGAATCTGGCTATAGGGCCTCGGACATCTGCAATGTATCCATTCCGGCCAGTGATGTCGCTAGCACAGCCGGGAAACAAGACAGGGTTCCCAAAGACCCACAACCCTTGATTGTACTACGTACTCCGGAAGCTTTCCGTGGAGCAACTAGCTCCGTCAATGCTGTGGCTTCGTCCCCGGGTATGGATGTTTCTCAGCCTTGATGCCGTTTGGCATACGGAAGTGGAACTTGTATCTCAGTACACAAACGGATGTTACGCTTACTACTTTCTTGTGACAAGGAATGGCCACAACATCAGCTTGATCTCACATGTCGGGTCATCCGATGAAACATGCATACGAGATGCCAAGTCATCTGGCTTACACTGCTGGATCGCTGTGGACAGCAAAGTCTCGCGTGGCTCTGCCAAGGATCCTGTGTATGTGTGTTTCACGCTTTCCCGACGCCAGAGGCTCTTATTTGGATTAACCGGCAATGCCGGAAGCGAGAGGGCATATCATTGGACACTCCCCCTTCTTTTGTAATCGTATACTATGGCCGCTTTGGGTGCTTTGAGGTTATTAATCTTGCATACTATTTTCTTGCTTCCTTCCTGTCCATTCATCTCGCTGCGCCCTTGCGAGTCTATGATGCCTTGAAACTGCTGTGGTGTTTGGTATAGTGAGACAAGTGGAGAAGCACATGATAGATATATATCCATTGGCATCATGAGTATCACGGCAGAACTAGACAAGACTACCAGAAGAGCAGGAATCACGAAGAATAATACATGTGGCTCCAAAGTGCTTGAAAATTTGATGAGGAACTCACAGAAAGCGTTCATCTGGCTAATTCATTGCTATCCTCGTCAATAATCGTAAGGACTGAATGCCGGTTCTGGTAAATGCTGCCAAGAATGCGCACCCGTGTCAGAGCGATATTCATTACATTAGGGTCAACAGAGACGGCTTTTGCTTATTCGGCCCGGTCTATTGGCAACAGAAGACTCACACATGTTTCAAAATCGATTTTGAAAAAAATCGCAGTCGTTCGGCTATGGATCTGTTGCTATAGGCTGGACAGACGAGGGCCAGCGATGGGGGTGACACGTCGAAGAGGTCACGATGAATTGAGTTTCAGCCACCCGCCCTCCATGCGTCTACACGAACACGATACAGCCGCCAAGGGGGCCGAACCCTGCACCCTGAGCTGGCATGTGGTGATCGCATGTATGTATGCAGCCAGGGATGCCAGATCGCATACGGGTGGGGGCCGGAACATCACCGGTGGCGTCCAGTTGCTTTGCGGCTATGAGACATGATGGGCTGTTTTTCCCTCCCCCTTTCTTTTGCCTCTCCGCATGCAGGTGAGCCGGTTTCCTGGTTTTCGGTGGATCGAGCAGCAAGAAGGACGCTGCAGGCGCGTTGAAAAGCCACATCGATAAAACGCTGGGTCGAGTCGCACGACAGGAGGATCGGGGACCTAACGCCATGCCTTCCTTTCTTGATTGGCTATACTTGGCGTTCCACCCTTGCCTTGGATATGGACGAGGTCCGATTATATGATCCAGAGCCTGACCATGTGTCAATGAGGCTCTCAACAATGAGTCACCCGGTGACCACCGAGATTGGGGATGGGTCTCGCGAGGGGTACATACATCCCTTGCTTGGACTCTCTGAAGTCGCTCCTTTCATGTTATTGGGTCTCCAAACAGCAGTTGTCCTTTGTTTGCACCACGACTGACAATTCGAGGCTGTGAGGCTGGCAGAAGAAAACATAGCAGGGAAGATTCTGTAGCAGCGCTCACCACCATGTGCGATTGCGATCTAGGTGGCGGTCCTCGCGTATCGGAGGGCGAACTAATTGTTGACAAGAGGACCGTGGGCTGATTTGTCCTTGTGACGATCACAAACAGCATGAAAACACATCCGACGAGCCGCTTGAGTTGCTTACTCTATGCATAAGATACTCGACGAATTTCAGGTCCAGGAGATCAAACATCGCTAGGTATGTTATTGACGAAACGGCAATGGGCTGGATCGTTCTCCTATGCCTTCCATTTCGCGGCTATTACACACAGCATGTGTGTAAAGCGTCTACTCAGAGTTGCATTGGCGTTCACAGGACCGACGACCCGCTTGAAGAATTGGTTGGTCCACGCGAAAGACATTCGATCCATCTCAGTTTTAGGAAGGCCTGAAAAAGATCTAAGGCTATGTCTATCTTCTGCAAATGCGTACACGTGCTGCCAGCCAGCCTCTCTGTGGCTCTGGACTGTTGCGCAGTATTCCATCACCCTTCTAATAGCACACGTACCCTCTCACTTCTGCCGCTACTGCCTGGGGAAACGGTCTGCCTCCGCGATGTTTCCTTCCGGCGCGGGTAACCTGGTAAGACTATCAAATGTAAGGTCTTGACTCGAATCAAGCCATGCTGAGCAAAGAAGACCCAAGCCAAGGTCAATGGGTACCGAAAGGTCCAGCTAGAATAAGTCCCCGAAGACTGACTTTGGCATGGCAACTGCGGACTGAGAGCCTGCGACTTGGGACGATGGACCGCTAAATTGTCTGTGAATATTCTGTGCGTCTCAGAGAACTCAACGGCCACCCTTCATGGCTGCGCGACGTCTCATCTTGTCCTGAACGGACTTGAGTGCCTGCTTGACATCCTTCTGTCCATCCCAGGAGTCCAGATCGTAGTAGACAGGGGCAATTTCCTGTCAAACAAAGTCAGCAAAGGTCCAGAAATGGTTACATATTTGTAGAGTAAAAAGTTATCAACTTACCAGGAGCCATTCTGGCCGGATGCCAGTGACGGTTCTAACGTATTGCTTCGTGGTGAGCACAAACTCGTTGTAGAGCACCCACTCGTAATCAGTCTGGAGGACACTGCTAGGGTGGATCATGACCGCCTGATTGTTGTCCTTCATGGTGCGGTAGATCTTGCCGCTCGACTCCTTCTTGGCAACCTGCATGAAGAAGCCGGCCACCAAAGCACGGCGAATGTTGGTATAGTAGTTCTTATCGTTGAAGTCGGTGCTCATAAGCTCGAGGCCTTGCGTCTCCATAATGCGCTTCAGCTGGGCACGAACACTGTCCGCGCTGGATAAGTGTCGATGCGAAAGATAGTGCTTGTGGCACCACTGCTTGGGGTCCTCTCCGCTGTTTTGAATTCCCTTGAATGCGTGGTAGACGTTCAGCATCGTGAGATGATCACCTTCTGGGTGTTTGAAGAGGTCCTTCATCTGGTCGGCCTCCCGCCGCTTGTTCGCAGGGCGCACAAACACGTTCGGGACAGACAAGAGCGATGTGATCGATAGCATCTCGTTCGAGCAGTAGAACTCGGGACTCGAGATAAGCATGACTGCCAATGTCGGATCCAGAGGGAACTCGGATGCCAGGCTACCAAGAGGCGTCAGCTCACCCTCGTCATCTAAGCACGCAAGGTAGTTCAGCTCCTCAAGGGCACGCATCATCGTCTCGGGAGCAGGAGGGTCCATCAGATCGAAATGGACAAGATCCTCGACGCCCAGCTTCTTCAGCTCCAGGACAGTGTTTGCCAGGTTTGATCGCAGGATCTCAGGATAGGTTTGCTCTATCAGCTCCTTCTTGAAAGCCTCCTCGGTATACAGCCTGAAGCACTTTCCGGGCTTTGTTCGACCAGCACGACCAGCACGCTGCTGAGCGGAGGCCTTTGAGATGGCGGAAACCAGAAGAGACTCTACCCTGATGCGGGGATTGTATATCTTCTGTTTGCTGAAGCCAGGGTCGACGACGTAGACGATACCATCGATTGTCAAACTGGTCTCGGCAATGTTGGTCGAAACAATGCACTTTCTGCCGGGTCTGCCACCCTTCTTGAGCGGCGGCGGGGCGGGCTGGAAGATCTTTTGTTGTTGGTGAGGGGGCAACGTGCCGTAGAGCGGGTAGACAACCATGGGACCACTGTCGGCTTCCCGGATCATCTCATCTACCTCGAGACTCAGCTTGCGGCAGGTATCTTCGATTTCCTCTTCACCGGTCAAGAAGAGGAGGATGTCACCCTCGGGTTCGGTGGCGTGGATCTGAAGAACCGTTCTAAGGGCAGCTTCGACGTAGTCGTTCTCGGCCTCTGGAGTGTAGTAGATCTCGACAGGGTGAGTACGACCAGGCACAGCCAGAAGTGGGGCATCGTAGAAGTATTTTTGGAACTTCTGGGCATCTAGGGTGGCAGACATGACAATGATCTTGAGGTCCGGGCGGCGCTGGGCCAGCTGCTTCAAGAGTGCCATCAGGATATCGGTAGCCAAAGTGCGCTCGTGGGCCTCGTCGAGGATGATGCAGCTGTAGCGGGACATCATGTGGTCGTGCATGGCCTCCCTCAGCAACATACCGTCAGTCATGTACTTGAGCATGGTCCGCGGGCTCGTCTTGTCCTCGAATCTGATGCTGTAACCGACCTCTTGGCCTAGTTCGACATCCATCTCGTCGGCAACACGCTGGGCGACGGACATGGCGGCAACACGACGGGGTTGAGTACAGGCAATGAGCTTCTTGTTGAGTTGAGGCAGCTCGTCGTACACGACGTACTGAGGGATCTGGGTTGTCTTTCCGGAACCCGTCTCACCGACGAAGACCAGGATCTGGGTGCTGTGGTACATATCGAGGAACTCTTGCCTGGCGAGAGAAAAAGAATCGAGGTTAGCGGGGCGAGATGCAAAAGGGCTGGCAGTTGCCAAGGAGCCTTACCTCTGCTTGTGGACGGGGAGGTTCCTGCGCCCGTCCAGGATCTTGAAGTACTGCTGTGAGTGCGGCTCGCCAGTGAAAGGGTTGTTGTCGGAATCCTCGGCCTTGAAGGCCTGCTTTGCCGTGGTCTCTCGGCGCGTGAACTTCTCGAGGGGCGAGCCCTTCGGGATGGTGCTGTTCGCATAGCCGCCATTCTTCTCGGCCTCTAGATGCGCCAGGTAAGGATTGTAGGCGGCGGGCTTGTCGTCACCGCCGTCTTCCTTCTTGACGCGCTTAGCAGTCGCGAGAGAGTCAGAGGCATCGCTCGATCGTTTCCGATCAGCATCTCCGGTCGCCATCTTGGAAGATTCGGTCCGTGTGGGAGGCAAGTTCGGCTGCCTTTGAAGTGAATGAAGGTGGGCGTCGCTTGCCAGTTGCTGGGAAAGAGTCTATCCGCAGAGAAGGAGATACAAGCGGCTGATAAGGGCGGGTATGGCCTGGATGCCAATACGAGTAGGTGCGACTCAAGAAAACCTTGCGCAAGCCGCGGAGCAGAACAGAAGTCGAAGGCGCCTCGACTGAGAACTCGAAGCTACAACCAAAAAGTTCAGTTGCGACGAGGCAAGGCGAGGCTGAATAGAAAATAATTCTGGGACCCCACCACACGCAGGGTGGCCAAGGCATCTGGCCAATCAAGTCACGCCCTGGCAACGAGCCTTGGGCAGTGGCCCACAAGATTGCCCCTCCAACACCATCATCCACCGTAGGTGGCCGTCCGGTGATATGAGAAAGACGGAGAGGACGCGGCGCATGTTTCCATTCGTAGCCCAGCTGTTGTTGTTCACTGAAACGTCTTGTCAACTTTCATGACACATTATTATTCATGGTTGGGCTGATCGCGCTGTTTTCTACCCTTGCTGAGAGCAGCAACCTTCCCTGGGTTCCTAATAAAGGCCCAGCACGGTGGCTAGCGACCGTTAATGTACACGGGAATGCACCCACAAGCATCATCTCGTCCCCATCACGATGGCTATCACCTATCGACTCTGGCAGACGCGAGAGCACAAAAGCAACCCTACGAGTCTAGAACCCTTCTCACCCCAAAAAACAACTACCGAGGTCAAGCTTCGGAAATCTTCCTAGCCACTGATGCTCTCGGGATCAAAAATAGCAACCCTTCAACGGGTAGGCATAAATGTAGTGCCGGATGCAATACCGCAAGACCGAGAACGCCTAAAACTGCAAAATCCGGATCCACTTGCTTAGTGTATCATCCATCCGATCATCCATCTTTCATTCCATCCACAGCACCTAACGCCTCATTCCGTTCGAAATTCATGTTTATATAGCCGCCGCCTGATAGTGACCAGAAGAATTTAGGCATTATCAGTCGTGAAGAATATTGGACTCGCTTGCCCTTCGTGCGTTCCTGATGATCTCCTCGACCAAGTCTAACGATCCTGCAGGCACTTCCGGAAACGACTGCCCCGGCGCCGAAGACACTGGCTCGGGCGTCATAGTCTTTACTGCTGGAAGTTGATGTACTGAAACGGGTCGAAACTGGGCTGGGGCGGGTTCTGGGGTTGGGGTTGGGGCTGAGGCTGCGGGCTGAGACTATTGCTGTTAGGCATCGTCTTTTGCGGGAGCGTCTGCCAGAAAGGTCCGCTTACATTGTTGGGCTGGGCCCCTTGACTTGGCGTGGCTGGTGGAGAACTGCGCACTTGATTCGTTGGCGTTCCCAGTGGCTGCGGTGTCGACGGCGATATTCCGCCCGGGTTTCTAGTCCTCTGCAATTGCTCCCACGGCCTAGGTGGTGGCACAAAGGTCTGCTTGGTCGGTACCTGAGGCGCTTTGGGCGATGGACCTGGCGCGCTTGCCCGCCCCTGGACTGTACCGGGACTGTTTTGCGCCGCCGGCGTCCCCACGGGTGTCTGGTGGGCACTAAACGAATGTGAACCTTGCGGCTGCGTTGGGGTGGCACGATAAGGACTTTGGCTTCCGGCAGTAGACCTCGATGATTGGTGGTCACGTCCTGGTGCTCCATCTGGGGAAGCCTGGTAGGCATGCGGACTGTGGACAACAGCCGGTGGTGCCGGCGATCCCTGCTGGGGTGGTCCCTGAGATTGTGCAGGTCCGGCGGTCTGACCATGGTCAAGGGATTGCTTCCTCTGTAACATGGCGGCATACTGGGCCCGAATGGCAGGATGCAACTTGGTTAGGACGGAACTGGGGTCATACGGTCCATTCGCCGTCTGCAAGATCTGAGACCCGGCAGGAGTCGAAGTAGAAATTTGTCCTCCAGAAACGGACGTGGCGAATCCTGCTGCATATGGGGATGGTGACGGTGCGGACATGCCCGGGGTTTTATACGGACTATGGTACGGAGCATTGCTCGGAGAGACCATGGAATCCTGAGGTGTGCCTGGTGAGTACCGCGGAGCGGCTGGCAGAGCAGGATCGCCCGCGTTGTCGAATGGCTGCTTGTTGCCAAACAGGACATCCGGCGTCTTGATCAGATGTGCCCGCAAATTACCTTCATAGCCATTGGTGAAGCCACCCCAAGGAGCATAAGGGGTCCTGTACTTGGTTGAGTCCCTGGTTGCAATCAGTGTGAAGAAATGTCCGAGAATTGAAAAAGGAGACAACCTTACCTATTGTGATGAACTTGGAAGAACGAATATTTCTGTAGTACGCTAGGCGGCGGCGGCTTGGGTATAGGGAGCTTGACGACTTGTGTCTGCCCGCCAACGCCTTGACTCGATGCGGAAGACGACGGCCTTACCGCAGACGATGTCATGGGCATGGTGACTGACTTGGCAGACGCAGCCGAGCTTGACCTTTCCCGCGCCTGTGCCTTGAACACCTGCCCGTTCTGTGGCGACGGAGTAGTGCCAAGGCCGGGGGGTTGCATGATACCATAGCTGAATGGTGAGCTTGAGTTCGACTTAAATCGAGCGGAGCCATACGTAGATGAGGTTCTGTAGCGCGGGTCTGTACTAAAAGGTAGAGACTTGGTACGCGAATGGACTGGGGCAGAGTGAGGTGCCACATTTTGGGATGCTTGAGCAAGTCTCGGCGCGGTGTGAGGAGCGGCTCTCGAGGCTGGCGTTGACAGTGGCTGAGAGGTCCCCGGCGTTTGCGGAGGCGGCTGCCATGCCGCTTTCGCAGTCGCTTGAGATGCATATGTAGGTTGCGTGCTAGGTTGGGGCACGAAGGTGGAGGTCGATGTAGGGAACGGCTTCGCTGCCAAGTTGTTGGGAGCGAACTGCTGGGCCGTGTACCGCTGAGTGTACGGGTAATGGTGGAAAGCAGGCGGCATTGGGTTCTTTGGCTTGTACTGATAAGGCCTGTCGAACTTGGCAGGCGTGGCATACGGTGTGCCGTACGTCGTCGTTGGAATGGGCCGAGCCACCACTGACGGAGGCGGTCGGGGGATCGTATCCAAAAAGTTACTCTTTGAGTTGTGAGCGGGTTTCTTGGGGTCCTCTGTATATTGTGCCCGAGCCTCTGTTGACGTCTTGCCCAGGTAGTGCCAAATCTGGTTTTCTTTGGAGAAATCAATCTTGACCTGTGTTTTGTTAGTGGGGTTCTCGGCGGTATGGAACTCTGCCCAAGTGAATCCTTCGACGAAGTCATCCTGAGCCCTCGGGAGCTCCTCAACTGTGCGCTTGGTCGCGTTGATCTTGTCCTTGGCCTTCCGTGAAGTCGGCATTGGGATGGCATTTGGCGATGCCTTTTGTAGTCGCAAATCAGCTGGGTTCGGAAGGAGCAGCCACTTCCATTCGACCTCAACACGGTCACTGATCAGAGTTAGCATTGTTTGTTCTGTGGTGGAGTATGTTTTGTAGGCTTCGCACCCATTGGGTATAATGTCGACGAGGAACGTCTCTTCGTCATGTCTGTTTTCAACGACGACACCGGCGAAAATGTCGCCTCGGTAGTACTGCAGCTGAGCAATCTCGCCTTCCTTGAGAGCCGCAGCTGCTTCGCGGGTCTTCTTGCATCCTTCCAGAGCATCACCGTCGAGCTTTTTATCACGCTTGCTTCGGTGGAACCGACAGCTGAACTCAAAGGCTTGCTCCTTGTACTCTGTACCATCCTCACCAAATATGGGCACCTCGCCGTCCTCGACAAAGACGCCTGCTGCTGCTGCGCAAGTGGCGTGGTATGATCTCGCACACTTTTTGTGCGAGCACTGAAAGCAGGCGCCTCGCTTGGAACGGCAGTACAGACACTTGAGGTCGAGACGAGCCTTGCTGATGTTTGCGGCATTCGCCACGGTCTCCTGGCCATCGACTGACTCGATCCAAGTCTCTGGACCGTACAGGGCGCACAAACGATGCGCCTTTCGGCCGTCGTCCGTGGGTAGCAGGTCTGCGTGGAGAATGTTGTTGGGGCAGAGGCAACACGGCGGCTCAACCTGCGTCTTGACACGAACACGTAGTCGAATTTTCTTGGACTTCTTGTCGCCCTTATCATTCGCGGCGCGCTTCCGCTTCCGGCTGGGCTGCTTGATCCTGATGATATGCGAAGGGGCAGACACATCGAGATCATCCTCTTCATCTTCCTCGTCTTCTTCTTCGTCCTCGGTCTCCTCGTAGTCTGTCGATTCTCCCCGTAGTTTTCGCTCAATCTCGTGAACGTCGATCCAAACACTGTCCTGAGCCTGGGCACACTCGCATTTCTTGGCAATCTTGCCCATGGGCAGCCACGAATCGAGGGCAAAGTTGACCGCTTCCGCGCAGTTATATCCCAGGTTGTATCCTGAGTGGTAGCCATATGGGTAGGTGACGACAAATTCTCCGGGATAGGAGATACATTTGTTCACCCTGATGTTGAAATGCGACAAGAGATGGTTTGGCGAGATGAGAAAAGCCTTGTGGCGCAGGAACTGGTCACAAGCTTTGGCGTCCGTCGGCCATATGCTCTTCATGGCGGCCTCAAACCGACGAGCATCGCCCTGGGAGATGCTATACCATTGCTTGGGGGCGCCGAAATGAAGATAGTTGATGCTGTAGAGATCGACGTCCTCAAGGTGCCAGGCGAAAGTCGCTTTCCACATTCCAAGGTACAGGTATGCAGTGTTGACGCCAGGAATCTTGCTACCCAAGACATCTAGAAGGTTAGGTAGTTTGTTCAGGTTCCAGTTCTCGGTTTCCTCCGAGAAGAGGGTGCCCAGCAGATCGGCGCCGTACAGTGGGGGCGCATAAGTCAGCGTCTTCCAGTATATACGCTCAAGCTCCTCGCATCTCTCCGGAGTGTAGTCGGAGATATCCATGTTGTAGTCCCAGTCCTTGAAGGCTTCTTCGTCGATTCTGGCCGACGCCTCTCGTCGGGAATATTTCCTGCGTGCAGAGACAGACTGAGTCTTTGCCTTTGGCTGTCGCGATCCACCCATCCTACCCATCCGTCCGATGGGCGGAACATCATCGTCTTCCTCGTCAACGTCTGCACCAGGGTCATTCTCGACGGACTCCATCACATCCTCCGTGGGCTTTGGTGATACCGGGGTCATGGGGCGGTCCTCCTGGGCAGAGCTATCCTTGGCCTTCTTTGCGCGGCTTCTTGTGGCACGACCTCCGCGTCCCTTGGATGATGCGCCATCGGAAGATGCTGCGGGTCTGGGTCTGGGTGGAGGCCTTGGCTTATCAGCGTTGGCTCGTCGTTCGCCTCTTCGAGCGGGAGGCTGGTGCTCGCTCTGGTCGCAGAGCTGGCGCCATTGGGGGAGGTTGTAGGCGCGCTGATGTAAAATATTGACCTGCCGATAGGTGCCGTTCGAGCCCATGATGTCCTGCTTAATGGGCTCCCGGACTCTGATCTGTTTGATCATGTCGTCGTAGGCGGGCAGGTTCTCCCTCCACTCTGTCGGGGGGATAATTTTGATAATTCCCGACTTCATCCCATACGAGTCTACCTTGTTCATCTGCGCAGTTTCGTCAGTGAGAGTAACGCGACCCAAGGGGAATCAATGATCGCATGGCGAATGGATAGGCGGGTTTCTTTCCGGGCGGCTGCGACTCACGAATTTCTTGAAGTCCTTGAACTGGTGCATGTCGGGCTTGAAGACAGGGACAGTGCCAGACCAATGGTCCGGCAGAACTTCACCAATGTCCTCATCTTCCTCCTGTGGCTCCTGCTTCACGCCGTCCTCGGCACCGGCAGCGGCCCCGGGCACGGATTGCGCTTCGGCGTCGGGAGCAGGAGCAGATCCGTCGTCGGCAGGGCGAGCGCACGGGGGATCGCTCAACAGCGGCTCGGGGTCTTCCAGATCACTAAGCTCGGAGTCATCGCTGCCGTCGAGCTTCATGGCGTTGTTGCTGTCGGGAGGTGAATGCAGGCCAGTCGTAGGCTTGGGTGACTGGCGGACTGGTTCGGTTGCGACGTCGATCTGAGCAGAGGCGACCTCAATCTGAGGGAGCTCAGGCGCCATTTCGGCGGTCGCTTCGGCCGACATGGTGAGGTGAGAGGCGCCTACATGCGATCCGATCCGATCCGATCAGGTGAGAGAAGGCGCGGTCCCCGGTTGTGTTTGCACCATTGGGTCCAGCGGCAGGCCGAGTGAGTCCTCGCGGAGAAAGGCAGGTAGGTAGGTGGACTCGGCGATGCGATGCGATGCGATACGATACGATACGGTGCGGTGCGATGGGGCCAGTGGTGCGGGTGAATGGGGGTGGCTGACTCTCAGATTAGGTGGTCGTCCTGTAGCAGTCACAAGTCGAATGGGCTGATGGATGGGTGACGGGGGCTGCTGGCGGCTCCTGCTGGCTGGGCGGGCCTGCTCTGGCTGCAAAAGCGGGAAGGACCAAGGGCCAAGCAGCCAAGGGCCTGTGGTCTGCGGTCTGCGGTCGACGGTCTGCGATCTGTATCTCGGCTGAACTGCGGGCCCTGATAGGTTGGGCTGCTGCAAGCTTGGCGGGCAAGCGGGGGGCGAACTCGAACCTCCAACTTTGGAAAAGTGCTCGGAAGAGTTCGAATTACCACCAATATGCAGCTTGTGTCCAGGAAGAAGCCTGGTGGGATGCTGGAAAATGCTCTCGCTCATACGGTGTGTTCTTTATGATTATTACATCGATCAGAAAGTGGAAAGACGCGTGAGAGCGTAAATAGCCCAGTGTGGATTTCGGCAACACTTGCTGCTATTGCTTGCAAGGGGGTTACGTATTGCTGGAATAGCATGATCCAGCGGCCGTCATCGAACGATTTTCCTAGGTTGCTAGCACAGTTGGACGGCATTCCGGCGTTAACCTCCGCCCCCTGCATGCACTTTCCAATTCCAATTCCATCTGGACCGTGCGCGGCAGCCTTTTGGTTTACCTAGTTTAGAAGTCGGGCTAGTTAACAGGTAGCGGTCCCAGTTTTTGTTAACGTCAAGGGAAAGGCCCCTTTCCACCCCCGGATTATATACTATCCAGCACAACCGAAAAACGTCAACGGCACGACCACTCCTTGGGCTCATGGTAGCTTGGCGAGCTCTATTTATCGCGGCTCATCTACATTATTTGTAGAAGTACCGTGCTGACTCCCTCCGAATTCATTCTAAGGAAATGGGGCTTATCACCTCACTGAGGTTCAGCTCCCGGATAGCAGCCGCATGTGACTGAATATCCTGCTTGCCAATGCTCCGACTCGCCAGTACAGACAGCTCGTTCCTCGTATGGCGCAGCGCGACCTCCCCCCATACGTCCAGGACGTCTGTGTCCAGCTCCAGCTCCCAAGTACCGCACCAACCGAGCGTCGTAGAATTGGCTGTCACCTGGTAATGGAAAGCGCAAGCATGTCGCTTCAACCCGTTCCAGATAACCATGTTTTGGAATCGAGGCATCCCAATAGCTGCTGTGCCTGCCTTTACTAGCATCTTATTGATAGCCACCGGTCGAGGTTTGCAAAGTGGCAGCGGCTTTGACGTTAGAGTAAGTGTTTTGAGGTTGGCCCACATCCACCCGGTCTGGCATGCTTCCAAAAAGCCCTTTGCGTCGACTATACAGGAAGCAAACAGCCTATCGAGGCCAATGCTCCTACAGGCTAGAGCGGCGCCAACTGTCACGGGCTTGGGGTCCTGACAAGTTCTGGAGGATATGGCCATTCCCTCGCCATGTCGTGGAAACAACGGACAATGTTGTAGCCCTCATTGAAGTCCTCAAAAATCGTCAGAGTCCTGAGTGCTTCTGGTAATGACATGAATATCGTCTTTTGATAATCTACAATAATCAGTCTTGGTGTCGCAAGGTAGAGAAATGTCTAGATGGATGCTACACTTACGAGGGTCTTGAATATACCGTGGAAGTCGGAAGAAGTCTCTCCATGGTTCGTACTTCATAGATTGGAGATTGGGAAGGCTTTTCAGGATCTTCTGCAAGGACACAGCACGAAGACTGCGTCGAGTTTGTCGACGCAAAATAAAGCTCGTTACAGCCTTGACCAACGGCAGTCCTTCGCTGAAATGCGGCCTCATAATTGACAAGACTCTAGGTATACCTTCCATGGACGGACGATCCAATCGCTGACCTCGGTACCAACCATTGTATAGGTTATTGGCACTACTGAGCCTCTGGCTCTCGTCGTCTTGTGTCTCTAAAGGGTTCGGACCAAATCGTAAATTTCCACTGAAGGTATGCTGCGGGTCAATCGGCGAGTAGAAGCTGATTTCCAACGTCAATCCTTCGTGCACCGCCGCATGAGGTTCCGACCACGTAGTGAGGGTGTCAAATAACCTCGCGGTAGCTTCTTTCACGGTCTCATGGTCTCGTCTGCTCCATGGGTATTTTTCGAAATCCATGCAATCTGGACAACCAGAGGGAACAAGAGCCACTGCGAAAAGGTGGCTGGTGCTCTGGCTTGTCGCCCGCGGGTCTTGTGAACCAAATATGATATGGTGAGAGGTGTCCGCAGCGAGTATGGTGTGGCGGTGGAATGGATGGAAGCCTTTGACGAACGAGGAGATAGGGGTTCTAGGCGCAGACGGCACGAGGGACAGAGATGTGGGCGCCCAGAATATGCGAGTTATAGTAAGTGCTTCTCGACTGTTCGTCAATCTAGCGACAACTCCAAGGTGTGGAAGTGACAAGATACAAGATGCAATGCTGTCTATTAGTCTACATGCGAAGCGCGCGAAAGCGGCCTTGAGAATCTTTGAGTACCAACCTACGGGCCACAGGGAAGCGGTAGTGTCCCAACTCTACCCAAGTGACTGTATCTTTTTGCGGTAACTTTATACACCTTACATAAGGTACCTAGGTACTTGCTAACCTCCAGGTGGCAGGGCTTCGGATGGCCCAAGCTCCTGGCCCGGTGCTGGGATTGAGGGTCCCTTGCGGGGCGGCCGCCCTTGCGATGCGCTCCAAAGTCAACAAGAAACATGGGCCAACGGTTATTGCACTTGCTCTGCAACATCGAAGTCATTCCCACCGACCACCGACCACCGAAACCCACCACCATGGCGCCAGGTCAGAAGCTGTATCCGAGGGCGACGGTCAAGAAGATCGTCAAGGCGCATTCAAAGTGCAACGTCAGCAAGAATGCCGACGTCCTGGTGAGCCGAACTCGGGCGCCTCTCGGCGCGTCCCAGACGCGTGCTGACTTGCGACGGCAGATTTTCCTCGACTACGCTCTGTTTATGCAAACGTACGTCTTGCGCCATGCCAACTCCCACGTGCCTACTGGCGAACACGGCATCTAACGCAGTGTTGATAGGCTCGTGAAAGAGGCCGCAATCGATTCCAAACAGGCCGGTGAGAGGGGGATCAGTGCGAAGAGCATCAAGAAAGTGACAGCGGTATGGTTTTGACCGAAGCATCCCCCCCGGTCTGCTCTGCAGGACTGACGCGAATATGACACCAGGACGCCCTCGCCAAATTCAAGGGATGAACAGGTCAAGCTCAATATGCAATGACAACCATGGCCACGATCGCGAAAAACTACGCCTCGTCAACGATCGCCTCGGAGAAGAACGTGTCGCAAGCAAAGGCGCAAAACTGGCTCCACGGAGGATTCAAGAATCGTCTACAAGCAACCCATGATGCAGCACAGGCGGAAGATACCCTGTCTTCACATTCTCTGGGCAGAAGAGCACAGCATGGCGGGCAATGGCATGATACGGGCTTAAGGCAGAGGATCTCTCAGCACGATGCACTTGTCGCGTGAGGTGGGTGCGTTACTAGTGCAGGGCCGTTTAGTTTGGCTAGGAGGGGCAGTTGGACACGAGACCATGGAAGGCGGAAAACAAGCCCCATCTTAACGGTCGGCTTCAAGAGAGCGCCAAGCTTTTGGGCCACTGGATGATGTTTTTGTCTTCAAGGTAGTCGAGTCGATATTCCTTCCTTAGGCGAGGAGAACTGGAAGGACTTGCTGTCAAGAAGCGCTTCCAATGGGCAGTCATAAGAGTACCGACAGGTGTACTACGGTAGTGCATGCTTGCAAGCGCTAACTCGGCACCGCGGGAGCGAAACCATGACTTGCAGGCCGAGACCCATCCGAGCTGGGACATGAGCTGCAGACGACGGGAAGCACCAGCGGGCAGGAAGCATAACACTGCTTCGATGCTCATGCATGGGCTTGCCTGGGATGGCACTTGGTTATCTTCGCAGCTGCTAGGCACAATGGTTCACGGAACGACAACTGGCCAACTCGTCCTTTATGCGAGCTCCCATTTCGTAATCAATGTATTCAGCAGTAGAATACATTTGCATAAGCGGTAGGACTCGCTGCATTCTACTCGAGGTTTTCCGGATATCTGTAGGATCCATGTGCTTGTTCGACTTGGTCCTCGCATCGTCATCTGCATCCGCCACGGCTTCCAGGTTGCTTCGCCCGGCGGATGTAGGTTCGGCTTTCTAGCAGAGAAGAGGGACGAACAAGAAAATAGCACACAAGCAAGCATGATGGAAATGCCATTGATCTGATAACAAAATGACCAAGAGCAACATGATCCGATTCGATTGATCCGATTCGAGAGGGCCGGGCTGGGCTGGGCTGGGCCGGGTCCCTCGCCTCGGGGGTGTAGGTAACTAGATACTATCCAATGGCAGGGCGGTCCCACGGCGACCCGTAGGCCAGTTTGGGAAAGCTTCCCCAGGATTCCTCAGGGTTCGCGGGCTGGAGCTTCCAGACAGCTAAGCAGTAGGGCGACCTACCTAGGCACCCTGGCGCTACCCTACCCCTACCCTGGCAGGGGGCCAGGCAGCCTGGGCGACTGCTGGTACACTGTATCTTGTGTTGCAGGCAGGGGTTTTCTGAAAATCCGAGACCAAGTCGAATTTGGGGCCTTGACTCTCTGCCTCGTCTCCCAACGCAACGCAATACGCCGACGCTGAACACCTTGCCTACCTACCTACATACATAGTCTCTCCTCTGCTCTGTCCTGTAGAACCAATTCTCACCTTTGCCCTGCTCTGCATTCGCCAGAACAAACACGTCCAGTATCCATCCATCCATCCCCGCCTCCGTCCCCATCTCACCCCTCGAGCCTCGTGCAAACAAACAGACCAACACACCTCAACCAAACACAGCCCACGCGCGCCGCGAAGCTCACAATGCCTTCTTCCGCCGTCCAGAACCCCCCACCCCAGGCCGAGTCCAAGTCGGCCAAGAAGAAGAAGGCCAAGGCCGAGCTGCGCACCGAGTCTCCTGCCCCCTCGGCTTCCCCCGCCCCCGTCTCAGTCTCGGGCGAGGATTCCAGCGAGAGCCCCTACGTCAGAGAGCTCCAGAAGTGAGCATCTTCCTTTCTGTCCTCCCTGGCCTCGTCTAACTCATCTTATGTGGCCTGAAAGCTGACCTGTTTGTCCTCCCCTTACGCAGGAACATCCGTAACCTAGCCAAGAAGATCGTAAGTTGGCACACCCTCCTACCGGAGCTATCCATTGCTCGTGGGGCCTTTCTATGTGCAGATAGCTGACCAATGCCCTACAGAGCAATGCCGCCAAGACGGCCACCCTGATCGAGCAGCACAAGCCCAAGACTCCCGACGACCTTGTTGCCGCCAAGATCATCAACGCCGACCAGAAGAACCAAGCCCTCAAGAAGCCCCAACTCGAGTCACAGCTGGCCCAGCTCGAGGAGCAGGTCGCCCAGTACAAGAAGATCGAGGAGGAGTACCGCAGTCGTGGTGCCACCGACAAGGCCAAGTTCGAGAAGGACCTCACCGAGAAGCTGGAGAGGGAGAAGGCTGACGCTCTGGTCGCCGCCACCGAGAAGTCTGCTGCCGACATCAAGCAGTCCCGCCATGACAACTTCCTGGTTCTCTCCCAGTTCCTGCGACTGGCAGCCGCCCGCAGGTCCGAGGATGCTGACGCCGGCTTGGATGAGAACATGGCCTTGGAGGGCGTCCTGCTGAACGTCTACTCGGGCGATGAGAACGCGGTGGCCACCATGATCAAGCTCGTGGACGGCGCCGACGAGAAGACCCGAAGCGTCAGTGGGGACGAGCTTGAGACGACTTGTGAGTTGTGCATGCCCATCTACTCTGTAGACCCACACATGACTGACAGCTTTGCCCGCAGTTGCGCAAGTCAAGGCCGCCAGCGTGGCTCATGCGGCCACCTTTGCTGCTGTTGAAGCCGAGGCCGTGCCCGAGTCGACCGACGCCGCGCCTGAATACACCGCAGCTGCCGCTACCGATCCGACCGTGGCCAACGCTGGTCTGACCGAGATCGACACTGGTGCAACATCCATGACCAATGGCCACCCCGAGTCCACACCAGCCTCGGGCATCCCCGCCAGTGCCGATGTTGGCGACAGCGCCGCCAACGCTGCCGCCGAGTCGCAGTGGGACCAGCCCAGCAATGATTTGAGCGCTTCCATCACCCAGGAAGACTGGGTTAAGGTCCCTCGTGATCCTGCTGAGACCGACACCGGCTTGGACGCCACCCCGGCTGCTACCGGCCCCGTACAGTCCTGGGCCGACGACCAGCCGGAGAACCCCATCGAGGTAAGTTTGGATCAATTTCTTCACTGCACAAAGAATGCTCTTGAAACCAGTGGGACAGTTTCACTCATTCATTTTACACAGACTCCCGCAGCACAGGCCGACGATGGTTTCCAGTCGGTGCAGCGCAACCGACCCCGCGGTCACGGTGAGGGCAGCGGCCACCGTGGTCGTGGACGCGGCGATTACCGAGGCCGCGGACGTGGTGAGGGCCGGGGACGTGGCCGCGGAGGACAGGGCCGTGGCAACTTCGGCTCGCGCGGTGGAAGACCCCGCAACGGTGATTCGTAGAGAACTCGTCGTCTTCACTCTTCCAGGCGCATAGGAACCCCCCGGGGCGGCGGCCCTATCCACAGCGAAGAGCGGATAGCAACGGGATGAACGGCCAGCCAGACTCCGCCGCGAGACTTTTGTCGCGAAAGTTGGAGGCGGCCTGTCTGGCTGACACCGGCATCCCCACGAACACCTCAATCATGAACACTTTTTGAGGCTGACGAGGACGTACGAGGCGGTAATTGCATTTTGGACCAGCCTTTGATTCATTTTTTTGGGGAAGCACTAGAAATGGACATTCGCATAACGGCGTTTGGCTCTCCCTAGCAGCACGCCACGGCACAGGCACAGCACAGCGCTATGGAGGGCGTTCCGGCCCAGGATGGGTTTCTGTACAACTAAAAGAAAAAGTCAAAACTGCATTTACGAGACGAGACCCCGAGTAGAAAATTAAAAATGAGCATGATTACGATCAACCCAAATCAAGCCGAATCGCCGTGAACATTTGCTAGACGAGACCAAAAGGGGTCCTGTTTGTTTCCATGTATTCGCTGTATTTCGGTGCGAGCACAAGTGATTTTACGTATTTCATTCCCTGGTCATGGGGAACGACTCTGCGGCAAGTATATCCATGACCTCCCTTCATTCCGGGCACCAATCTGCCCACCTCTCCCCATCTTTTTCTTTTCCCTATTTTCCGCTTCTTTCTCCCCTGCTGCTTAATGTACAAGTTCGCTAAGACTCACTTGACTTTGTTAATAGTTGCTCGTTGAGCGCCGCCCCGGCTTGGGCAATCACAGTCCTCCTAGGTCCTTAGGAGATATACTGGTTGGCGGCCAGCCACTCCTTGATGGCGGCGGCATCGCGCTGGCGGTAGGCGGCGCGTCCGCGCACGACGTCCTTGACCTGCTCCAGGGTGCGGTCAAAGGCCGACGTGTCCTTGCCGCGGAAGAAGGCGTCGATCTCGTCGAGGTACTTCGCGTCGGTGAACTTGTTGAGCGTGACGCGGATGAAGCGGTCGAGGACGATGGGGTTTGCCATCTTCTTGGTCGCCAGGTCATAGTTGTCCTGGAAGAACTTCCAGAGGAGCGGTCGCGCGGCCGAGTTGCCTGACAGGACGGCACCGAGCGAGTGCATATCCGCAGAGGCGACCGAGTCGGAGCTCATGTTGAACAGGAACGGGATGACCTTGTTGTTGATAAGGTTTTCATCACGGATATGGCCTACAGCGGCGAGCGCGAAGTCCTTGCCATCAGGTGACGTGGACGTTCCCCATTCCCTCTTCAGAACGTCGAATGCCTTGGCAGGATCGGTCTTGACACCAGCTCTGTACACTACCGATCGCAAGCTGGGGTTCAGCCCGGTGCCATCCTTGCTCCAAGTGTCGAACAATTGGGCACCCTTCTCGAGCGAACTGCAGGGTCGGGTCAGCTAAGTGGTCCAGGACTCGTGCCGGGCAGTAACGTTACTACAATCACAGGTAAGACTTACTTGGGATGGTTGTTAGCTACAGCACTCAGGAGAAGTCGCTTTCGCAGGAGTCCAACAAGGAACCCCTCGTCACCCTTGGGCTCCCAACCCACGGTCTCAACAGCATCGTTGATCAGCTTCAACGTAAACTTCTCCAAACCAGCCTTGATAGCATCATCGTCGTTGAAGATGGACTTGACAGCGTTCAAAGAATCTAAGGCTTGGGCCCAGACAACCTGGCTAGTCTCACCGCTGAAACTTTCAAGGAAAGATAGCAAGGCAGGAGTTGTACCGTAACCTGATCTCGCCAAAGCAGCGGCTGAGCCGATGATGGAGGTCTTGTCATCAACAGTGAGCTTGTCAAGCTGGGATCCAAGTTTGGCTAGCCTGGCAGGGGGGTAGTTGGTGCGATAGAAACCGGTACCATTGTGGTTCAGCTTGTAGAAGTCATCATCAACATCGCGGATGGTGTCCTCCTTGGCTGTCAGTGCAATAGTCTGAACGTCTTGGGTGCCCGCCTTGCCCTGCAAGCCCAGGGGAACCCACCAGACCGTTTCGTCCTCTTCTGGCTTGACATCACCAGTTGACAAGAAGCGGGATTGCTTGACGGTGATTTGGCCAGGCTCTTCAGCGACGGTCAACATGGGAAATCCTATCTTCTTGATCCAGTTGCCCATGAGTGCGTCAACGTCAACCCCCGATGACTCAGCTAGACCAGCCCAAAGAGCTTCAGTCTTGGCGTTGCCGTAAGCATGCTTGTTTAGATAGATAGCCACGCCCTTCAGGAAATCCTTAGTGCCAAGATGGTTGACCAACATGCGTAGTGTGGAACAACCCTTCAGGTAGCTGATGGCATCGAATATTTGGTTGACGTCCAGAGCATCCTTGACTGGCACGTGGATGGGGTGGGACGCACGGATAGAATCAAGAGCAAAGGCTGATTCCATGCCATCAGTCAGGAAAGTTGCCCAGACCTGCCAGTCAGGATGGAATTGGTCAACCGCATACCAGCCGGCCCATGTGGCGAAGGATTCATTGAGCCACAGCTCATCCCACCAATCCATGGTGACCAGGTTGCCGAACCACTGATGAGCAAGTTCGTGGGCAACGACGTAGGCAATACGTCTCTTGAATTGAGCGTCAGAAGTTTTCGGGTCGAACAGGACGGCCGTCGTTCGATAGGTGACCAAACCCCAGTTTTCCATTGCACCGTGGGTGAACTCATGGACAGCTAGGAGATCAGATTTTGGAAGAGGGTAGTCGATGCCGAAACTCTCAGAGAAGAGGTCAATCGTCTTAGGTGCATGCTCCAGGGCCCAGCGGCCCTGTTCTTTGAGGCCACGAGTTGTGTAGACCCTGACAGGAATCTGCTTGCCATTGTAACGACGCTCAGTGAAAGCCTCGACGTACTCAAAGTCACCAACGGCCCAAGCTAGGAGATATGTGCTCATGACGGGCGTACGTTCGAAGGCTACCATGTGGCGGCCTTGGACGGTTGGCGTGGTGCTCTTGACGGGCATGTTAGACAGCACTACCTGGTCATCAGGGATCTCAATTTCGAAGTCGAAAGTCGCCTTGAGGCGAGGTTCGTCGAAGCATGGGAAAGCTCGTCGAGCATCGCATGACTCAAATTGGGTGCTGAACATGTAGTGGAAGTCCTCATCCCGGGGCACCGATTTGGCAGCCGGAACGACGGGCTTATACTTGCTGCGGTAGAAGCCAGCCATGTCATTGTTCAGAATGCCCTCGAACGTGATCTCAAGGGACGTCTGCTGAGAAGCAGGGATCTCGTCCGCAAAGACAAGCGTAGCGCGCTGCTTTCTCTCATTGTAGCTGAAACTTGTGGTCTCATAGGTCTGTGACGACTTGTTCTGAGTGACAGTGATTTTGGCTGCGGCCAATTTGAGCTCGAGAGTGTTGATTATGATCTCCTTGGTGGGCTCAGTGACCTCGGCATCAATGCTACAGAACGTCAGAAACGAGACACGGTGTGAACAGTCCCATAAACAATTGCCAACAAGGTATACACCATCTCGAATAGGCCTTATAGCCACGCTCTAATACACCCGTGCTCCAATGGCGACTCGCGGGTGAAGGGGTCCTCTGGAGCCGCTATGCGAGGGACAGGCACTACTTACGTCACTTTTCCGTGGTAGGTCCAGCTGTTGAAGTCCAGTGCGGAGATGGAGAGTGCATAGTGCGACGGCTTGACCGTAGCCGGCAGAATGTCTCTGTCAGCCATGATGGAGGAGGGTATGATGGTTGAGCACCGAGAGGAAGAGGTGGAGGCGAAGGTTCTTCTCGGGATACAGCTGGGTGTACTTCTCGGGTGGGGTTCGAAGGGTGTCTCGCGTTGTACGAAGATTAAACTGGCAGGTGACGCCGTGAACCGCGGGCGGCCGAGTTTCGTTGCCCTGCCGCAGTGCTCGGCCTGGCAACCGTACGTGCTCACCGACGCGATGCTGCGACCAGATATTTTGAGATTGGCTTGTGCAGCATTCGCAGAAAGCACCGGACGACCCGTTGCCCTCAGATATTTGAGAGCATCTCGTGCGGCGGGTGCGCAGATGGGCTGCTTCAAGAGCGCCCCAAAATGCACCAGTCGACCAATGGCGTCCATACTGGTCGTTAGGGCCCGCTATCCCCCGTCCTGCTCCAAAAATCTAGACTACGGGCAGGTGAAACGGGTGTACGGGGGGAACGTCCACATGTCTCTCCTTGGCTTTTGAGAATAGGTAATAGATTCGGATCTTGCCATGCGGAGTCACGCCCAATGACTTGAGTGCTCTATCGGCGCCAAAGTAAAAATAAACAACCTTACCTCACGATAACTTTGGCTCAACGTCGGTGGTTGGCGCTATCGTCTGCCCACACGTGAGGATTGAACGAGACAACTCTGTTGATCAAGTTCAGCAAGATTGCTCTGGATGATGTGTGTAAGCTGCGAGCCAACTTGCGAGTCAACTACGCAACGGAAGAGGAAGTTCCGATGTACCAAGTCCCCAATGGTTCCTGCAACGTCGCACGTGTGTTGGGACGATGCTTCGTGGAAGTGTTCAGGGGGGATTCGGAGGAAAAGAGGATAAAAATACAATGAGCGTGACCTAGTCAAGGGTCAGGTCCGGTGCACCTTTGGAGGCTGGGCGTGGGTATGAGAGAACGCCCGGAAATACAGCCTGTGCAATCCGTTGTAGACTTTCGAGCTTCTATAGGGTAGCAAATCTCAAGTGATCCTTTCGTTGATTGTGTCTGGCAAGGCCATCGGGATGGGGCGGACGGCTCACGCGTTTTGTGCATAGACCAGCCTGTCTAATGCAATACAACGATGCGGAGTGTATGCTTACAGTGTTGACGGTTCACGCTAGGGACGAACGCGGAAATATGTTTTCCTGTGCCCCGTTGCCTCGATATTGTACGGACGCCACTGCATTGCATAGGGTGTTTTGATGCTGACTCGGATCGGATGAGAGCCCATTCAGATTTGTTGAGTCTGGGTTCTCGATAGCACTGGCACCGAATACAGGACCTCAATATGGATGACCAACACGGCAGCCTAGACCAGGTGCGGCAGTTATTGAGAGGACATCCAGGCCAGGCGTCCGGCAATCCTTGGGCGGTTCAAGGCGAACTGGATGGGCGGGCCCGTCTTGCTCAATGGGCTCAACCAAACCAAGGTCAGTAGGTTCGTCAAATATTCCAAACGGATCAGCTTTTCTGTAGCTCAAGATGGCGGAGCTCTCAGTTGGTGCCTTGCCCCAAATTCACTTGTTAGGGCGCAACAAACTTGAGAGCACCAATTCTGCAGGCCATGCCCTCGTTCCCCAGCCGTCGCCATGGACTATAACTGGTCATGGCTTCCCCAACAAAGGGTCACAACACCTCCACCTACTCGTTCAGATTCTCAGGACCATGACAGTGTCGAGGTCTTTGAGGAGGAGGGTGGGGTCAATACCCAGGCAATGCGACAGCATTTCGTCCGTTCATTCCCGCATAACAACGTGGAAAATGCGGAAGATGACGAATTCTCCTTAGTCGACAGTGACGAAGAGGATGTAGCTGACTCGCCTGAAGTAACGAACGACGACGATGATGATGAAGATGGAGACGATATCAACGAGGGTGGAGATGAGAATGGTAATGGTGACGATGCCGATGCTACCGGCGAGGAGGACGTCGACGAGGCGGACGAGGGAGAGGAGCACGAGGAGGAACCCATGTTTGATCCCGCCTCTGTAGGCTTGAAGGAGATCAGCAACCTCGCCAGCTTCACGGTCAGCAGCTACAAGCCGGGTTGCGGAGTAAAGGAGCTTCGTGACGATGATGTCAACCAGTTTTGGCAGTAAGACACTTCAAGCTCCGCCCGAGCACCACCTGCACTGACACATTGCTCCAGATCTGATGGACCTCAACCTCACCGCCTCAATATACACTTTATCAAGCGTGTAGAGATCCGGGCTCTACGGCTTTATCTAGACTATGAACTCGACGAGAGTTACACTCCAACCAAAATCCAGATCAGTGCTGGTTTTGGACCCAACCTCACCATCCCTTTTACAACCATGGAACTCAACACGCCAAAGGGCTGGATAGACGTTCCCATCGCCGGCGCAGGAGGCGGTCCGGACGGCAACTCCCTCGGCTGCTGGTTCGTGCGTGTTCTCATACTGGAGAACCATCAGAACGGCAAAGACACCCACCTTCGCGGTGTCAAGGTCTACGCCCTAGATGACAACGCCGATACTGCAGAGAACAATCCACTGGAGGACATGGTGGAAGCCTTCGACGACTACGAAGACCGCATGGGTCGGATGAATATTCACGATCACGATGAGGACGGCCTGCTTCGGCACGAGGCGGCGATGCAACGCCAGAAGGCCAACGCCAAGAAATTCGCCCCAGGCGATGGTGGCTTGAGCATACCGGATTTCATGAGAGAACCGGAGATTCGTTGATGCATGAATTTGGGCTTGGCACGCTTGGAGGAAGCGTCTTATGTGAGGCGTTTTGGCAGTATGGGCCTTGGATGGTCATGACGTATGAAGAAGACATTGATACCCCCCTAAAGAGGACTGAAATCCCGTAGTCTGCAAGCTTACCGTTTAGAATAAACACCTCTAAATGATTGCCCAGCACATTTTCCTCATGCGTCTATTGTGATAGTGAGCAAATCTCCTCAGTCTCCCCCCAATGACACAGTCAGGTTGACAGGATGCAACGGCCGTCGCGCAAGTGGGGCCGAGGTCCCGCCCCGAGATTGTGAGCTTCCACTCCCGTTCCCGGCCATGGACCTCGCCTCCGTCTGACATCACTCCGGCACCAACCTCCGACCATCTGCTTTGATCCGGTTCTCCCCCCTTGGACTGGAAGTGCCAACATGAGCCTGGTCTCCTTCTTCGCGCACGCGCTGGGCGCCTTCCAGCAGTCCAAGACGAGCTTCCGCGTGCTCTGCACGCTGCCGCTTAGCAAGCCCGGAGCGCTGGCGCCCCGGCCGCCGGGCGGCGACCCGCTGCGGACGCTGCTGGTGCTGGACTCGTCGTTCAACCCGCCGACGCTGGCGCACCAGCGCATGGCGCTGTCAGCCATGCCGACAGAGCCGGGGCCCGGCAGCCACCGCCTGCTCCTGCTGCTGGCCATCAACAACGCCGACAAGGCGCCGCAGCCGGCGGCGTTCCCGGAGCGCCTGGCCATGATGTACCTCTTCGCGCTCGAGCTGCTGCGGATCCGCAGGGGCCCCGGGGCCGAGCTCGGCGACAAGGAGGCCGAGGCCGTCGACATCGCCGTCACCACGGAGCCGTACTTCCACTCCAAGAGCGGCGCCGTGGCCGCTAGCGACTTTTACCGCGGCAGCGGCGACGGTGGTGGCGAGGCCGCGCCGGAGCAGGTCTACCTGACGGGCTTCGACACCTTGATCCGCGTCTTCGATCCCAAGTACTACCCGGACAACTCGATGCGGCGGGCGCTGGACCCGTTTTTGACGCGGTCGCGGCTGCGCGTCACCATGCGGACGGACGCAGACTGGGGGGACGCGGCGGCGCAGCGGGCGTATCTCGAGTCGCTGCGCGGCGGCCGGCTGGACGAGGTCGGCGGGCGGGCCGAGTGGGCTGACCGGGTGGACATGGTGGAGGGCCGGCGGGAGGGCGAGGCGGAGGCCGTCATCAGCAGCACCAAGGTCCGGCAGGCCGTCCGGGGCCGGGACTGGGCGGGACTGAGGGAGCTGGTCAGCGATGGGGTGGCGGAATGGATCGAGACGGAGGGTCTGTACAACGAAGACCCTGGTCGATCGATGAGCGAACTTTTGTCGAAGCCCTGAACGAGGAACAAGGCCTTCTACGGCGATCACATGCATACCAGCCAAGGAAACCGGCAGAGAAGAGTCTACTTGTCTTCGAAGTGTCTTCGTAGGTACCGAAAATGATACCCCGGATCACGTTATGCGCAGCTGGACCTTCATATGGTTTATAGCATCAGGGCATCCAAACAGTTTGATACCAGATTTTCTATATACACGACTCTGGTCTTAAACCTATAGTATAGACGAGACGTTGAACAACCTGGTTACAGCAAGTCGTGACGTCGTAAAAATGAAATTGGGGAAACAAAAAGAACAACCAATTGAAACGCCACCGTGCCTCATTCCCTGATATCTCGTACATGACGTGAAAGCGTCAGAAGAAACTCACGCGTCAGCCCAACGCAAGGGCATGCAAGTCATAGGCTCGTGGACCGTCGTTACTGACCGACTCATGAAACGAATTCAAGATCCCTGTTTCCAACCCAGATCGCTCTTCCTCTGCCTCGTCCCTGAGCCCCCTGGCCAGAGGTACCGTCCTAGTACTTGGCTCTCAAGCTTTTAGTTTTGAAGCTGCGTCAGACAGTCCCCTTATAAACTCGTTTCAAGCTATAAGTCCTGTTTCATCACTGCCATACCTCCTAGACAGACTTCGCTATCGCCTAACGCAAGGCATGTTGGGGTACTCAAAGAGCCTCCCCGAAGCGAATGTCCAGCTCCATCCCGGCATTCTCATCCCATACCATACCACCACGCTTAAAGTGGTCGGGTATGCGAGGGACAGATGGTATGCCACGGTTCATGTCTGGCACAACACACAGGGGCTCCGCCGCAAGACCAAGCTGGCCGTCCCGAAGCAGGCTGCCGACCCTCTCGATGTCTCGTTCTCGTTGATGGTCCAACGACCGGCGACTGGCACCAACACCGCTGTCGATCTCCATGGGTTCCCAATCTGTTGTCTGGAACTGACCCAACGTCTGGCTGCGGTCATGGTTACGTAGCGAAACAGGTGGCGCGCCGCGTGCAGGACTCTTGTCCATTCGCTTGCGTAGTCGGTTACCGCTATTGCTTCTAGATACAGCGCTGCTGCTCGAACCAGGCCTGCGACCGCGGTGGCCCGTCGCCATTCCAGGTGCTGCCGGGCTGGGGCTGCGCATACGCACAGCTCGCTCCTCCTGCATCGAGGGAGTGTTGGAGACGGACGGCACAAGGCGCACTACACCGTCGCTCTTGTATTGACCCGGAATAAGTGCGCTGGGCATCTTGCGTAGCTTCTTGGAAACACGCTTCCCAAGGCCAATCTGCGCCGTGGACGCCTGTTGGGTGAAGGATGCCGACTCGGAGACGTTATCGTCCGAATCGGTCCGCCCACGCTTCCTGCCTCGCAACGGATATCGGAAGCTCTCCCAAGACGGCCGAGGCTGGACTTCCTTCGCGCTGGGGAAAAGAGGTGGTGGCGGCGGGAGACTGGTAGGCATAGGAGGTATAGGTGACGATGGTGTTATGGAGAAGGATGGACGGCCAGATGCTGGTTGGTCTACCGAAGACCGCTCTGGAGATGGGATGGGAGACAAGGGGGCGGGCTTCCGTGCATTTTGGGGACCTGGACCAGGCTGGCGAGTTGACTGAATGGCATGTGCCTTGAAGAAGCCGGTTGCCATGAGCTGGTTGTAAGATTGGAGGATCTCCTCGCGCGAAGGCCGGTCATCAGCGCCAGCGCCGTGGCCGTGGAAACTGCCAGGCAGCTGAGGGACTTGAGACTGGCTGTACGACTTCATGACGCCGTTCGGGCTGGGTATTGGCATGGGCATTGGGCGTGTATGGGTAGGAGGCTGCTGTAGACTAGCGCGCTTCCCCATCTCCTGCTGCACTCGGCCGGCCGGCTTGTTGGTCGTGTTGCCACCGGCTTTCCCGGAGCCGAAGCCGAAGACGTCGCGCACGCGTTCGAAAAATCCAGATTTCCTCTGGGGCGGTGGCGGCATATCTTCTCGGTCTTGTCTGGCCTGCTCGTCCCGGACCTCGAGCGTGTCGTAGGGCAGGGTCTGAAGCTGGGCCTGGGCCGACAGTGGCCGCTCGCGGCGCCGGCTGATGCTGCGAACCCGCTTCATCTTGAGCGTCCCATTCTTGCTGGCCTCGGGATAGAAGTGCTTCTCGAAGTCGGCCACGGCTTCGGGGCCCAGAAACTGTACTGGGGGTGCAGCGCTAGTTCGATCGTTCATGGAGCCTTCCTGGAAGCGTGAAAACGGGCGAGGCCCTTCTGAAGACGGCCGGGCTGCGTCGACCGAAGCCATCTTGGGAGGGTGGCCAGCTTCGCGTCGCTGCTCCTTTCTTTGATGCGCACGCTGTTCTCTGTTGATTCTGTGTTGGTGTTGTTGGATGAGATCGCGGGTTGGCGGCAGGGCGTGTAAGTGTATCTCAGAGGGCGGCGCTGAGTGGGTCCCCGGTTTGTTTACTGCGGTTGGTGGGGTGCCCAGTGCTGGTTGGCAGGTCTACTGGCAGACTGAGACAAGGGGGGTTGCCTGACCTCGGCTGACTATGTATTGCTGTGTAGACAGGAATGGAGGTCTTACCACAACGCCTGGCCCTGAGATCGTGGTTCAGTTTGAGCTGCAAATTCTTTGTGGAAAGGATGCAAAGTGCATACGGACCATTAAACTGATCCAAGGCGCGCCCATTAAAGTTTGGCGCGGTCGCTTCTCATCGTTCAAATATCAAATAGGTTCAAAAGTGCTCTCAAAAGCGTGACCGTGCCGCCACTTAAGCCAGTCACCCCAAGCGCTCTCGCTCTCACGCGACATCAGCGATGCCCACGCCAGGCCAGAGCGACGACATAGCCTGCTGGCATTGCTCATTACTCCCGAGCTCACAACAGGCTATGTTGAAAGAAAATCCTCGGGAACTATATCTGCTGATTCCAGTGGCCGACTCGCACACCACCAGCTTCTGCAGATGCTTTCTGGGGGATACCAAGGGAAGCCCGTTCCGTTCATCAAAGGCGCCTGCCACAGGGAGGGCTTTTCTGCTCACATCAATTGAGGGCTTGTATTGTTCCGACCGTCTTGTCTTACATTTCTTGTTACTAAAATGTAGGTACCTATTCTTTCTGGTAGAACGCTCTTGGACCTAAACTCCAGAGTCCAGATATCAATGCCTTAAACAGACCAATATTGAACATTAAATATAAAAAAACACCCAGCAAGCCGTAGCTTACGGATCAGGTGGCGTAATCCTTGTGCCGACACCGTCTCCGGAAATCTAATCAAGGCCAAGAGACAAATGCAGCCTCCAATGGGTATGATGCCATGATCCCCGTCCCAACACCAAAATGGCCCCCAACACGAGGCTGCCACCTCCCCCCAAAAAATGTTTGCGACGCGAATGAAAAACATGCCTGCGGTAGGGTAGTCGACATCCTACGCTGTAATCCTTTGCAGAACCCAATGGAATGAATGCTGTCGTGAGCACATATATACAAGCAAAGCGCCAAGTACCACAAAGTCGAGGTACTTTCAAGGTGATTCAGTCGTCAGACTTGTCATCTCATCCCCGGTACGGCCGTTTGCGTGAGTACTGCTCTGCATCACGTTCATCCTCTGCCCTTAACCGTGGGTCGATCTCCGCTGCTTCAGGTGATTGCGGCTCTTCCTTCATATAGCCCGGGGCGTTCTTCTCCGCTCCATTGCCACCTGCACGCTTGTACGCGAGAGTGATTTCGAAATCCTCATCCTCATGATCCATGTCATCTGCTGAGCGTTTCAGAGTAGAGCCTAGGGTGGACTGTTGCGAATGCGCGCTCGGCGGTGCGGTTGTCGTAGGTGACTGGTCTACCTCCATCTTGAGATCTGCGAGCGATGGGAGAGATGGGGTCTGACGAGGTTCCCGGAAACTGGTGTCGATCGGCGCAGGCAGCGGCGGCCTGGGCTGGATCGGTGTGCCGTATGTTTGTGACGACGGCAAGGGAGGGTATGGCAACGAAGGGCGACGGTCATCGCGAGCAGACGACGTCGGCCTGTCCGAATAAGGGTGCGAATATGTGGGGGTTGCCGGATACGCTGGGGCTGCAAAGGAGCCATGGCGATAGGCAGGTGGGCGAGTAGCAGGCGATACCGGCTCTGAAGGTGGCGCTGCTGGGGGTTGGTACGGTTTGTTATAGCCCGGTGGTGCAAAGTTTAGAATCCGTTGGTTTGGTGCAAGAGGCGGCTGATGGTCATACCCAGATGGCCGCCGATCGATGCTCGAGTTGCTGGCTGAGCGATTCCGGTAGGCGTCCGCGGGCGACTGAGTCCTACGATCTCTGGGATACTCTTCCTCCCGCTGCTCATACTCGTTCTGCACACTGCCCTTGGTGTCACGACGGCGCATACGTACATCCCGACGTATACGCACGCGGCAACCCTGCTCTGCGACGGTCCTGCTGAGGGGTGTACTTTCGGCCAGGCCAGGAAACTTCTTGGCGCTGTAAACAGTAAATGGTTGCGACCTGACATCGTTGAGGAATGTGAAGAAGAGGCCGTCTTCGTCTTGCAAGCTCTCTGGCTGGTCAGCCGGGTCGCCCAAGCTCAGATCTTGTACGTCCTTGTTGCGCTCGTATAATCTGAAGACCAGGCGGTAACGTCCTTCGTGGCGCACAGATGGGTCGGGGAACAGGAAGTAACCTGCTGGTGAGGGCCGGTCCAGGTAGCAGCAGGCTGACACAGGAACGCCCGTCAGAACTGGTGGGGAGGTTGCCGCCGGGGTCTGAACGCGGCCATGTGCCATGGGTCGGGCATTTTCCAAGGAGACGAAGAGGAAGAAGTCCGAGTTGTAGTCCATCGTCACATCCTTGGCGTCGCTCCAGGTCTCGCCCTCAGAAACTAGTAAACGTACAATCGGTGGCGGGTCAACAGGCCGGCGGTCTGCGGATGATTTGGGACCAGAACCACATGCCCTGGCGCGTTCGGGCTGCTGAAGCACCATCAGATCATAGTGGATTGTCCTTCCCCCTCTGGTTCTGCGACTCCATCGCATATACGACTGTGGCTCGCCAGAGTGCGAGCTCATATGGGTCGCCATAATGCCTATTCGTGGGTCAGCTCAGTGTCATGGGAACTATTGCGTTTTAGATGCAGGAGTCACCACAGCAAGCAATTTACTGAGGTGCGGCGCAGCTGGTGTTGTTGCCGTGCACTCATGAATATAAGCCATGCCATGGCGTGGGGCGGAGACCTACGTCAGATCAAGCCAGCGAGGCGCTGGTTTTAGGACGGCTTCTGCGTGATGCTATAGCACTCAATTATCCCGTCGAGGCGGGATGAGTGGTTCGCAGGAAGAGCGAAAAGAAGTGATTCGGGACCCGGGGGCTCAAATCAGATCATGAAATTGGACAGTGAGATTGAGGCGCACAGGGCGCAGAACAGCCAGTTGGAGATTGAGAGGATCAAACAGAAATGGGACCCGTCGGGCTGGGTCGTGGGCGGGAGAAGCTTAAAGGGCCGAGGACGACTGAGAGGGAGATCCAAAGCGCCGGGCGTGCGATGCCGCGCGTGTTGCTGACTCGCGAGAGTTGATTGGGGTCCGGCAGAAAGGGAATGGATGGGTGGGCTTCCCAGGACGGTTTATGCTAAGTTAATGCCGTAATAACGGGGCCACACAGATCTGACACCACAGCCAAGTCGCCGAGCGAGCGCCCTTGCCGTCGACGGGGGCGGTGGTTGACAAAGACGCAGCCGTTGGTCTTGCACGACAGCAACCGACTCTGATCTGTATCTCTCTGCTCTGGACACAGCGGCGCGAGGACGACGATAGGAAGGAAAAAGGGGACGACGGGGGACGTGTGTCTCGTGGGCGGAGCGGCAGACGGTGGGAAAAGAGGGAAGAGAGCGAAGGTTTGGGGGGCCAGGCAAGGGATAAGTGCGGTTGGCTGTGTCGACGAATGAATGGGCTGGGCTGGGCTGGGTGGGCTCCGTGTTCCCCTGCACGCGGGCTTGAGGGTATCGCCCGTCTGGGTCGCCTGCCCGAGTCCGCGATCCACAATCCAAATTGACGGGCGAGCGTGACTGCGCCTGTGAATGGCTGGGCTGGCTGGCGGGCGTGCCAGAGTGCAGCTCCCAGGGCTCCCAGGGCTCCCAGGGCTCCCAGGCCGCCGACCCTGGCCGCTGGCGCTGCTCTCCCTGCCCTGTGAGGCCTACCCTGCCTACCTTGCCCACCCACCCCCTGCTGCCCTCCCCCCCTCAGGCGGCAGTCGAGGGTACCTACGCGGCTAGCTCCAGAGTCGCCGGTGGCAGGGGTGTCTGGGCCAAGCGACCGAACGCTACTCCATCCTTCACCCCCAATTTCTGGTTGTCGGTACGCTGCCCCGAGCTCTCTTCCAGTAAGTTGGGACGGACAGGTCCTGGCTTTATTTCCGGCCTCTGCCCATCGCTGCAACACAAGTTGCGGGCCTACCTAAACTCTACCACAGGCGCTGTGCGCAAGGAAAGCAGAGGGGCGGGTTGCGAGGCTACGATGCGACGGCGTCGCTGGCCCTGGGCAGCCGAGGAGCGAGGCGCTCAGCGGTCGACGTTATTCTCGTCTTGGACGACTTCTCTTCTCCGGCGTGGCCAACGATGTCATATGCCTATCCAGGCATGTACAGTACCTCGTCGCAGCAGGATTCAGGGAACCGTACTTCTGCTCGCTTAAGGGCCTCCCTTGCACCCGGCTCCCAATTTTGGCTCCCCCGAGATCTGGGTGCCAGTGTTCCAAGTGGGGCTAGCGGCAGCAAGGTGGCTGCAGTGGGGTCGAAATGAACCCACATCTCGCCAATCACCCGCCTCGAAACGAGCCAGGATCTGGCCTGTGCATGTCACGTCTTCGTGCCATCTCTCCTCTGGGCTGGCAGGCTGGCAGGCCCTGGCTGGCTCCTCACCACCCACCCAGTCGGGCTGCTTCTCAAATGGCACTGTCTGATGAACGGAGAATGGCGTGATGCCGACAGAGTCCAGACTGCGGACTGGGTAATTTTGGGCACGCAGTGAACTGGGTAGTATGCGCCGCTGCTCAACTGCCGAACTAATTGTGGGTATCTCTGTATAATCGTGCCATTTCCAAGTCGTTCCAGACAGAGTAGAGTGCAACAGAATAGTTACGCTCCAACTCCAACCACAAGGGCGGCGCCCGCGGATGTTGAGACGGACGGCGCAGCGCACGCCTTGGGGACCCAACTGCGTTAGTTATGAGATGGCTTGCATAAGACTCGTGAGCGCGAGCGAGTTTCCGCATAGCTTGGTACCAATCAAGACGGCTACCGACTAAGCGAGCCCGCGTTGCTTCTTCTGGGGGCGTTCTCTTGCACAAAGTGTGGATTGGAGTATTTGCTTTTGTCAATGCAACAGGCAGGCAATAAGACCACGAACCCCACCGGCAACGGGGAAGCACACTCTACTGTAGCAAACACGCTGGCAATAATGGCAATCTCGATTCTCGACATGCCATCTTGGGAAGCGAGGAACGCGGCTGCAAAATACAGCAAAACTCATCAGGACGCTACTCTCCTCATACTCGGCTGCACTACTGTGTAGGCTGCCGGCTCCAAGACGGCGGCGCCGTCTGGAAAGCTTATTACTGCGGACAACGTGCCGCCAAGTGAGCTCCAAGAATACAGGAGCGATCTCAGCAATGTCTCTAAGAAATCCATGTACCTGACAAGCTCCTGGACGCAAGGTTGTTGAACAGTACACAGTCATTAGCATCTCGGCGGCATTCCCTCCATCCATGATGCGATGCACAAAGCACTACGCCGGATACTAACCATCATGGGCGTGCCTTTTTCACATGCCGCCTTACGAGTGCTCGTCTGTTGAGCAAAATTCAAGAGCTCGTGAGCTTTAGCGTTTCAACTCTCCCCCTAAGGTACTTAGCCACGAGCACCTAAGATCTGAGACAACGCACGAGTTACCGTTCTCCAGAGGTCAAAATTGCGTGCGGCCACGTTTTCTTTAGCGTAGCGGACAAGAGCGGTGCTCATGGCCTTTTCCGTCTCATTCAGAGACATTTTCAGGGCATCCAAAGCCTGGCCAGCCCTCATCCAGGAACTGCGACAGGGGAATGGAAATAGTCGAAACAGCAACTTCCTACCTACCTGAGCGCCATACAACACACTGCATGAGTGCAATCCCCACTTCCCCTACAGAGGAAGCACTTCGCAGGACCTGGCGCAATAAGCTCCCCCAGGGCTGGGCTTGACAACGAGTGACAGATCCGTGCCGAGGACCATCAGTGGAGACGAAAGCGATCGTGCACGTCCGGGGTCGCGAAATTAGCTGGGTAAAATGCCCGAGGGTGACAAGCAACCAGGAGCCGGTGCATTCGTCCACTTCTTCAACTCTACTTTCCTCCCCCAATTTTCCTGAGTATTCCCGGTGATCTGCGATGGCTCCGACCGGCCTCTGCAGGTCTTGGTCTGTGGGCCGTCGGCAGGCACTGTGCTTCCCAGGGCTGGCACCGCGCGGTCATCTGCACAACTAGTTAACCGCCATCCAACCACACTTCTTTTCCTGCCAAGCCATGGAAAAGAAGAAAACGTGCCGCTTATAGTGCAAACCATCGGCGAGGATGCGTCTGGTTATTGTGCTCAAGGCCATCATGGACACTGTATAGGTCACCGGGCGGAAAAGGCACTCCGATAAAGTCTCTCAACGACATTGGGGCATGTGATGGTTTCCAGAAACTTGTGTGCACACCCCGAACGTCGATTGACGCCGCTGTGGATCAAGACGGCCATGCACTGTAACCCGACAGTGGAGTCCTCGTTGTTCGAATCACCTCGTAGTGTACTGGAACGACAAGGAACTAGTCTCAACATCATTCGAGTATCAGAACCCAACTTGCTACGCCAATCACCGTCCTATAAACGGGGAAAGATATTGAGATGGAGCAGTCCACAGCCAGCGACAACATTTGGGAGTATATCAGATTGGATCGCATGATATGTCACTTGACTCGTAGTCCATAATAATGTCTTGCCGTTGGTCCTGTTCTGTTCCCAATGAATGGCTCAACCTGCTCTGTATCAAAGCAGGGGTCTTCTTAGGTTCGGAGACTGACGATTCCAGCTGTTATCATACATATCGTGCCACTGCGTTCCTCTTGGTCACCATGACTTTGAACTTGCATATCATTCGTCGTACAAACTTCCTTGATATGGTCCAGAACTTCCAAGCGTCAGAGTTCTCGAGCGCTGTTGTCATCTGAGACCTGCAGAAATCAAAAGCTGCAATGAACCTTATATATCAGACCACTTCCTGGAGTTTCTTCTCAATACGGAGTACCTCGTGCTAGTTTCGCCCGAAGAATTTGACTCCTCGGTTCGGCAGGGCTGATCCCTAGAGATTGCCATGCCTAAGATGAACTCTGCTGACGTTTAGCTTGGAGATCTAACTTCAAACCATGAGTGACGCTGGCGGCGTCCCAACGTTGTCTATCTCCTATCACGACATTACCCTAGGGCCGTAGACCCGAGGAGTTGAGAGACGCCTAGGCGTCTTTCAAATGTCTGTAGGCTACGCTGGCGTTCTAAATTCTACTGTACAGGACGAATTAGGCTGAATGAGCTGGCCGTCATCGGGCTTTCTGAGAATCTCAGCAACCGGCTGAAGTCTATCAGTTTGTGTCACGTCATATGAGCCGCTTGGGCAAAGGAGCTCTCCCACCATTACGGGCAATTGCACATCTCCAGGGATCCGGGATCTACAGACTCTGATCCATGCGGCTGGGACTACGGCACAGCAACATCATCGACCTGCCATCCCAGGGCGAAACCAAGCAGTCGGCACGCAGGCAATTGAATCTTATCCCACCGCTCATGTCGTGTGATGACGAGAGAGTTGTCTTCGCGCAAGACCCGTGGCTGGCATCTCCCGTCCTGAGCTCCAGCCATGATGACCAGACTAAGAGTGGCCTCAATGAACGTTTTCTGGACAAGTTCACGATCTGAAACAGGCTACTTTCCGCTTGGATTGTGACACCTTTGGCAAGGAGTTGGTAATGGGGGCTGGCAGCGTTACGGGATGGGCTTGGTGCACGCCGCTTGTCATCACTCTAGTGAAACGCCGCGAAAAGCTTCTCGAGGGCAGCTATTAGAGCAAGGCGCGCGCCCCCATTGTTTTGCAACTCCATTTTCGTAAGTGTTAGGCTTCCGGGGCCCTGTCTTCACTCGACCTAGAGGGAAAGTAAGCGCCACGTGGAGTTAGAGTGTCTCATCTATGCGCTCGCTTCGTCTTTCCTCATCTTGCTTTCGACCTCTTGCTCATTCACCTGTGTCCGTACAAGTACTACCTGACTACTACTACCTAGGCGGCAAATCTCTGCAACTATTGGCGAGAACGACGGTGGGCCACTTCGCCTACACATGTATTACCACTTGGTCTCTTAGGTAATAAGCATAGGAATATCATAGGAATATATTCACATCGTTGAAGGATCATTTCTATCTCGCCTGGAGTTTGCACACATGTATTGGATCTTTGCGGTTATTGGATACCATCCATGTATTCTTAGATCAATTTACCATGGCTCGCTAGATTGGCCTTGGAGCTTTCGCTGGCACTGTGTTTGGGAGCGCTTGAGCATAACTGCGATTCTCGATGGAAAACATAATCACCCTGAATTTCTGAGATCGGGGTAGAGAGAGCTTGAGGAAAAAACGGTGCAGCTGCCCGAGGCGGTCTGCTACAGTCAACCGTGGTTCGTTAGCAGGAACAAGATTGTTCACGTTGCTTTTTTTTTTGAGGGTCACTGCACTCTCTTAACGTCATCCTGACCATTTCAAACCGTCATGACGAAGTTGATAATTACCATGAGCTTTTATGTAAATTGCTCACCTAAATTAAGCACGTCGTTCAGCTCAATAAGCAGGTCTATTATAAGTGTAACTTATATATGCCCGATCGCGGACATGGCTGCACTCACTTCCTGCCCGTGACGGCACTGTTTGTCTATCCATAGGAATATTCCTACTGGGATGTCGACTAATCTATGTACCGGAATCCCGGCAGCTACTCTGATGCGCGACTTATCATGCCTGGGTCGAAAGCGAAGCAATCACAGTGCATGATGAGCAGTGACACCAACCCGCGGCTTCATGCAGGCAGGAATGACTGTTCACAAACCACCTGGCCACACTGGGTCTTTGTTGTAGACCACCTGTGGTATATTTTACAGTTCCCTATAGCCCCAATGCCCACCTGTCGAGCCTGTCGGAGTAGACAAGAGGGATCCGCCCCAGCTTGGAACCGTGAGAAGTCACAGGCATGTCGCAATCTGTGGTAGATCTCTCTGGGTGGAAGGTTATCCGTGTGGTGTAAGACAGGCACATGCAGCAGAATAAGATAACAGGGCAAAAGTCAACCGAAATCAACTGTCTCTTCTGATGGTGTGGTCTCAATAACCGACCGTATCCCACCTTTGGCATTCAGTGTTTAAGTTGTGCTCAGTTGCATCACTGGAAAGTCATCCCTAGAAGGCACTACATCCCGACGGAAGGAATTCAACTGGGAAGCCACCGGGAGTAGCCTTTCCGTGATCTAGATCCAGATGTTCTCAATTAAACCATCGAAGAAGAGGTATATATGGCTCTTTTCCTCTGCCTGTCTGCTCCGACCCTTCTTGGTTCGGATCCAGCAAGACGTTCTCGTATGAAATTGAGTCACACCATATGTGGTACCCCCTTTATCCCACAAACCCGAGCAATCGGTAACCTGCAGGCGCCACATCTTATTCGGCAAGCCTAGAAGCTAAAATGTATGTTCACAAGCACCGCCGGTTCAGGAGGCACCTCTCAGCGTTGTCGGTTGGCTGAGTCCGCCCCTGTCCACGTGCGGCAGACATCGATCTGACTAACCTCACGCAGGGAATCTGCCTAGCTCAGTCACGGGCGATACTGCAGAGGGAGACGGATGGCGACAGAAATGGCCAAGTGCATGTGTGCTACCGGGCTGGGACGCCAGTGGCAGCTCTGGTTGGCTTGGAAAGTGTACAGATCCAGAGTAGGAACATCACACTGTTGCTGGCGAGCTTTTTGCCTAGTTTGGAAGACTTTTCGTCAAAGAAAAGTGGCATTTTGCCGCAAATCCTTGTCACGAAGCATGCGCTCGTCTTACCTCAAACAGGAAAGGTCTATTGATAGACATTTGGATTTTGCCGTGATTGCTACATGTATAAGATCTTGAGGAAATAGTATAGCCTAGGTAATTTGGCTGGTGTAATTAAAGAGGTATTATGAATGGTGTGTCACAAATATGGACTGGTGTTTCATGGTCTCTAAAAGAGAGGTCAACAAATGAACGATGTCGAAATACATCTGCTTCCTAGGATTGCCTGTTGCCTTGGCACTGAGTCGTCGTTGGTTCAAATATATTCAAGATCTCTCGTTTTGGGAGCGATTTTCGGGAAATTGAACAGAAATAGCACTTATCGGAAGATTTGGTTTCTTAGTAGTAGTGACTGTGCCAGAAAAGAATGATATTAATCCCACCAACGCCTGGAGATATATTTGTTGCTGTAGACCATGAGGTCTCTTGAGTCTAATTTTGACCTCACTGGCTTGACAGATGTAGACAAGTTGTAACTCAGTGTTTTCAACTACTATACTGGAGGTCTGAAATGCACCCGATGAGGATCTTTGAGTCACGATGTTAACCCTCCAAAACCAGTGGCCATATTCCACCTGATGGAAGCCGTCTGTGATGACCCTCCAAAACATCACCCCTCCATTCATCATCACATTCGTGATACCAATCGTAAATTTCCGGTGGTCGGCAGGGCAGACCTGGGTTGCCCCAAATGTTGACATTGCAAAGAGTATCATAGCATTCCACAAGGCCGCCGGCTGAACAATAGAACCATCCAACGTCCTCATCTGGATTTCATTCTATGAGTGGCAGCCCGTCAGTCAGGTCCTCATACTTATTGTTGCGTAGAATCTTCGAATGCCAAGCAGGCAACCAATCCTTGGATACGATGGCCACAATCGGACGGTCGTGGTTATTGGTACTGCCTGGCCGGCGGACAGATTCGAGAGAGCGCTGGTCAACCACGACACAGTAGCGGAAACACGCAGCCCAGTACAATGCCTCACTGTTTTGTTCACTATCCGGTTCGTACACGGGACTCTGTCCAGGTCGCGTCTCGGTCAACGGAACGCCTCGGTCGAGACACAGCTGGATGAAATTCTCACGCACTACCTCTGTTGCAACACTATCGAAGCACTGTTGATCATCGATGACTTCCCATCGTAACTTGTTCCCCAGATCTGAGCGTCCCATGCGCTGTGTCAATGTGATAGCATCAGCCTCTATCTTGGTAATTAGGCGCTGGAAGAGCGAGTCTGTGCCTTTGCCATAGGCCGTGCGGTAGATTACAAAGCCCCAGTGAGAAACGGGCGGGTCGGCGAAGCTGGCCTCGACGCGAAGAAGCTGTCGATCCTCATTGCGGATGCGTCTATACACGGATTCCGAATATTCCACCCTGACGGACATGCCACGCTTCGATGCCATGCCGCGAGAGTACTGGAGTTGGCTGAAGCTGAAAGCCCTACGCCAGTATGTGGCAGTCCTGAACACGCTGTCGGTGGCAAGACATGTGCTGCGCTTCGCAAGGCCATTGACTTGGATGCTCTCGGGTTCGTATTGTGAAAGGACAGTTAGCCCTGTCCGAATGTCAGGTTGCCTGGCTTCGGACAGGTCAATCAGCAAAGTACGTTCCGTACTCAGGTAAATCAGGGCAGAACTCCGGAATTTGCAGGGTGTGCATTGTCAAGGTAAAGATGCCTGTTCTTCTAGTTTTGCAGTACGACTTGCCATCGTACCATATGAGCACAGACCACGGCTACAGATCCCACACATACAAACTACAAGATAAAGTTAGCATTATAGTTTTCTATTCTTTATTCTCTGTACTATCCATTGTAATCTGATAGTAGAGCCGACAGTGGGGCGCATGATGGTATAGAGCTTATGTTGTAATACGCTGTAGCAGTTCGAGATCATCCTTAGCTCTTGTCGAGGTCTCTAACAGCGATTTGTCCAAAGCCATTGCTATGGAGTCGCCGCTCCTGAAGACACAGAGGTGTTGGGTTTCATTCTAATTTCCCTTCATCTTTGATAATTCATAGCCAGTATGGAAGACCATGGCAGCTGCATTGAGCGACTGCTACTCCACTGCGCCATTTCCGTTATACTGCCGAGTTTGTTTCCAATATAGACAGCGATAGCCCAAATTTAAACATGATAAAGTCTTGAAAAGATCCTTCAAAGGTCACTGCGTGCACAGCACGTTGGTACATAGAATAAATATGTGATCTAATGTGAGGCAGCGTGAAAAGGCCCATTGGCTACCGACGTAAGGATCATCCACAGTATAGGCCTGGTGCGGAGTTATAGTTACCAGACTGCGGCGGAGAATATCGCCGACGCAAAAATTGAGTTTGAGCTTGTTTATTGCTTCGCCCGAAAGGTCTATCGAGATCTTCTTCGCATGATCCGTAGGCTACCGATCTCATTACCTCATAACTATTCTCTAAGCCCGTCAAGCTATCCAAGGAAGAGGTAGGGCTTGTCAAACCAATCATCCCAATGTGGATGAGGTGAACTCCATACACTCCTCAGGACAGTCTTCCCTAAAAGGGGCAGCTGAGATCCTAGGCTTGCAGACGTCTCCGTGAGCTGCCTCTCCAGGAACAATCTATCGTCTCCAGTGCCTGCCCGCAGGCCTGTGCCAGCAATGATCAGGGGCCACAACGTACACTTCATCATGCCTCCTCTTAGCGACGCGGACTTTAGGCAATGTTCGAGTAACCCCATGAGCCGCTTGTGATGTTTTTCTTTTGTGGCAAGCAGAAGCGCCGAATGCCCCAGAACGTGAACGCTCTGCAGGGCCGCAATGCAGTACACCATGATCGCCGACTGATAAATGCTCGCTAGTAATGACAAACCTTCGCCTGATGCTCTATTTTCAGCGGCCCAATCGGCTTCTGTTGTCATTTCGATATAAGAAACCATTTCAAGGGCCTGGATCTGAAGACCTTCCATCGGCACTGTTGACCGTGTTGCTTGAGATCGGAGAACATTAATCCTGACCAGAGCTAGGAACAGCTTGGGAGGACAGGGGCAAGTCGAAAGCAAGCCGTTCCCGTATATCTCTTTTATGGCATCAATCTGATCGGGTGAGAAATCTGCCCGAGCCATGTCACTTGCAATGCAGGTGGTGTTCCCGAAAGCTGCGAACCTGCGATGGCGAGTTCAGTGCATATGCGACTAGGATCTCTGGGATGGACTGCGGTAGAACTAGGACCTACAGGCAATAGTGAACCAGATGTCGTTGGGATTTCAGGCTGGCTTGTGACGTGACGAATGACTGGATCCCGCCCCTCAGATTGATCAACTGGGTCATGCCGTCGAAGTGATGCCTCCAATCACTGGCACATTGTCGGATCTAGGATCAAGTCAGTCCAGGAAAGTTTCAAGTAAGTGAGTAGAAAGTAATCGTTGAGTGACCAAAAGAGGGAACGGTGGTCAAGGAGATAATACTCGATAGCAGGTAAGTAACAAAGTGTTTACCTCCACAACTAGAAACATCAATATCGAATGGAGAGTGCTGTCTCTAGACCTCTTTCTTTCGTCCTTGATCGAGCTGCTGAGCGCCTGAATCGCGAGGTTCCTGTGGTACAACACCTTGGTCCGCACGTGCCGTAGATCATCTAACCCCGAGGGATTGACGCTGTCTGCAGCTAGGAGTGCGCATATGCGGTATCCTAATGCGAGGCAGGTCATGGTGTGCCGGATTGCTGGGTCCGCATCGTGGAAAGCGTTGGGCGGCAAAGGAGGAAACCACAGCATTGGCGCGACGGACTTCGGGTCGCGATAATTGGGATAAACATAGACATTCACTGGGACGGAAGACTTGAGTATTATTCATTTCGAAAGGGGCCCCATATGGGAGTACCTACTGAAATATATGGCCTGAGCCACGTCGGCAGCATCCGATTGCCATTCTGCTCGAAGGATAGTTGCTCCGTGGTTACCTTTAGTAGCACTGCTTGAGGCTTCTCGAGCACGAACGCTATTTCTGAAGGGGTGATTCTGGATAGGCCGTGGCCGAGCCGTGATCTTCCCGGAGGAAAGCCGTGTCAGCGGTTTCTTGTCGCCATACCCAGGGCATTCCGTTCTGGTCCCTTCACACCGGTTGCAAGCAGGGTGTACTCCGTCGCAGACAAGCTGCCGTCGTAAGCACTCCAAACAATGGTGTTTGTCTTTATTGGCACCTTGTGAGTGGTCTCCAAACATAGTTCATTGAAATTGATAGTGTCAAGATTCATGTGCTCCGGGCTTCTACTATGTAAAAGAGTCGCCCAATGATTTTATACGGGCAACACGCTGGACATTTACAGGAGGGACGCTACAACCGTGCACTCGCCGAGCTTCAAGCGCTGACGCAGATTGGACGGAAAACCTGTAAGATGGCGGCGCAGCAATGCTACTCGGCCCTCAACTCACCGTTTCCTTCGCACAGCCCCAGGCAACTCTTCAGTACCTCTCCTTTGTGTCTCTGCCGCACTTTGATAGCCGACAAAAACGATCTGTCTTATTCGGTGGTGTTACTAAGGTGTAAGAGGCCGCTGCAGCACCGCATCCCGGCGAGGAAACGGTCGAGTGGGTCTAATGGCCGTGAGCGCGCAGCCACTCGCGGGGTGGTTGCCCGTTCTCCCACTTCTATGGAGTCCGAGATTCGCTGCTGTATAATGAGCATGCCAATCCGCCCTCCACTTTGCCAGGTGGATGGATTTACTTCACCTGATGACCGAGTGGTATGCATAAATCATGTACTAGAGCACTGGTAATTCTGTAATGCAGTCAAACGGTTCAGAAACGGCGAGAAACCGGCTGATTCTGCACACGATATCAGTGAAATGGGAGGAGCTACGGCGTGCCTCTTGTGAAGGAACGACTGTCCCGTGAGAGGCAGGCTAAGTAGACGCGGTTCTCAGAGCTGGAAAAGAAAAAAGGACAAGGACGTGATAGAAGGACTGAGATATACGTCGTCTATCTGTACTGTGTGGGGTGTTTACAACCAGGCGCGTAACCAAATGGCTGAGTACATCCCTTTAGCTGGACAAGTTCGTTCGTAGTCGCGCATGTACGTGGTCAAATCACGATGAATAGCTACCATATGAATCACAATCTGAGACAAACATGGGCATGCGGTCATGACTAGGCTTAAGAAGCCTTAACTTTCGTAGGTGTTGCGAAGCTGTGGGTTAGAAAAGAGTCCGGCAGGACTGTAGGTCCATGTCGGCCAACACCAAAATCAGATCACATGTACAACATGGCAAGCTGCGGAAGATATGATGCTAAACACTTTTGTCTTCATTCCCATATGCATGGCCCTTGGCACGAAAAGGCAGATCATCAGCCCTGCTTTCCGAGCAGTGTGCGCTCAAACCAACCAGGTACAAATATACCGTCGTAATGCTAGTCCAGTCGGACGACATTCGTTGATGCATATCCATCTTGCCTCGCCATCTAGCCTACGCGAGCGTGCATGCCAATGACGCGCAGAGCATAACCTGTGTGTACATGTGGCGGGCCACCCTAGACCAGACGAAGAAGACAGGATGAAACGTCCCAAAAATGTGATGCAGTGACGAACGAAAAGACGTTTAGTCCTCGTCCATCTTGTCGTCGTTGTCGCCACCGGCCTCGAAGTCATCGTCCTCGTCCTCCTCGTCGTCCTCGGCGGGGATGTCCTTGGCGGCCTCGGCCCAGTTGATGACCTTGCCTCGGGTGCGGCGACCGCCCTCGACGATGTTGTTCAGGTCGATCTCGTCCATGTTGTCATCGTCCTCCTCGGCGGCGGCCTCTGTTGGGGGTCAAGTCAGTCAATTGGTCGCCATCGCGCATGGCGCATTGCATGGCACACAGTAGGGAAGTCGCATGCGCTTACCGTTGTCGCCACCCTGGGTTGTGTATGTTAGCATTGGACCGGAGCGCGCGTGTGCAAACAGCCAGATCTCGACATACCTCATCTTCGTCGGAAGAGTCGTCATCGTCCTCCTCCATGGACTGGTCGACGGGCTCCTCGGTGGCAGCAGCCTTGCCCTTGCCCTTCCCGCCAGCGGGAGCCTCAGCGACCTGGGCGGGGTCCTGGGGGATGGTGGCTGAACCGTTCTCGGCGGACATTGTGATGGTGCAAGTGTGTGAAGTGAGAGTGTTGATGATAGACTTCGGGGATGAAGTGTCGCGCGAAGTTTGCGAGGAAGAAAAGTGAGGTTTGCAGGCTTGCGATCCGCGATGGGTGTATGCAGGGAAAGACGGGAGGAAGGTGAGGTGAGGGCGGCTGGCGCTTGGAGCTTCGCTGCAGGTAAGTTATGGGTATGGACCATATGGATGGACCGATGTACGTAGCCCTGGTAGCTGTTTATTAGCGCCATCGCGACTCGAGCTTCCCGTGTGGAACAAGCGCGCTTGGCCAATCAGGGCCTAGCCGATAAGATCGATAGCGCTGTGCCGCCATCAGCCCCGTTGGCTGTCTGTTGTCTGGGGGAGCGAAGACCCGCTTCTTGTGTGTCTGCAGGTAAGCCGTGAGCTGCCATCGGCCAGACGAGTTTGGACCTCTGGAGAAGCTGACCGAGGTCCGCACACGTTGCATGGCTTGGCAACTGCTTGATCCCTCGTCATCTTGACTGCTTTTTCTACCGTCGTATTGTTGAAGCTACTAAGCAAGATTCATAGCATTTGGGTTCCAGTAGTCATGACCAGGCCGAGCTTCATGGGATTACTCTCATCGCAGTTGGGGGATTCAAGGTGGCTATAGCAGACTGGATCTGCAGGAGTATTCAATATTGTGAGAACTTCAAATGGAGCCAAGTACGGAGTGAACACAGGCTGGCTGGACATTCGATTTTCCCACAATGATCCGTGATCTAGAGGCTAAGGCTGAGGTGAGCTAGACCCCCAGCAGGTACGCAATGTGACGGCCATCCCTCTCTCGCTCCTGGCAGTTGGAAGCTCGCAAGAAAGCTAGAAACTGCTCCGGCAAATTCTTTAGGTGTGCAGTTTCCTAGCACGTGCCGGATACTGGCCTATAGCTTCGTGATCCAGAGTATTGGACACAATATCGATCAGGACAACCCTGCGTTGGCCGTCCTGACACACACAGAACATATGAGGAACCAAGGGGCCCTGAACAATAATGTGAGAGCTCGGTCAAGCGACCGTGCAGAACAAGATCCATTTATGCCGTCTATACCGTCTATTTGCCGTCCCCTCCTCCGCCAGTCACTGTAAGTAGGAGCACGATGCCGATCACCCACCAGTACCTGTCTAGTTGTTAGCATCAATACATCACCATGGAGTCCCAACCTAGGGGGAAGAAAGAGACAAAACGTACTTCTGAAGCAGCGTCTTCTCCTCGGGCTCGCCCGCCGCCGTCTTCTTGCCCTCGGGGCTCAGCACCACGGGCTTGCCGAGCTGGACCTGCTCGCCGCGGGCGACGGTGGTGACGACGGCCTTGGGGCCAAAGTCGCGGGTCTGACCGGCGTCGATGCGCACGCCGCGGACGCCGGCGCTGACGACGTCGCCGGCCTCGTCCGTCGTGAGCAGGAGGTGCGGCTTGTAGCCCTTGGCGAAGTTGCGCGCCGAGGCGATCGACGTCGACGACACCCACGCGCCGCCCTGGCGCACGCCGACCCGCACCGTCTGCGCGTCCTCCGGCAGCTCCGGGAACTCGAACGACGACACCACGGCCTCGCCCGGCAGGAACGGGTCGTACGTCACCTCGGCCAGCAGCGCCGGCGCGCCGGCGCCCGACAGCACCGGTTGGATGTAGATGGCGGCCGTGTGCTCGGCCGCGGCGGCGAGGCTGGCGCAGGCCAGGCCGGCAAACAGGGCGGAGAGCCTCATTGCGGTCGCATCGATCGGAGAAACAGCGCAGGAAGGATAGGCGTGTGCGGCGAGGATTTTGTGAGGTCGTCGGGTTGATATTCAGGTCGAGGAACGAATGGACGATGGGAGGGTTGAGAGGTACCCAAGGCCTAGGCGAGCACGGTGGTTGTCAGGTCGTCAGTCTCGGCCCCCAATCAAATGGGTTTAGGGGGGACCCGGGACCCAGAACCCTGGGTCGACACGACATGCTGCAGATCTCATCACTGACCATCCAGTTCAAAGCCAAGCTTTTGCAAGGCTGAGGCTACGAAATTGATTGACATGAACTAAATCGGCAACGCTCTCTCGATCTTGTCGTAAGGCAATACTGTTTCCATTCGTTCTCATCTGAGTGTTCGTGTTTGTACTCAACGGGTGCGACAATGACGACGAGCGACATAACAAAATGCAGATGACAGCCGTATGGGTAGTACTTCTACCCAACCAGCCGTGAATACTTGAGGAACGCATATCACTTCTCCGAGTGCAGTGCCGCTGAGCCATAATTCTCGGGATACCATTCGGAGAGTGTTGCTATCCCTATTGCTAAACCAACACTGATGCAACCCCAATGCTCATGCTAAATATCAATGCCCTAATTTCATAGTCGCCTTTGAACTCCTTAAACCCCAAGCCCACAACATGGCGTCATTTTCAGCTGGACGCCCCGTTGGCTCGAATTTTCCCGTCACTGTCGTCACTCTGTCCTAAATCGTCGCTGTCGTCTTCGTCAATGTCCTCAGAGCTCCCCGCATCGCTGGAAGGTCCGTCTTCTGCCAGGGTATAGCCGTCACACCTCTCCACCAGTCCCTTGTAGTACGCCACCAGGACCTCCGGATTGGGAATGATCTTCCAATCTACTCGGTACAAGAACTCCAGCTCCAATAACTTGAGCTCCGCCACTTTGACTCCTCCAACGCGGGCATAGAACGAGTTGTTCCAGAAGGAATCCGACAGGCCCTTGCCGGCAACTGTTGCCGCTGTAATCAGGAATCGATGGACCGTCAGGGTGTTGATGGTGAAATCTGGGTATAATGCGCACAGGCGATCAATGTAGTATACCATCGAAAGCAGTAGCGGAGGGGTGATGGTGGCGTGTTTTGCGAGTCGGTGTAGATAGTCGACCACGGAAATGCCGGGTGCCGTTCTGGGTCGGGGTCAGCATAACATGCTCCACGAAGCGCACTGGGCTGGAGGAGCCCAAGTTCCAAACTCTACATACCTGGAGTGAAATCTCGTGAGATGGCCGCTCTTCATCGCCAGTGAGTCGTTGGTCTCAATGAGCTCGGAGAGCATGTTCGCGATCAAGACCACCATATCCTCGACATCGCATAGCTCATATCTTAGCGGTAACACCTTGGCGGGGCCCTGAGCAGTTTTTGATCTTTTGGGAGAGCTTGACTGGCTTTGTATCACAGCCGAGGACGACATGGCGGAGCTCTCCGACAACTTGGAGAGATCTTGCGAATTGCGCCTTTTTGCGGGGGATAGCGGGTTTGCTGCCGAACTGACATTGTCGAGCTTTTTGGGCGACAGCGACGGTTCGGGAGGCTGCTCAGGCAGAGCAGACTGTGGTGGTTGCGCTGCTACCGCAGAAGAGGAGGATAGAGACTCGGCTGTGGGCGGTGCTGGCCTCGCATTCCGCAGTGGCACCGTTGGGTCGAACGGCTCCATCGGTGAGTATTGTGTCGCGGCATCGACTCCCACATATTGGTTCGACCGGCCTTGCTGCAGTTGTGACTGCGACTGCGTTTGCGGCTGCGGCTGCGTCTGCGGCTGCTGCGACAAGTGCGACGCCCGCGACTCTGGGGGCGAGAGTACTAATGAATGCTTCGAATGGCGGCGCGGTAGGTTTGCCGTGACCCTGGGAGAGAGGTGTGGAGATCGAGTATTAGGTGCATAGTGAAAAGTACGGGGTGATGCGCTCGTGGACCGGGGGGCTATGGGGGACGAAGTCAACATGATCCCCTACGCATCCTGCTTTCTCAGATCGTCTTTGGATGAGGATGTGCGTCTGGCGGAGAGAGGGGCGAGGCGAAAGGGAGGGCCCGGGGTGACACAGGCCCGAAGTTTTTCATATGAAGATGGTCGCGGGCTAGATTGAGCGGTCTCGCAGGATCACAACCCGGCCGCCGTCGCGGGTGCTAGATAGTGAGACAGGCTATTGGGGTGCGTAGCGCACACTGGGCATCAGTCGGAGATGGAGGCAATCAGCGAGGTGTAACTCGTAGTACTGTAAGGGTAGGAGATCGGTTCGAGGAGGGCCAATTGCGAGTCGACGTCCTCTAGCAATGTAGGTTTGGACCTTAGGCGCCCGTTGGTTATTAATATTGGATCGCACAAGGCTCCGTCGTCGGTCGGGTTCAGCGAACGAACGCCGCCGAGCCGCCAGAAATTCTCGATACCTGGCAGTGGGCGGTCCAGAATGCTAACAAGCCTACAGTGCTCCGTCCTGACCCTGGCTGGACTCGACTCAGCCCGACGCTGGAGGCAAGGTGCAAAGGGTGTCTGCCCAGGTAGTCTGGGGTTATGTACGCAGGCAGGTCTGAGGAGGCGCTGATGGTGTCTCGATGATAAGGGTGCCGACACCCGAGCCCACTTGGACCCCCCCCCGAAAAATCCAACACAGAAATCGGCAGACTACCTAAATGAGATGATCATGGCATTTCCATCAGTGCATCCCGGGACCACATGGGCAAACGAGCCCAGCCCAGTGGACCGAACGGAGAGCCAAGATGCTCCAGGGGCCCAGGCTGCCCGCTAACTCAGGCTACGGCCATCAGATGCCGTCGGAGGAGGAGACAACCTATGGGGCCGCTGCCGGGGACTGCCTGTCGCTCGGCGGTTTGACTTTGCATATGACCTATGGCCTGCTGGGACGATGGCGACTGTTCTTTATTATGGGGGTCTGGAAGAAGTTTGCTCGACCGAGGGCTCAAACGAGGCTAGTCAGCTGGCCACGCTCGCCTGCAATTGAGGGGCAGAGGGGCGCTATCTTGCATCTCTGGTCAGTAGGCCACCCACCGTCATGGACTACCAATGACGGCTTGGATTCTCCTGTCCAGCCTGATTGTCTGGCCCTCAGCACGGATTTGCCTGCCGCGACGCTGCGGCCTGTCTACCGTACATAAACGAAGGACGTTGATAGAACCTGCAGATAACGCCCAAGCCACCAACACCATGTGCGAGGTGTATTCCAATTTGCATGTAAGCCAGCCAGCCTTGCGCATCCGCCTCGCACCCAACCGACCCTTGTGGATAGTAGTCCCCTAGCCCTGTAAGCTATAGAGCCGCAGTATCTGTCATTTCGTCATTCGAACGTCAGGACCTGCCATTTGCTATCTATGTAGTTTCCCAGTTCCCTTCCCCAAGACATATCATATCATTCTGTGGGACTCGTGGTACGGTGCCAGGTCACAAGCAGTTCGTGCCCGCTTACTTCAAAGGTGAGGTCTATACTATGTGCTTGGGCCAGGTAGGTGTATACTGCGGCTATTCTATAGACTAGCAATCATCTTTGATGTAAAGCTTTGTCTCTTCACGTATTTACGTATACGTGCCTTTGGAATGGATTATGTTGCCGAACCTCGACGCTATCCACGCAGTCCGGGGATGCATAGCACAAGCATGTAGACAACTGAAGCCGATGCCCGGAGGTTTGTATAGGTAGTTTCCCAGGCCGGGTCTTCAGGCGCACTTTCAGAGGATGAGCTCTGATCTGAGGTGCATCCCCTATTTATCAATCTACATATGTAGTCTGTGCTCCAAGGCTATAGCTTATCCGCTATCTCTGGGTTCTGGGGTAAGGGGGAAAGAAAAAAAAAGAGAAGGGCGCTCGCTCGCGGACAGGGATGAGCTCTGGCTTGGCCGGGGTCTCAATCGCGCCACTCGGGGAGATTTCACTGCGCAGGCGCCCAGCGCCGAGCTCTGGACGACAAGTGCTGAGTGAGTATCAAGATTTGCACCCAACCTCACTTTGGAGAGACATTGCTCAGCATTCAGCCATCTTGGAATGTCTATTGCTACCTAGAAATCGTTCCGCGCGACATCAGGCCTTTCCTGCGCTCCACTTGCGCTGCCTTGAATGCCTTCGTTGCCGGCAGCGATTCGGAGCGACTGGTAGTCTGTGCGATTTACGACGTCACCACGCGCTTCCGAGGCCTCTGCACCAGCCCGCCGACACGATGGCGGTCGATGTGATAGCGCAGCTCAGCAGCTCCCGTTCGGCCGACGATCGACTCGAGGGCTTGAGGATCCTCAAGAACGACATCGTCGGCCACATCCAGAAAAAGGAACAGTGGGTGCAAGTTGGGGTCCTGCCGCCTCTCGTCGCCCTTCTCGACCGTGACGACGAGGATCAGACCACGAAGCTTCACACTCTCCAGCTCCTTGCCAGCTTTGCGAGCGCCGGCCCGCAGTTTCTACCCCCGATGCACTCCTCGGGGGCGTTGCCGGCCATCCTGAACTGTCTGCAAGATCGACGCCCGCAGATTGTTCTGGGTGCACTCCGTATCTTGCGCGACATTGCGGATGCCTGCGCTTCAGCCCCAGCTTCCTCGGCAATCAATTCGACTTCGCTAGCCCAGCTACTTTTCGCCGACGGCCATATCGAATCCCTTGCTGCAATCCTAGCCCAACCAACCCCGACCCGAGACGTTGCCGCACAAGTCACCATTGTAGCACGGCTGATCAGCACTCTGTGTCGAGAAGAAAAGCATCAATACGCGCTCGTCAACTATGGGGTTATCGATGGCCTCGCGACACGGCTGGCCAGCTTCGCGGTTGCTGAGGGGCAGGTTGTCCCACGGGCTGAAGTGATAGCACGTTCAGAGGGCTTATCCGATTTTCTCCCAGCACCTGCAAAATCCGGCATCAGACTGTCAGATATCTTAGGGGCAATAAGCGCTGTTATAACTGACTCAGCGTTTCGTTCGTGCAGACTGTTATACTCGCCTTCGATCCTGGCCGTTTTCCCCAACACAGACACGGAATGGGGCATCTCATCTGCAAGGGTCGAATCCCTTCAGCTCGCGGGGTTGCGGCCAACGAAGCAGAAGGAATATGAGCCAATGGATCTACTTCTTCCATATATGCCTAGCCAACTTCGCGGACAGCCAAGTAATCCAGCTTTCCCTCCCCTCGGCACCAGCGGTCGGTCAACGTCCAGGTTTAATCCAGAGTTATCAGGGTGGACAGGCTCGGCTAACGAGGCAACTGGTGCCGCCGGCGAAGATGAGGAAGCCGAAAGCCCCCTGATTCCGTGGTTGATCAGCCTGGTACGAAATAGAGATGACAGCGAGGCGCTTCTCGCGGCGTCGGTTCTTACCTCTTTATACAAGTGTGGTTTCGCGTATAAGTCACGAGAGACTACACTTGGACTCCTCGTTATCCCAAAACTACTACAGTTACTGGATAATGCAGATATGAGCAATCAAGACGCCACATCCACTCTTGGTTGGGAAATTGTCGAGCAGACGCCGGCTGTTGTAGCCCGTCTCATTACGGATAGCGAGTCCCTGCAGAAGGCAGCCTCTGACTCAAACGCTATCAAAACATTGTGCAAGTTGTTGAAAAACACGTACGACACACCGCTACCGTCAACTCCGCCGCATACTTGGAGCCCTGAGGGTGACTTGCAACCGCCTCCCTTCGCCTCTAGTCCAGAGAGCAGGTTAGGGGAGCCTGGACAGCATCCTTTGCTTGCTCATCGTATCCGAGTTCGGGAAAGCACACTGAAAGCCTTGGGCGCGCTGGCAACCTTCAAAGAAGACTATCGCAAAGCAATCGTTGATCAAGATACAATTGGGTACATTGTGCAATCACTGCATATGTTGCCTGGCGCACCCAAGGAATCCAAAGTCAATGGTAATGATAAAAGCGACAGTCACAGCGAACAGTTTGGCATGAATCCTACAACTGTAATTATCGCTGCATGTTACGCTGTCCGTATGCTTTCGCGATCCGTTAGCATTCTCCGAACTGCGCTGGTCGACAACGGTGCAGCAATACCCTTATATTCTCTACTTCGGCATCCCAATCTCGACGTGCAAGTTGCGGCTACTGCAGCAATCTGCAATCTGGTCACGGATTTCAGTCCGATGAGGGAGACCTTGACCAGGGTTGACATTGTCAAGGTTCTCTGCGAGCATGCACGGCAGTCAAGTCCGGCCTTGCGCCTGAATGCGCTCTGGGCCCTGAAACACTTGGTACACTCAGCTAGTATTGAGCTCAAGAAGAACTGCTTGGAGGAACTACAGTCAGGACGTCTGGTATGGCTCATTTGCGACGACACCGAAGATGAGGCTCTATTTTCCGCAACATCCAGAGGCGAAAAACAAGGGATTCTAGGTAATATCGAGGATTTCGACGAGGAAATGGATATGGACGATCAAGTGCGGTCGTCTCAATCTAAATCTCAAAGCATACCCGTTCAGACGGATAGCCGCATCATCCACGCTGCGAACGAAAGGTTGGCTGCCCTCCGGGAAGCCGAACTGAATCCGGTCCGAAAGGCCCGACAAGATGATTTGGCTATTCAGGAGCAAGGCCTCGGATTTATACGGAACCTGATTGGAAGCTCACACGCCGCTGGCAACGCCGATTCCATAAGTGACACTGCGGAGATGATCGACTTCCTCTTCAACACACTGGGCCAGGATAGGTTTTTCAGTATCCTGGCGTCCAAGATGAAGTCCAAGATGTTGCGTCCTTTAAGTGGCCGACGCAACTCCACAAATAATGCACCGCGCGTGCTTTACCCTCAGGCTAAGATCATCGAGGCTGTTGTCTACATTCTCGTACATATGGCCGCGAGCATCCCCCGGCATCGCCAGTTAGTCATTGCACAGACGGAACTCTTGAAACTACTCGCCGGACTTTTCAACAGCCAAGACCGGGAGGTACGGGTTGCTCTTTGCCACTTGCTGAACAACCTCACTTGGCAAGACGACGCCAATGACGCTCCGGCATGCTCCCAAAGAGCAATCGAACTGAAGAAACTGGGATTCCTGACGAAGCTCGAGTCGCTTGGACACGATGACGAGCTAGACGTGCGGGAGCGTGCGAAGTCAGCCTTGTGGCAGATGAAGCATGGCTACTAGGGAAATGTTGTTGGTTTGTAAAAAGCATGTCTATCAGGCTCGGATCAAACTGCTGCGAGCCTAGAGGGCTGCTTGCCCACGTGATTTCCCTGCTTGTACTAAGATAGTACAATATGCGGCACTGGTTAAGAATGATGAGGTCGGCGTTCGGTTGCATTGATAGAACAAAAGCACATTTTGCGACGGCCGGGGGCCTTATGAGTAACATTGCCGACAGATCGGTCTCGATCATGATGCTACAGAATAAAAGCTCGCATAAGTTTCACTCACTCGTTCGCACATCTACGTCCGCCCTCGCGCAGCGAATAGTTGTCCGAAATGGCGCGATTGGTGTGCTTTCTCATTGAGCGTGGTCGCCGGAATGACCGGGATTGCTTCTTTAGTTAACCACAGTCTTGTCCCAGGTTTCGGACATCGCGGCCCAGATAATCTTGCCTGTGTGGCGTGACAGGTCAGATGTGCAGCTTTAGACATCATCATGAGATACTTGGCCGAGCTCACGCCACGGCAGGGATGAGAAGTTCTAGCTCACTTGCCCCAGTTGTTGCAGCGCAGAGTCATGCATGCATGATGAGGCTCTCTCAAGTGCCGAGTCTCTCTGGACCTCGCGCTCCGACAAAAACCGTCAGTTGCATTGCGAATAGTGTATGGTTGGGGTTCGCCTTGCAATGCGACGTCGATGTGTGGGTTCCCAATCAGAGCTACATCTGCCATGCATTGCAGAAGATCTGCATTGTGTATGCAGTCTGTATAGACTTTTACCAACCCATAAGCTTAGCGAGTGGTCTGACCCAGACCGGACTCGGGCGTGTTTCTGGCAACCTTGGTAGGTCGGGCTGCCATCCCAATTGCACATCCGTCTTTTGACTCCCGAGCCTGCCGAGGACCGTGTCCTGTCAACCGGACCTCTCCCCCGCTCATTCCAACACATGGCTTTGGCTGTAGGGAAAAGGGATTCTGATAGACAGGCCGGAATTGAGCTCCGGATCACATTGCTTCTTGAACTCCCTTGCTGGCAGGATTTCCCTGGCGATGCATAATGACCTGGCGAAGCTCGCGGTGCGCTGGCAAAGATGGGAATTGCTTCTGTTCTACCGCTTCGTCTCAAGTTTCACAGCATACTTACTAGTTACCTAGTCACCAGTATTCCCCGCATCCTCAAGGTAGGTGCAATCGATGACAAACTTGCTTGACGCTCGAGCTACATGCGTGCAACGATGCAATATCACCCTAAAATTTCTCGTCCTTGTGACAACGAGGAGCCAGCCAGCCGTGCTCCGGGGTCCACCCCGGACGGAAACTGCGGGTCGGCCGGACACAACTTTGGCGTGTCGTGCTAGCCCATCGCCAATAGCCATTACTGGGCGGAACTTGTAGAGACTGTTGATTGTTTGGCCTTGGCTCTCGTCGGACACATCGGCTCCCAGCATCGCATCTGACAAATGAGTGGTATCCTTGTCCTGAGAACCAGAGTGACGTGATGAGCGTGCCCGTAGTCTTCCATCGCGCACATATAATAACCCTCTCGCCTGCCTGTCCTACACAGCCTCCATGCTCATACCAATAAAACACCCAATCTGTGCTCACTTGGAAGAGTCCTGTTTCGATCCCGCCACTAAATTGCCACATCGCTTATACACATGCCGTCCATACATACAATGGGCGTGATAGCTCGGGCAAACGAAGCGCTGCAGGTCAACCCCAGCTTCGGGGGAGACTCACTGACTACGAATGGCTCCGACTGGTTGTGGGCAGTGACGGCGATATATGCCTTGTCTTTCTTGATCTTCTTCGCAACCAGCTTCAAGCCCTTCTCTGGCGAGCGCATCTTCCACTACATCTTCACGGTGTCCCTGCTCGTCGGCACTATCGCGTACTTCTCCTGGGCCTCGAACCTTGCTCATGTGATTATCAATGGGCGGCAGATATACTGGGCCAAGTATGTTTACTGTAAGTAATACAGATTGCCTGTTGCCATGTGGATTCGAGACTAACACATTTCAGGGGTTGTGGAATTCCCTGCCATCATCGTCGCGCTTGGATTATTGAGTGGTGTCTCTTGGGCCACCATTCTCTACAATACCTTCCTGTCGTGGATTTGGTAAGAATGATATACATTAAGCTCGTAATGCTGTTGCTTACACTCAGCCAGGGTGATTTCGTACCTCGTCTCTGCCTTCACCTTAAGCACTTACAAGTGGGGCTTCTATGCATTCGGCACCGTCGCTTGGCTTATCCTTGCCTTCAACACCTTGTCCTCTGGAGCGTCTTCCGCAAAGCGCGTCGGAGTATCCGGACACCACTCGTTCCTGGCCGGCTGGACGAACCTGCTGTGGCTTCTGTGGCCCATCGCCTTCGGCGTCTCGGACGGCGGATACACTATCGGCGTTACCCCAACTGCCATCTTCTTCGGCGTTCTCGACGTCCTCTTGACACCTGTTCTGGCCTTTGGCTTCCTCGTCCTATCCCGTAAGTGGGACTATAACAAACTGAACCTCGCTTTTACGCGCTACGGCCGCGTTAACGATGGCGGTCACTTTCCCGAGAAAGCCGCTGCTACCCCAGCTCATGGCGGCGTGTCGACTACTGCGCCGGCACCTTAAACCTCCATCGTCTTCTGCTACGGCTTGAAGGGAATGTTGGACTAGGAGCATATGATGTTGGCTCCCTGAGGCTTCGCGGACATGGTGGACGAGACGCCACAGTCTCTTTCCGATCGTTTTAGTCACTCTTTGATCGCAATGGTTTATGAAGCGGGGCGCACTCGTTAGGATGATACCATCATTTGAAATATGTCGTACGGAATACCGAAGTGACGTGGACTGTGCTTAGGAGGATGATTTCCCGAGATATGATACCATGATTGTTTATCGCGACCTAATGAGGAGAGATTAGTAATGAGAGTATTAATGTCTGATAATTTCCGTGTCGTTACAACGTCAATGTCAATCAGGTGGAAGTATCAAACTAATCAATACTTTCTTCAAGCAACGAATCTACCCTCCCTTCACCATAGCTCAGTTCGACATTTCACTTCAATCAATCCTGTTGTGTAGTTCGAGTGCCAATTGACTATGTTTGCAGAGCTGAATACCAGTTACACTGACATAAATATGTAAATAATAAGTCTTGGACTTGCACACTACCAGTAGGCCTGTATTTCACCGACTCTTCCCACCCACCTTACTCCACGATGTCTTTTGTTAGCTCCTGTCAGTGCCTCGATCCTCTCATTGCAGCCCTGGGACCTTGGTAACAAGAGGCCAGAAATCACATTATGATTCTATCTTGTCCATTCAGCCAATACTGCCCTTTCCTTTGAACGCCTCGTTACTCCGCCACCAGTCGGCCAGACCCCTCCGCACGAGCTCCTCACCGAACCCGGTCATGCTCGTGAATTCCTTGAACCGCTCTCCGTACACCTTGGTCGGCCGGTCATCTCGGACCGGCGCCCGTGTTGGCGGCAGAACGCACTTGAAGATCATCTTTTCCATGTTCCCAACTAGCGAGGCCCATTTCTGCAGCGCTTCCTCGTCCCGGCTCTCTGCGTATACAAGGCCGGGCCGCTGCTCCGTCTTGAACATGACGAAGGGGATATCGCACTTGCGTGCGTAATTCTTGATGGTTACGGCGGATTCGCGGGCCAGGCTGATCCGTTTGACCGGGAGGTTCATACACTTGAACATTGTGTGGTAGAGCGGCGGGTTCATGGTGGCCGAGACGGGGTGTGTCGGTGTGTAGCAGGTATCTAGGGTTCCTCGCACACGATCAACATACTCGCACGGAAATTTATGGAATTGACAACCCAACAAATATAGCCATGCATTGAGTGCGAAATAATATGATTCAGTGACGGGTTGTTTGTATTGTGAACGGTTGAGTTGACCAAAGTCCCCGAAGTCCCCGCATCCACCGTCAGAAGGCTCTCCGTCCCAAGCTGGCGGGGCAGCCTGATGTACATGCAAGGGATTGCCTGTGAGTCAAGCCGAACCTGAGACAATCAAGCTGCTGTGCAAGCCCGCGTAGTATTTGGATTGACCCGCATCATACGGTTGCCTTATAGTAGGACCAAGTTGTGAGCAAAGGGCTGCGCTATAGCAACTATGTCAGACAGACAGTGCACTATTTCGGCAACCTAGCGACCGTTATAATTGATCATCGAAGACTTGCATCTATGCCTACAAGCACAGGCGCTTTACTTGGGCGCTTGCACTGTGAAGTGAGAAAATCCAGAGCGATACTGGGCTCGTATAGACTATGTATACAGCACTTGGTACGGTCGTGTGGCATGAACTTAAGTGGGATAAGTGAGTGGATGTGGATGTGGATGTGAATGTGGGATGATGCAGTTGTGGGCGTGTGGGATAATGAGCTCAGCAAGCCTCAATACGTTGGAAAGAGCAGACCCGGTGGGCTTGATGAGATGCGTTGTGATTAGTCCTCGGTACAATTATCCCCCTTGGCATCTGCAGTAAGCAGTGTGTCCTTGCCGTCTATCTGCCAATGTCGCGCCCTTATTTCGGGATCTTACGAATGGCATCAATGTGGGAACAGCGGTAAGCAGAGACTTCTAGCAAATGTTAGTAATTGCCACACTGGTTCGCTGGGTTGCAGGGTATTATCCTTTTCGTCCTGCTCAAGTCCGTCAGCTGCGCTTTGTAATAGAAGGGGGATGATGCCATTAACGCCAAGATCTGATTGGCCGCCATAGTGGCACTACCCCACGGTGTTGGCATCATGAGTGCCGATATAAAGGCTGGACTTGTTCCTGGAATTATGTCACATCCAATATTCTATTCCGAAACGGATCAGAAGTCGGTAATCGAACATCGGCGAACATACGGCAAACAACCCGCGCCAGGACTATTAGGAGCTCATGCAACTCGCGTCAACTATTGCAAAACAAGCCATATCCAAGTTAGGACGGAACACTAGAGCCACTACCTCGGTATTGCAACTCCGGCAAGCCAGCACAATGACGACCGGCACCTTCAGACACATTGATCTGAGTGCTCTGCCACCAGGTGTTAAACCATGGGCCAAGGTAGATGCGGATGCATCGTCTTTCAAGTTGGCAAACCACAAGCGATCAGTGCACAACCTGAGGGGTCGCGAAAACGAGTTCACCACTGATAACTCAGGTTTCACGGTTTACAACGAACCAGCCAAGGAGAAGACATTCACCAACGAAGCCGACGTCAGAGACGGCTACTACCAGGAGGTTGAGGCACTATTGCGCAAGCGGATACCTGGCATCAAGAAAGTTACCATCTTTGACCACACGATCCGCAGGCGCACGCCGGATTCCCCGCGGGCACCGGTCCAGCAGGTGCACGTGGACCAAACCCCGGGAGCCGCCGAAGCCAGAGTGCGGAGACATCTGCCGAAGGAAGAGGCCGAGGAGCTCTTGAAAGGACGATACCAGATCATCAACGTGTGGCGACCCATCGAGAACCCGGCGAGCGACTTTCCGCTCGCTGTGATTGACTGGAGGACCACAGTGCCAGATGACTTTGTGCCGGTTGACCTGTTGTACCCCAAGCGTGCCGATTCCGTTATGGACGACGATGACCGGGGCAAGGAGGTGCGCCCGGACGAGTCCGCGTGGTTTTCGACCGAGGGCTACGAGGTCCGAGGTGAGACAATGGGCGTGAGCCACAACTCAAACCAGAAGTTCTACTACCAGAAAGACATGACACCGGATGAGGTCCTGCTATTGAAGTGCTATGACTCATTTGGCGAAGGACAACCGTTGGGGAAGAAGGGCATTGCTGTTCGCACGCCTCACACGGCGTTCGTCGATCCAGCGACGCCCGAAGATGCTCCCGGCCGTCAGAGCATTGAGGTCAGATGCTTAGTGTTTTACGAGTAGTAGTAGGTGTGAAACAAAGGACAGGAGAAGTCTTGTAACGAAAGCTGTTGATGACATCGTACGAAATACTGCGGGCTACTGCCGAAGCGCTGAGTTGGTCGTTGATCACTTGAGGAGAGAGAGAGAGAGAGAGAGGGGCTGTATAATCAAAAACAAAAAGATCAACCTCCAGACGCAAATTGAAGCACCCATTCTCCATCCATTCATGTCTTGAAAAAAGGAAGCTCGATTTGAGACAAAACGTATCTGCGCAGATAATCTAGGTTGGAGACACCGCCACAGTCAAGCCACAACAAGGCTCCCGGCGGTACAAATGTAGCCAGGTGTTGTTCCTTGGTTCTCGGAGATAGGTTTAATCAAAGTAACAAAAGATCTGCGAAAGAAAAATAAAACGATGCATCTTCCCAGACTTGACTGACCGACACCATGGCATCAAGGTACGTGTACACCTGTTCTGCGCCAGGCGGCGCGATTCCCTCTTGTCTCCTTGGGGTGCGTCAACTGGTTTGAAACCTGTCGGCCGGGGGGGAACCAGCGGCGCCACGCTCGACGACCAAGAGAAAAGGGGGACGCCGGGGGCGAGGACGCAGAGCAGCGCAGCGCAGCTGCGGTTTCCGTCTTCTACGAGATCCTGAAGTGCTGACGCATCTCGGCACTGTAGCAGATTCGGGAACGCGACGCTTCACCAGCGCGACTCGCGCAGCCAGCTGTTCGAGGGCTACAAAGGCAGCGGCTCCGATGCATCGAGGCGGCAGTACAGCGCCAGCCCGGCCTCCGTAGGCGGCGGCTACGGATACGGCGGGTACCCGGGCGCGAACAACAACGGCAATGGAGGGCATCTGGGCGTCGAGAACAGGGGCTTCAGGCCCGCGACGCCGAACTCGAGGTAAGCTCAGATCGAGACGCTACGCCCCCCGAGGAGTGACGTTTTGGCCGGGGGGGACTGACAAAGGGGGCTTTCTGTTCTTTGCTGTAGGGGCCAATACGATACCGCGACGCTCGACGAGCTCGAGAGCCAGAATGACCAGGAGGTCTCGGGAATCATGAGCAAGGTCAAGGTGCTCAAGACGCTGTCGGTGGCCATGGGCGAGGAGATCCGCGACTCGTCGGCCATGATGGACAAGATGAACGACACGTTCGACACGACGCGCCTGCGGCTGCGCGGCACCATGAACCGCATGATGATCATGGCCGAGAAGACCGGCGTCGGCTGGAGGGTGTGGCTCGGCTTCTTCGCCTTCGTCATCCTGATATTTGTCTACGTCTGGCTGTTCTGATCCAGAGAGACACGAAGACCCCGGGGGAGGCTTTGGCGGCGGCAGCGGCGGAGCTGGGTCACGAACGGGCGGAAGAGATGTGCAAAATGACTTGGCTTTCACGGACTCGGCGTTGTGGCGTGTGTTTGATTGGGAGGAGCGTAGATGCGTTGCAACCCACAGCATGCCGTTCATACAGGGAAATGACACGAAACGCGTATATACAACGTGTGCACATGCGAGCAGGATCACGGTGGGCAGAATCGGTATATTATCTTTTGTAATTTCATGTACGCATAACTTCATGTTCTCATCTTGGCATTAGACTCTGTATCTAGACGACTGGCTTGGTCTAGGGGTACCAATGAACAATGCAGCAAACCAAACGACGACTAATCGATAAAGTGCCCCGGGGTATCATGCTCTCGAAACGCCTATCTAAAGACCTCCAGCGGCTTGCCCGCGCGTCGAGACGCCACCTAGGCACGTCTCGGAACTTGTGGACTGCTACCAAGCAGGCTGCTGCCATCTACGGACAGCAGATCGCTGATGGCCAGACTGTGGCGCGTGGCATCTGAACGTGCAAGGCTGCCTCTAAACCTGACGGAGTGGGGAGCTCGGGCGGCGGCGAAGCTCACCTCGCCCTGGTCATCATCGTCGCTGCTGCTCAGCTCGGCCTCCGTATCTGTATGTTCGTAGCCTCCCGCGCTTTCGGCCTCTGGGATATCGTCGTCCAGATCTACCTCCATGCCCATGTCGGTGCCGTTCCCAACGTCCTCCTCGATCATCTGCTCCTGGTCTTCCTCGTCGACCTCGTCCTCGCCGCCCACGCTCTCTCGAAGCTGGTCATGATTGCGACGCATCATTTGCGTCATGAGGTCTCGCTGGAGCCGTGCCGTCCTGGCGGCCCCGGCTGGCGTGCCAGTCGGTTCAGCCTCTTCGTCGGAGGAAGAAGCGCTGCCATCCTCGTCGCTGTCCTCGTCGCCTCTGCTCAGGAAGTCATCGTCGGCCTCGGGGATATCCTCGTCCAGGTCCCTTGCCCCGTCCAGCTGCACGTCGTCCATGCCGTCACTGCCGACGACATCACGCATGACAGCATCGGGATCGCCGGCAACGGCTATCATCCCCTCGGGAGCGCCGGCAGCCTCTGCTTCGGCGAGCTCCTGGGCCAGCTGCTCACGGCGCATAGCCTCTTGGTGTTCCTCGTGCTCGCGGCGCTCTTCACGTAGCTGGTGCAGGGTCTTGGGTATGCCGGGCGGCTTCAGCCAGGTGCTGCCGAAATGCGAGACATTGTGAAGCCGGCGCTCGAGGTTCTGCTCGTCGGCGCGCAGTCGGGCGAGGGGCGACCTGTCGATGACGTGGGCGTTACGGCGCTGGTTCGAGGGGTGGTGCGGATGGGCGGTGTCTGTTGACGGTTGATGGTGGTCTTGCGGCACACTAGGGTTCCGGGACGACGTGTACCATAAGGAGTGGGACTGGAGATGGCTCCGCGTTAGTCACGAGCGGTCCTGGATGAGAAGTCGGCACAAGACCTACATCGCGAGGCGCAAGGTCCGGCAGAAGAGACAACATGTCGGCGAATCTCAGGGCTCAGAGGCCGTAGTTGGTTCCCACGGGGCAGTCGTAATGCCACATGCCAAGGCAGGTGGGTGTATAGAGCCGAGTTGACGAGTTTCCACTAATGCATACGTACTGCACTGCAGTCGGAATGATATTCGGCAGCTTTGAGAGCCACACGACGTCCACGATAGTCACGATAGTCACGATAGTCACGATAGCGAGGGGAGCTGCTTCATCATGTCAACAAAAACCCCACCATCCGAAAAGCAGGTGCCACACGACACAGGCCCAGCAGCCGGGCACGAGCAAGGGGGCGCAGGGGCGCAGGGGCCATCTTGTCCTGGGCGGGTGCCCGGGTGGGGTAGCGGGGCCCTTTCCCAGCGATTGGAAGGGCCCCAGCAGACCAGACCAGGTCTCACAGTAATTCATCCGTAAGGCGAGTTACATAGTACTGTAACTTATATTAGTTCATCATCACATGCTGGACGACAGTGCAAGTGGTCCAGTTTACTCCATGCTTGAATACATTACCGTCCATATCTAGCTGCGAACTGCCTATAGTCACGGCCATCGTACCAACAAACAAGCACATACTAATCTCCGCATCCCATCTCTGCCTCGCAGCCTGCAGGAAGTAACTTGGTTTGCCCGATGGGGGTCTTGTTGCTCCCTGACACGCTTAACTCACCTGGATGGGCCCTGATCTCCCCAGACCCCAAAGTCCACTGACAAAACGTCCGGGGACGGTCCTGACTCGACGCAAAGCGTTGCCCGTACCACTTGAGACTCCCGGAGTTCTACTACTGCTGATCTGAATCTTTTGCGTGTGCCTGTAGCTGTCTAACGAATCATGTAAGGCTTTACGCCCGTCAGCCGCTGACTGGAAGCAAGGCCGCGCCAGTTGCGGGCCTCTAACTAGCCTCCCGGTACCCGCTTCGCCGGTCCGTGGCACTCGAGTTTCCATGAGGTAACGGAAAGGGCCCTGCAGAGTTGGCTCCCGTCGATCTCAGAACGATCTCAGTCCCTGAAGCCAGTCTGCGCCAGTCAACCGTGGTCAATTTGGCAGCGGTGAGCGCTCGGATTTAAATTGCACGTTGGACAGTCCATTCCGCTCTGCGGGCCAAGACTATCCCGGCGTAGGGCCACCAGTCCCATGCAGTGTGTCTCAGTCTCGCCCAGCGGGATCCATTAGCACGAGCGACGGGATTTTTCGGAACAGAGGGAAAATCTTCTGGTCTCCTGCGGAAGCACACAAGCCTTTCCCGATCGATGAGCTGGCCCGACTTCGTTGTTGAAACCTCTCTGATGTTTTCCGCCGTGTCCGGCCGATGGTACGAGGGAAAAAAAATTCCCAATGCTTGGCGCCGATGTCGGGCGACGCGCCAGGAGACGAACGGGCTGGACTAGACAGTCCGAAGGCAATGCCACCATAGACAAGGGCGAGCGCCTCACAGCGCAGTCATCCCGCCAGGGAAAAATCAAGATGGTCAGCCCAGCGTCCATAGTCTCTTAAGACAATGGGAGGAAGAACGGAGATCATATACTAGAGTACTGTACAACACACGTATCGTTATCAGATATGAGCTACATATATCCCCTGCTTATCTGATCAGATCTCACAACGGCGATGGACGCGGAACTGTAGGCTCATTCATGCCAGTCATCGAGGATCTGTGCTTTCGGCAGCTCTTCCACAACCAAGACCCCTACCAGCTCTTTAGAGTTCGCCAAATGACGTTCGTGTGCTTGTAGCGCAGCCCGTCACATTCTACGAAGGCGCTCTAGCCTTTTAGCCAAGTCGAGATAAGACTCTTGATATATACTTCGTCGACTCTGATTGGCTCTCTTGCAAGTTGACAAGTCTTAATGACAGACCAATGAGCCGAGCATCCCCAGGACCAACCGTGTCACGAGGCCGCGATGCGTTGAGTATAGTGAAATTTGCAGGACAAGACATGCATACGACCCTCTCGCATTGACTCACTGGTCGAATGGAGGACCATGCGCTTAGGATATATTCCGTTATACCAAAATTGCTCCCACCAGTCTTCGGCCGATAGTTGATTGGCCGCCTTGATTCTCGTATGGTTCTCGTATGGTAACTGCTCACAAGAATGAAACCGCAGCGTTGATCACACTCAAAATTGCTTTGGTAGCATCACGACGGTAAAACGTTGCACGTTCTGGGACATGACTGGCTCGCCAAGTCACCGAAGCCGTACGCAAGTCGGCTTCGGGCTGGCACAGGGTTGCCGCCCACCCATGCCGCTGGCCGTTGGGGCTTGCTGTCTAAACAGTGGATGCCCTGCGATCTGTCCCGAGGCAACGGGAGTATGCAACATGCTATGTCTTGCACCTCCCGGATGCAATGGTTGGATTTCCCCTACCTGATCCCTCAAGTGGCGAGTCGGGCACGGCAGTTCGGGTGTAGTAGCACTCGCATTTACTATGTACACCAAGTTGATTATGGTGTTACAACTCTGCTGCGCTTTCTCGTCTCAAACACTTCGATTGTCAGTCCGACCTTCAGCTCGCTGGTGTCGTCGCCCGTTCGCCTGCTCAAGAATAAAACAACCCCCACCCCGCGCAGGACCCTGGCTCGGTCGTGTTTGGACCCTGGCGCTTGCTGAGGCTACCGATGGTCGCATACCCAACACTTGTTCCATCCATGCGAGCACGGCGTCACTGCTTGACGAGGCGACATCGGCCAGGACAGCTATTGAAAACATGCGCTCTGATTGGGCTGGCCCGCGTGGCAGACGTGGATGCTGAACAGCTCCCCACCCGCAGGCTCCAAAATTTTGCGGTTTGTCGAGCTTTGGCTGGGCGAGGGAACCGGCCGGACTTCTGCTGCAGCCTGGGTGGTGCAGTAGTGCCATCCCTGCCACATGCAGGAGCCCATGTGTGGGGTGCAATTGTCTGTCAGCTTTGGGCGATATTCGTGTGTCATTTCATAGAGAGTCCAGAATTCAGGCATGTTGGAACACTTCCGATGAACGGGCCACAGTGAGACTAGCGGCAGTGGGAAGCCAGCTCGGTCGGATCTGGCTTGCCCACCCAGGCTGCTCCGAGCGCTGTTCCCGGGAACACTACTCTGGCGCCGAAGACTGAATTGGTAAGGACCAGAGTCGACAGCAGTAAGCTGACCATATGTGCGAGGAGCAGCCTCCGTACGAATTCCGCGACTGTGGCAAGAGTAGTGATGACCATTACTCACACTGCTCACCGTCTGAGCCATGACTGGTTCGGGGATTGATACTCGGCACTTGTTCGCTTACAGTCTGGAAAGATCAACCTGAATACACCGGTTGACCGGCTGACGTGCACGCTCCCAGCCTACCTGTCCTCAATGGGTTGAGTTCTCATTGGATCGTTGTATACTCGGGCGACAGCCTCGAGTCCACCGGCTGACAAAAGCAAGATTGCGGAGAGCACGGAGGCCCGAGATGATCCATATGCACATCGCAAATTAAAAGGTGGTTGACATTGGGTGAAAGGATTATGAAATACTAGGCGGTTGCACCGGAATCGCTGCTCTCCTACTACGTGCAGGACCCCCTAGTCAACCCAAAGGGGACTATGTAGGCCAGATGCATAGTCTTTGCCATGCGAATCAGAGACAGTCCGACTCCTGGAGAAAGTGGAGGCTGCCCCGCTCGGAACACAGGCCAATAGTGAGACTCTTTAATTTCGACTGGGGTTGGCTGGGTTGGCAAAGTCGCCGTGGTAAGGGAAAGCCGGGAAAGGCAATGCGTAGGGTGACGGGCAAGACGGGCCACACACATGCCTTGATGAACTCTGCCAGCATAGTCATTAGTCCAGGGCGCGTAGTTGATGGCCTGACATGTGTCGGTTAGCCTGCGCGGCACCAAGGGGGGCGTTGCCCGTGTTGCATGTGCTATTTGCTCTGTGTGTTTATAATTTTTTTTTCTGTCCCTTCTCCAATCCAGTCAGACTATGGAGGGCGGAAGATGGTGTGCATAGTCTGAGTCTGGGCCAATCAACAGACAGCATTTGTTAAGCTTCAGGGACTCAGGGTAAAGACTCCGTCAACGTCACCGAATTCGTTAGCGGTTTTGGGCAAACCTCTAGGCGAAATAGTCGACCAGGGTTGGCCAAGAAGTGGGCTGGAGCGAGGACGCTCGCACCACTGGCTGGTTTGATTGCCTCCCACCAGGGCCACCAGTCGCTTGTCCGTCTCTCGGCGAGTTCCCCTCCCCCACCCTGGATTATCGAGAGGCTAGAAGGCTGGAGGGGCCCGATCTACCCACATGCCTGGGAGGTGATTTGTGAATACATTTTTCCCTATGCTCTGTCTGCCGTACTCGTAGCGGGCATGTAGGAGGAGATGGCCTTGTTTCTACCCGACTAGGGCACCCCCCTCCTCCGCTCTGTCTATTGTATCCCATATAAGCGAGGCAGTCCTCCCAATTTCTCAGCAGCTCTTCCACCCTTCTTCTCTTCTTTCGCGAGACCACTCTACCAAACTCTCTACTGCTAGTCGAGAGCCGCAAGCCGCCTAGTAGAGTCGCCTCACCCACCCACACCGCGATAAGAGAGAGTTCAGCGAGAACCTACATGTAAGTATGAGACATTTCTTGATGAACAATGCCTTCCGACCCAGACGGGATCCACCCTGGAGCGACCGAGCAAGAGAACCCGGACCAGCGCCACGGATATCAAATCATGTATGAAGCATTTGGGGGGGACTGTGTGTGTGTGTGTGTGTGTGTATTGGGCTGTGCGACCCGTACGGAAACCCTTCTGAGAGGATCGACAACAACACCGGTTTGCGACGAGCATCACATCAAGGCGTGGGCAATGCAACCTCGGTGCGCAATTGAGCGCGCTCCTCGTGTAACTGTGCGATTCCACCCTCCAACAACCGCGGAAGCCAGCGAACAGCGACTCAGCTACGGAGTGCCTATCGCGCGGCGGAGTATGGGGGTGGGAGCGAGAGAAAAGAGTCAGCGAGCGCGGCAGCGGACTGTGATGGTCGCGGCCTATCAGGGCCCGGTCGCGTTAGCCGCATGCACAAGTACCGTGGCGGCCATTGGCCTGTCGTCATATCTTCCCCACGCCAGATTTCTTTGCAGCGCCTGTGATTCGGCAGGGCCATTGCCAAAAGCGGTTGCAAGCTGCCAGCTTACCCAAGCTCTGGTACTCTGGGTACTCTGGGCACTCTGGGGGGGCCGCTAGAGCTGTCCCGTTGCATCACAGACTGGAGCGACTCAGACAGACATCTCCGGGCCGCCCTGTGGTGGCACGGTGGATAAGCTGATTCGTGGCCGTTCCTCGCAATTGACTTTCGAGTCAGAGGGCAAAATCCAGACCTACCAGTCAATACACAATATTCACTTTTTTGGGTGTCTGTCGACTTTCTGTGGCAATCCCTGGACTCTCGGGCTGCTCCGTTCAGTCCCAACCTCAGGTCCACGCTCTAGCTCGTCCTGGCACCAGAGGGAAAAAAATAATTCTGGCCAGCCGGATCACAAGCCTGCATGCTACAAGCAACAACGCCAAACACACAAGAATTGCCAGCCAACCTCAGCGCTACCGCAAACATCTGAGGACATCATTCATTGCAAACAGCCAGCGTCTTGACTGGATCCTCACGCGAATCTCGATCTCGTCAGGTTGCGTCTGCCTCTGACCGGAAACCAACCAGTACTGCTACCACCCCGCTTCCCACAATACTGTATCCATCCGTCTGGCTAGCTGGTTCGGAGCTCGCCGCCATTCACCGGATCTCACATTCCTGTCGTGCCTGGCCTTTTGTCATTTCCACGACACATACACTCTTGCGAGTGATTGTATACTAACGAGCTTTCTCCCCGCGCAGATTCGACGTTTGAGCGGCGTCCGCTGCCCTCATCGCCAAGTGCAACTCCCTCTCCTCCGAACTCTCGATACCCACGATACCCCACACAACCACTCCGTCAGGTTCACCGACATACTCGCCTAGCATGGGCTTGCCGGTGGATTTCGACGACAGACAAACACACATCGAATCTGAGGCTGAATCATACCATCCCTATGATTACCAAACAGAGAACAACGGCTCATGGGCTGGCGCCCTGCCGGTGAAGCAGTACGTTGATGAGCCCCGCCAATGTCACCCATGATGGAGATCAGTTGCTGACCCAATTACTCTACAGAGGATTGTATGATCCTGATTTGGAGAAGGATGCCTGTGGTGTCGGTTTTGCCTGCCACATCAAGGGCCAGGCAAGCCACAAGATTGTCAGCGATGGTAGGTCGACCCAATTCATCATTGCCGCTACTGCATACTAACCCAACCTCCAGCACGAAACCTTCTGTGCAACATGACCCACCGTGGAGCGGTGGGTTCAGATGCTCGAGATGGTGATGGCGCAGGTGTGATGACTTCGATCCCCCACAAGTTCTTCATCAAGAACTTTGAGCGCGAGGTTGGCATTAAGCTGCCGCCTCTGGGCCAGTACGCCGTGGGAAACCTTTTCTTTAAGCCGGACGAGGAGACTCTGCAGGAGTCAAAGAGGCAATTGGAAGATATTGCCGACTCGTTGGGCCTCAGAGTCTTGGGCTGGCGTGAAGTACCCGTAGACTCTACTCTTCTTGGCCCCGCTGCCAAGTCCCGCGAGCCTACCATTTTGCAACCCTTTGTCGTGCTTGCATCTGCATATGGCTCTGGAGATGCGCCTGAAACGACGGATCCCGAGAAGTTCGATGACAGATACTTCGAGAGACAGCTCTATGTGCTGCGAAAGCGTGCCACCCACACTATCGGTCTCCAGAACTGGTTCTACTTGTGTTCCTTGTCAAACAGAAACATTGTTTACAAGGGACAGCTTGCCCCTGTGCAGGTTTATCAGTACTATCACGATCTGGTGAACGCTGACTATCAAGTGCACTTTGCCCTGGTGCACTCCCGTTTCTCCACCAACACTTTCCCTTCATGGGATCGTGCGCAGCCTCTGCGATGGGCAGCACACAACGGTAAGATATCCCACTGATCTAATTACGTCTGCATTCATGCTCACGACTACTGCAGGTGAGATCAACACCCTCCGTGGTAACAAGAACTGGATGCGCGCCCGAGAGGGTGTCATGCAGTCTGACATCTTCGGCGATGAGCTCGAGCAGCTCTACCCCATCGTTGAGGATGGTGGTTCCGATTCTGCTGCTTTCGACAACGTCTTGGAGCTGTTGACCATCAACGGTGTCCTGTCTCTTCCCGAAGCCGTCATGCTGATGGTTCCGGAGGCATGGCAAGGCAACACTGCCATGGACCCTAAGAAGGCCGCATTCTACGAGTGGGCAGCATGCCAGATGGAGCCGTGGGACGGCCCGGCCCTCTTCACCTTCGCTGATGGTCGTTACTGCGGTGCCAACCTGGACCGAAACGGTCTGCGTCCCTGCCGTTACTACATCATGGATGATGACCGCATCATCTGCGCCTCCGAAGTTGGCACCATCCCCATTGAGCCCGAGAAGGTCATCCAGAAGGGTCGTCTGCAGCCGGGTCGCATGCTTCTTGTCGACACCAAGGCTGGACGCTTGATTGACGATGCGGAGCTCAAGGCTGCTGTCGCCAACCGAGCTGACTTCCGCTCGTGGATCGACACCGAGCTTCTCACCATGCCCAAGATCCTCACCCAGTCGACTGAGTCAGGCCTGGACGTTGCTCCTAAGCCCGATGCTACAAAGCTTCAAGAGGATCCTCTCTTGTTGGCTTATGGCTACACCCATGAGCAAGTTAGCTTGCTGCTGGCTCCCATGGCTTCTGACGAGAAGGAAGCTCTTGGCTCTATGGGTAACGACGCTCCTCTGGCCTGCTTGTCTCAGGCTCCCCGTCTGCTGTACGAGTACTTCCGTCAGCTGTTTGCTCAGGTCACCAATCCTCCCATTGATCCTATCCGAGAGTCCGTTGTCATGTCCCTTGACTGCTACGTCGGACCTCAAGGAAACCTGTTGGAGATGGACTCGACCCAGTGTGGCCGTCTCCTGCTGCCCAGCCCCATCCTGTCCATCCCCGAGTTCAACTCTCTCACAAACATGTCGAAGCTGTACCCCGACTGGACAGTCAAGACGATTGACCTCACGTTCCCCAAGAAGGATGGTGTTGCTGGTTACCTGAAGCACCTCGAGCACATCTGCAACGAGACTACTGCCGCTATCGAGGCACGCGACAGAATCATTGTCTTGTCCGACCGCAAGACATCTGCCGACCGTGTGGCTGTGTCTGCTCTTCTGGCCTCTGGTATGGTCCACCACCACCTTGTCAGCAACAAGTGGCGATCCATGGCTGCCATCGTCGTCGAGACTGCCGAGGCTCGTGAAGTTCACCACATGTGTGTTCTCCTCGGATACGGTGCCGACGCCGTCAACCCTTACCTTGCCATGGAATGCATCATCAAGCTCAACCGCGAGGGTCTTATCCGTAAGAAGCTCACCGACGATGCTTTGATTGCCAACTACAAGCACTCTTGCGATGGTGGTATCCTCAAGGTCATGAGCAAGATGGGTATCTCCACTCTTGCCTCCTACAAGGGTGCTCAGATTTTCGAGGCCCTCGGTATCGATGACGATGTCGTTGAGAGATGTTTCAAGGGAACTGCCTCCCGTATCAAGGGTGCTACCTTTGAGATCATTGCTGAGGATGCTTTCCGATTCCACGAGAGAGGTTTCCCCTCCCGCGAGACCATTGGCGTCACCGGTCTTCCGGAGTCTGGCGAGTACCATTGGCGTGATGGTGGCGAGGCTCACATCAACGACCCCACCTCTATTGCCAACATCCAGGATGCAGTCCGCACCAAGAACGACAAGTCCTACGAGGCATACTCTCGATCGGAGTACGAGCAGATCAAGGCTTGCACGCTTCGTGGTATGCTTGACTTCAAGTTTGACGAATGTACGCCGATCCCTATTGATCAGGTTGAGCCCTGGACCGAGATCGTACGACGCTTCTGCACGGGTGCCATGTCATACGGTTCCATCTCCATGGAGTCTCACTCGACATTGGCGGTTGCCATGAACCGTCTCGGTGGCAAGTCCAACACCGGTGAAGGTGGTGAGGACCCCGAGCGATCGCAGGTTATGGCCAACGGTGACACCATGAGATCTGCCATCAAGCAGATTGCCTCTGGACGATTCGGTGTCACCTCGGCTTACCTCGCTGACTCCGATGAGCTCCAGATCAAGATGGCTCAGGGTGCCAAGCCCGGTGAGGGTGGTGAGCTTCCTGGACACAAGGTCTCCAAGTCTATCGCCAGAACTCGTCACTCCACCCCTGGTGTCGGTCTGATCTCACCTCCTCCTCACCACGATATCTACTCTATTGAGGACTTGAAGCAACTGATCTACGACCTGAAGTGCTCCAGCCCTCGGTCCAGAGTCTCTGTCAAGCTTGTCTCTGAGACCGGTGTCGGTATCGTCGCCTCTGGTGTCGCCAAGGCCAAGGCCGACCACATCCTGATCTCTGGTCACGACGGTGGTACCGGTGCTTCCCGATGGACCGGTATCAAGTACGCCGGTCTTCCTTGGGAGTTGGGTCTCGCCGAGACCCACCAGACCCTTGTCCTCAACGACCTCCGTGGCCGTGTCGTTGTCCAGACTGATGGTCAGCTCCGAACTGGTCGTGATGTTGCCATTGCCTGCTTGCTCGGTGCCGAGGAGTGGGGTTTCGCTACTACTCCCTTGATCGCCATGGGCTGTATCATGATGAGGAAGTGCCGTAAGTTCTATCAATTTCTACCAAGTTTCTAAGCATATTCCTTGCTAACCAATACTAGATTTGAACACTTGCCCCGTGGGAATTGCTACGCAGGATCCTGAGCTCCGCAAGAAGTTCACTGGTACTCCCGAGCATGTCATCAACTTCTTCTACTACGTCGCCAACGAGCTCCGTGCCATCATGGCCCAGCTTGGTTTCCGTACCATCAACGAGATGGTTGGTCATGTAGAGGTCCTCAAGGTCAAGGATGAGCTCCGAACCAACAAGACCGCCAACATCGATCTCTCCCTGATCCTCACCCCTGCTCACAAGCTGCGTCCTGGCGTTGCCACCTTCAACGTCCGCAAGCAGGATCACCGCCTCTATGTCCGCCTGGACAACAAGCTCATCTCAGAGGCTGAGTTGACTCTCGACAAGGGCCTGCCTAGCAGAATCGAGTGTGACATTGTCAACACTGACCGAGCGATGGGTACATCCCTGTCCTACCAAATCTCTAAGAGATATGGTGAGGCTGGCCTGCCCCTGGACACCGTCCACGTCAACATCAAGGGTTCCGCCGGTCAGTCATTCGGTGCCTTCCTCGCACCCGGTATCACCTTGGAGCTTGAGGGTGATGCCAACGACTACGTCGGTAAGGGTCTTTCAGGTGGTCGCCTGATCGTCTACCCTCCCCGATCTGCTGTCTTCAAGGCTGAGGAGAACGTTCTGATCGGTAACACCTGCTTGTATGGTGCAACCCTCGGAACCTGTTTCTTCAGGGGTGTTGCCGCAGAGCGATTTGCTGTCCGTAACTCCGGTGCGACTGCCGTCGTTGAGGGTGTTGGTGACCACGGTTGTGAGTACATGACTGGTGGACGCGTTGTCGTCCTTGGCAGCACTGGCCGTAACTTCGCTGCTGGTATGTCTGGTGGTATCGCCTATGTCCTTGACATTCACCGCGACTTCATGTCCAAGCTCAACATGGAGATGGTTGAAGCCTCGGAAGTTGAGGATCCCACTGAGATTGCCTTCCTGCGTGGCTTGATCGAGGACCACCACCACTACACTGGATCTGAGCTCGCCGCTCGTATCCTGGTGGACTTCAACAGGGCGCTGCCCCGCTTCGTCAAGGTCCTTCCCGTCGACTACAAGAGAGTCCTCGAAGAGGAAGCCGCCAAGGCCGCCGAGGCCAAGCGCGCCGAGTACAACCTGCCTGTCCTCCCTGGTTCCAAGCACAAGAAGGAGGAGAAGGGTGGCAAGCTCCAGGACATGGAGGAGGCCGTCGGCGACAATGCAGCTGAGAAGAAGCGCGCCCTCGTCTTGGACAAGACCAAGGGTTTCATGAAGTACCAGCGCCGCTCGGAGAAGTACAGAAACGCCAAGACACGCACCAAGGATTGGCAAGAGCTGTCCCAGCGTCTCGACGAGGACGAGCTCAAGTACCAGTCGGCCCGTTGCATGGACTGTGGTGTTCCCTTCTGCCAATCTGAGACCGGTTGCCCGATCTCCAACATCATCCCCAAATGGAACGAATTGGTCTTTCAAAATCAGTGGCAAGATGCCCTGAACCGCCTGTTGATGACCAACAACTTCCCCGAGTTCACTGGTCGTGTCTGCCCTGCTCCTTGCGAGGGCGCCTGTGTGCTCGGCATCAACGAGGACCCCGTCGGCATCAAGTCGATCGAGTGTGCCATCATCGACAGAGGCTTCGAGATGGGCTGGATGGTTCCTCAGCCGCCCAAGGTACGCACTGGCAAGACCATCGCCATCGTTGGCTCTGGTCCCGCCGGTCTGGCCTGTGCCGACCAGCTCAACCGGGCTGGACACACTGTCACGGTCTACGAGCGTGCTGACAGGCCTGGGGGTCTGCTCATGTACGGTATCCCCAACATGAAGCTCGACAAGCGCATTGTCAAGAGACGTACCGACTTCATGGCCGCCGAAGGCATCATCTTCAAGACCGGCGTTGCCATTGGCGAGGACATCTCCCTGTCCGACCTCAAGGCCCAGAACGACGCCGTCGTCATTGCCACTGGTGCCACTGTTGCCCGTGACCTTCCCATCAAGGGCCGCAACCTGGAGGGTATCCACTTTGCCATGGAGTTCCTGCACAAGAACACCAAGTCCCTGCTCGACTCGGAGCTGCAGGACGGCGCCTACCTCTCGGCCAAGGACAAGGACGTGGTCGTCATTGGTGGTGGTGATACCGGAAACGACTGCATTGGTACCTCGGTCCGTCACGGCGCCAAGTCGGTCATCAACTTCGAACTTCTGCCGCAGCCGCCGCCCCAGCGTGGCAACGACAACCCCTGGCCCCAGTGGCCTCGTATCTACCGTGTCGACTACGGTCACACCGAGGTCAAGCAACACATGGGCAAGGACCCCCGCGAGTACTGCATCATGTCGGAGGAGTTCGTCGACGACGGCACTGGCCGCGTCAAGGGCATCAACACGATCCGTGTCGAGTGGACCAAGTCTGCCTCGGGCGGCTGGGACATGAAGAAGCTGGAGGACACCAAGCAGTTCTTCCCCGCCGACCTGGTGCTCCTGTCGATGGGTTTCCTCGGCCCCGAGGCCCGCGTGCTCGGCGAGGAGATCGAGAAGGACGCCAGGAAGAACGTCAAGACCCCGGCTGGCTCGTACGCCACCAACGTTCCCGGCATCTTCGCCGCTGGTGACTGCCGCCGCGGACAGTCGCTCATCGTCTGGGGCATCAACGAAGGACGACAGGCTGCCCGCGAGGTCGATCTGTTCCTCGAGAAGTGCACCAGCCTGCCGGTCACTGGTGGCATCATCAAGCGCACGGCCCAGGAGATCTTCAGCGTCGCTGCGGCATAAGCACGAAACGACTCTACGCACAGAACGAAACCCGTCATGTAACGTTATGTTTACGAATAGAAACGGAAGAAAAATATGATGGCCACGGCTTCGGGTGCTTTGGGGGGGCAGGCGGAAAATACCTTGTTTTCATGCAGGTTTCTTTGATTTTACGATACCATGAGAATACCATGAGAGATCAAGTGGCAAAAAAAGGAGATCAGCATTTGCATTGGAATTTGCATTTCATGACAGTCGTTGCGGCAAGAGGTTGCTACGCGTTTGGTTTTGTTGCCTTTCAGTTGATTTGGCTTTGGCTTTGGCTCTGTACATACGCATATTACGAAGAATGGTCTATAAGTAGTCAAATATAGTACATGATTAGGAATGTTCTATACGCACATGGCTGAACCGTGTCCCTGTGTGTGATGATGAGATGTTACAAATAGTGCGACTCCGTGGACGCGAGGCTAGAAAGAAGCACACGGCAAATGATCTGCTTATCTGAGTTCCGAAGCAGACTCTGTAGTTTATTCCATACGCACGTGGATCGAACCGACAGGCTGCGGGCCACAAACTTGGTGGGAATTGAGTTTTGAACCACATCAGACGTCTTTGATCAGTCTGCAGTACCTATCAATCCCATCGCAATAAATACAGTGCAAGATGTACACTCTCTAGCTATCGGCCACTTGCAGAAGAAAATAGATCATATTTCGCACATCAAAGAGCACACTCGGTACCCAGCTGTGCGGCCAAACCCGAGGCGAGACTGAGGAAATCGAACGTAAAGAAAAGAAGCAGCAGCGAATAACTCAACTGTGTCTGCCCCGCTAACTTGCCGAGTTTCTGCAGGTATTGTCAGGCCCCCTCGACCAGCCCACCGCACGTGTATGCCGCGACGCCTAGCCATTGGTCAATGGGGTCGGCAGCTATCCCCATGCGGCAACAAGCTCTGGAGGCTTTTTTTGCTTCTGGGAGCTGGCACCACGGGCGACCTGAAGGTGGGCAGAGTGGGGTCGGGTGCCGCCCCGGTGACGAAAGGTTCCCGACATGGGACCGCCTGGACCGCCTGGACGCCAGGACGCTGAAGTTTTGAGGTGGGGACAACGAGAACGAGGGCCAAGAGGGCGGCACCCGACGACCAAATGTTATTCATCAGTGCTCTGTACCCGTCACCCAAAACAAGCATTGGCCTCGGGCTCGGCATTGGCTTCGCAGACCTGCCTTCTTGTCGTATTTTTTCCATCTCCTCGTCCTTGATCCGACTCTCTTCGATTATCTTGGCTGCTGCGTACACGTCTAGGTGGCCGGCCTTGTAGATTCTGTCAATCGGGTAGGGTAGTCTTGGCCTTCTCTTGGTCGGATAGCTCGCCTAGCTCGTCGTCCCCGTAACGAGAGAATACATACATTCCCACCTACCTACCTACCAGATTCCCGAACCTCAGAACCCTCCTCCCGTCGCCGCCGGAGCCGTCGCTCTGGTGTCTGCAGAAGACAAGTCAGGATGCGTTTCGGCAAGACCCTGCGCGAGGCCACCTACCCGCCGTGGAAGGGCCAGTACATCGACTACTCCAAGCTCAAGAGCCTCCTGCGCGAGGACCAGCGCGACGATGACACCCCCTGGACCGAGGAGGACGAGACCCGCTTCAGCGACGAGATCTTCAACGTCCAGCTCGACAAGGTCGCCACCTTCCAGGAGCAGACGGTCGCCAGCCTGCGCCGCCGCATCGACGACGCCTTCGACAAGCTCAAGGACATCGCCCCGGCCGAGGGCAAGCCCAAGAGCGACATCACCGACGGCCGCCTCAAGCAGCTCAAGGACGAGGCCAACGCCATCACCAGCGAGGTCGAGCAGCTCAAGAAGTACAGCAGCGTCAACTACACCGGCTTCCTCAAGATCGTCAAGAAGCATGACCGCAAGCGCGGCGACCGCTACAAGGTCCGGCCCCTCATGAAGCTGCGCCTGTCCGACCGCGGCCTCAACGCCGAGAAGGAGTACTCGCCCCTGCTCAAGAAGCTGTCCACCATCTACTACATCATCGACTCCCACCTCGACGACGGCGCCGACCAGTCCCAGCCCCCGGACCTAGAGCACCAAGAGGAGGTCAAGAACGGCGAGCGGTACACCGCCCACAAGTGTAAGTCGCCAACTATATCGATACCAAGTCAAGTTGCTCATCTGCTAACGCCGAATTTCCTGCGCCAGTCTGGGTCCATCCCGATAACCTCCTCGAGGTCAAGACCTTCATCCTGCGCCGCCTACCTGCCCTGGTCTACAGCGAGCAGGCCTCCAAGGAGCTCGAGGGCAACGAAGACCCCAGCATTACCTCGCTGTACTTTGATACGTCCAAGTTTGACCTGTACATGCGCAAGGTGGACCGCCAGGTGGATGCGTCCTCGCTGCGCCTGCGCTGGTACGGCCCCCTCAGCGCCAAGCCCGAGATCTACCTTGAGCAGAAGATCATCCACGAGAATGGCACCAGCGAGGAGAAGAAGATCAACATCAAGGACAAGTACATCAAGCAGTTCATCAACGGCGAGTACAAGATGGAGAAGACGATCCAGAAGATGGAGCGCCAAGGACAGCAGCCCGACAGGGTTGAGTCGTTGAAGAAGACCGCCGACGAGATCCAAGACTTCATCACCAAGCACAAGCTCGACCCGGTCTTGCGGGCTGTCTACACCCGTACGGCGTTCCAGAAGCCGGCCGACGACCGCGTGAGGGTCTCGATCGACTCGGATATTGCCTTCATCCGCGAAGACACCCTCGACCGAGATCGGCCCTGTCGGGACCCCAGCGACTGGCATAGAGGGGACATTGACAACAGCAACATGACCTACCCCTTCAAGAACATCAACCAGAGCGAGGTGTCCAAGTTCCCTTATGCCCTGCTCGAGATCAAGGTCAAGGAGGACGCCAACCGCAAGAAGCCCACGTGGGTGGAGGACCTGATGGGCTCGCACCTGGTGCACTCGGCTCCTCGCTTCTCCAAATTCGTCCACGGTGTCGCCTCGCTGTTCGAGGACTACGTCAACAACTTGCCCTTCTGGCTTAGTGACCTGGAGAGGGACATCCGCAAGAGTCCCAAGCAGGCATGGGACGAGGAGGAGCAGAAGAAGAAGAACCGTGCCGAGGATGCTCAGGTTATCGGAAGCTTCCTAGGCAAAGGCTCTGCCTCGTACAAGGCCGCGGCCGGGTCCTACAAGCCTGCCGCCAGCTCGCCTGTCGGGCAATCCTACTTGGCTCAGCGCGTCGAGGCCGAAGACCATGCCTCCGGCGCCAACGGTCGGGAAGAGGACGGCGAGGACCACCACGACCAGCCCGGCGGCCAGCAGGACTACGGCACGCTCGGCAAGATCCTGCCCAGCTTCTCCATCGGCAGCTACGCCCGCCTGCGCCGCGACCGTGTCAAGCTTCCCGAGGGCGTCGTGGAACCCACGACCTGGATCAAGAACGAGGGGCCCCTGCAGATCGAGCAGAAGGTCTGGCTCGCCAACGAGCGCACCTTCCTCAAGTGGCAGCACATCTGCGTCCTGCTCGGCAGTCTGGCCGTCGGCCTGTACACGGCCGCCGGCGAGAACTTCCTGGCCGAGTGCATGGGCATCGCCTACATCGCCATCGCCGCCATGGCCGGCATTTGGGGCTACTTCATGTTCAACCGCCGCCAGAGCATGATCATCGAGCGCAGCGGCAAGGACTTTGACAACATGGTCGGCCCCATCGCCGTCAGCATCGCCATGATGATCGCCCTGATTCTCAATTTCGTATTTGCGTACCGCGCGGCGTTTGGGAAGCTGCACGACGGCAACGGGTCGGCGGGTAATGGGACGCGGGAACTTCTGATGGGCGAGCTGTGAAAGAAGGACCCCTGGCGAGCGGGTTCCGAGGGCTTTTGGAGATAGTGTACAGTTGTCTTGGGTAGAAGGGATGTATATTTTTTGTGTACGCGAGTCCTGTAATGAAACACTACCGTAATTATGCTACACCCTGCTAGTTCTTCATGGTTTTATCGCTGATTGATGTAGCCCCTTAACGTTTGGCGCCACGAATTAAGCCATCTAAGTCTTAACGACAAACCCGACATGTTAAGCAAGGTTCTGTTTTGCTTACATAACTTCAACTTGCTGCTTAACGTGGGAGGCTCCGTTCAGGGGGTTCACCATGTCAACTTATCTTTACAGTATCCTCGAAGCCGAGTAGACGGAGCGGGCCCTCCAGGACGGTGCCAAGCGAGCCTCCTCGACCCTGACCTCGACGCAGAACAGGTCGAAGCCCTGCACCTTGCCCGGCCGGCCCCTGACCACGAGCTGCTGCCTGCCATGCAGGATCGTGTGCTCGCTGCCCGGCTCGCGGGGTTTCCTCGCGGCTAGGAACCACGCATGCGCCATCTCGGGCGGCGCGGTCTTCACGTCAAAGGCGTACGTGTAGAGCCACGTCTCCGGATCCCGCGTCACCCAGAACAGGACCAGGATGCGGCCCGGGACGCCGGGGCACTCCAGCACCAGGCCAGCCTTGCCGTCCGCGACCCATGGGCCCAGCTCCAGCAGCCGGAGCTGCTTGTCGTACTTGGCGCCGTCCGGGTAGACGGCCTTGGCCTCGGAGCCCCGGGGCAGGAGGCTGAAGTAGATGGCGCTCTGGCGGTTGAGCTTGGGGATCGGCGTCACCTGCCGGAGGTGGACCGACTTGGCCACGTAGATGGTCTCCTGGCGCCCGTACGACGGCAGCGACATGAGCTCGGTCGGGCTCGTCCGGAAGTACTGGTCGGTGCCGCCGTGCGAGACGAGCGCGATCCCGATGACGCTGTCGAAGTCGTCGCCCCAGCGGCAGTTGAGCCCGACCTGCGCCACGATGCGGTCCTCGCGCGCCGCGTCCCAGAAGACGGTCGAGGTCAGCGAGACGCCGCGGCTCGTCGTCGTGATGAGGCTCGAGCCGGCGGCGCGGAGGCTCGGGAACGGCACGACCTTCTGGCTCCCGCGGAACTCGTCGGGCGAGTCGGCCAGGATGCCGCGGTACGGGGCGGGCCCGCCGTCGCGGGCCGCGCGCCAGCAGAAGATGGAGTGGTCCTCCGACTCGCGCAGGATCTCCTCCTGCAGCCGCACGAAGGCCTTGGCGCCCTCGCCGTACAGCATGGGCATGTGGACGTCGAACAGGCCCAGCAGGCAGTACGCGATGTCCTCGACCCGTGTCGTCTCCCGGCCCGCGGCCCAGCTCATCTTCTTCGCGACGCTGATCAGCTTGATGTCGGTGGGGTTCTCTCCCAGCACGTCCTCGTCTATCCCCGTGATCGCTGCCAGTGCGGTCTTCATGGCCGACCGCTCGCCGATGGCCTGCCAGCCCGCTCCGAAGAAGTGCACCTGTTTGGGGGCTATGAGCTCCTGGAGCGTCCAGCCGCGAGAAAACCATCGGCAGGCTCTCAGCTTGGCCGTCATCTTGATCCCGACGTCATCGTCAGACAAGTCAAAATCCTCGATGTAGGCATAGCAGGTCGCAGACTCGCTGTACCACCGGAACATGGAGTTGATGGCCTCGCTCAACTCGGCGCTGCTGGACTTGTCGATGCAGCAAGTATCGATCCACACGTACTCCAGTCCATCTCTTCGGGCCTGCTCGCAGAGAAGCCTGACCTTGGGATAACCGGCGTGCGCCTGCCGCTCTTCTGGGTCACGGTATGACTGGTAAGACAGCTCGTCGGGGCCCCATGTGTGAGACAAAATGGCGTACGGCGGGACTTGTCCTACCACGTCTTTGAGTTGCAGGGTCTCAGAGTTGATCAGACGCATAAGGAGCGTGGTAAATCTGTGTCTTTGAGATATGGGATGATAGAATGCCTTCTCTGGTCAAAAATCCAACTACGCTGGCTTAGAGTGAGAGCGCGGAGAAGGCCCAATAGGAGCGAACCTGCATGGCCGCAGCTGAACAGCTGAAATCCGCATCTGACCAGGGTGCATATGCACTTCGGTAATGCGGCTGAACCAAGTTCTAAGCAAGCTCGCTTGGTACACTACAATAGATCGAACCCTGAGGCAGCATGCAGTCTTTTTTTTTTTTCTTTCTTTCTTTTTTCTTCCCCTTCAGCCAAGATATGTACATATTGGTACGCTGTAGGATCTGTCTATGCTATCCTCTTTGTTCGACCTTGGAGGCTTGTAAGCCGATTAGGCCTGCATGTGTAGCGTTTCGAGAGCAGAGAGAAGGATCAAGTAGAGCCCAAGGAGCTGGTAGGTGTCAACGACATTCAAACGAAGTGGGAGATATACTTACCACAACACCATCCAGATAAGTCGAGGATCCATGTTGAAAAACATAAGCACCGACGGCGGCGGTCATCAAAATCGACGTGATCTCAGCTGGATCCAATCAGTCAAATATTTGGTTTATCGGGAAATACTGATTTACCCACCTGGCATGAAGTCCAAGGTAAAGGGCTTCATGGACAGAGCCCCTCCCACTAGTACAAGTAAAGGCGCCTCGAGAAGGACGACTTGAACTGTACACCCGTAGAGAACAGCCATGGCCTACTCTTGTTAGACACTCATCAGTCATGGAACTGGCATACTGCTGACTCACCATATCCATCTTATTCTTCGTTGCTATTATAATCCCTACAACGCATTCCGCACTACTGGTTATCATTGGGAAAAGGAATAGCCCGATAAGAGGGGAGGACCTGGGGCCCCAGGCATCGTCCATGGCTTGCACGAAGGAATTTGTACAGAGAATACACAGCGTTGCCGTCAGCAAGTAAGCTAATGCTGCAAAAGCGGGCGGCAGATATGCAGGCTCTTCTTCCTCAAATAGCAGCTCCACTGGCCCGTCGCCTGCATATTCAGACTCGCCAAATGTGAAGAAGTTGTTATGCGTCCGCAATTGAAACACGAGCCACACACAATAGAGTAGGAGGAGAACGAGAGAAGTCGCCCGCGAAAGCGCCAAAGAGTCGTTAGTACTTTCCGGAGTGCTCAAGTCTAGGGCGGAGTTCAACTGAAGTCATAGGTAAGCAGCAAACCTGATTCCACTTATCTAGATAGACTTACCACCGAAGGAGTCACCAAAATGAGGGGAGATATTATCAATGGTAATGTGGCAGCTGTTGTGGCAGACGCGGTAAAGCGTTGAGCCTGTCCCAGGCCACTACCGTCCCGCATATTTGTAAGGCCGCCAACCAAAAAACATAGGCTGGCGACGAGAAGCAGGGGAAACATGATACCTCCGACCAAAGATAACTGAACAAGTCGAACATGTCCATGACGGAGAGTAACAGCCCGTACCTGTAGTGTTGAGATGAGTATTGCGTGGTGGATGCCTTCGACTCGGGGTG